TCACTGCTACGCAGCCTGACTGGGTGACCCGATCCGCCCGCCCTTCGACCCCATGACTCAAACACCAATACCATTCCATAAATGCCCTAGTAGTGGGTTGCTGGTCCACCGTGGGGGTTGGTGGCTTGGCCGCTCCCTGCGCGCTCGCGTCGCTCCCAACCATTCCCTCCCGTGCTCGGTCCAGCGCAGACTTTTTCACCGGCTCAAAGCGGAAATCTACATTATCATTTATGGGCAACATGATGTTGGCAGAGAGAAGAGGCTAGATGACACTTTGAGATTCGGACCTGGAACCCGTAGTGATTTAGGCGGATTGTTCTGGCACCGTTCTACTCATCCGATCACCATCCATCACTCAATCATCCACTCCAATCGAACAAATCCGAAATGGCGGTCTCTGGCTCCAGTCCGGTTGAACATGAAACACACAGGCTCTCTTGTGTTTGATATCCTCCGTTTTTTTATTGTTGTACGTCACTGATGATCAGTACGTTTTCCACTGTTCTGGACTTGGACTTGAGCGCCTCACTCTCATTTTGTGTGTGTGTGTGTGTGTGTGCATTGCATTTCGCTTTGAGCGTTTCAAAATTTCAAAATCCGACTCTGCCCAATCATGGCCGCGGTGCCGAGCGGCGCGATTGCCGTGTCAGCCAGATCCGTTGCGGCAATGGACGCAATGGTCTCGCGCGTGATTGCGCACATTGCAAGCGTGAGTGAGGAGCGCGACGCACTGCTCGAGCACATTGGCCAGCAGGACGCGCTCGTCGAGGCGCTCAACGCCGAGCTTGTGGAGAGCGACCGGATTGCCGAGGAGCTGCGCGCCAAGCACGGGGCGTCTGCTGTGGAGCTCGACCGCCAGGCTGGCGTCGTTCGGGAGCTGCAGCAGTCGCTGCAGCAGCAACGCGACGCTGCTGCGCAAACGCGCGGCGAGCTTGAAACCGCTCAACGAGAGCACTCTGCTGCAGTCGCGGCACTCGCTGCCACGGCCGCTCAGGATAGCAGACACCACTCGGACCAGCTTGACGCGATTCAGCTTGAGCATGCCACGCAGGCAGCGTCGGCGCGACGGCAACGGGACGAGTTGCTCGCTGCAGTGAATCGGCTCGAGCTCGAGTTGGCCAATCTCCGCGCTGCTCAGACACAGCAGACCGCACGGTATGAGGCCGAAGTCGAGGCGTTGCGTCAGGAGGCTCGCACTTTGACGGCCGAAGGTATTACTCGTTCCGAACAAGAGCTGTCACGCAAAGCCGAGTTCCAGGCGACGCTGGCAACGCTCAACCAGACCCATGCCGCAGCCATGAGCCAACTCCAAGATCGACTGGTCGCTACGCAAGCAGAGTTGTCACAGTTGACCAGCGAGCATGCTCTCGCCGTCGAGGCCCATCAGGGCGCAATGGCAGCGTCCAGACTCGAGGCTGACGAACTGAGGCGCGCCAAGGCCGCGCTTGAAGTCGAGCTGCGAGACGGCAAGCGCGCCTACCTCAAGGAGGCCCAGCAGTTGACCCTCGAGGCCTTGGTTCAGCGCGAAAAGGCCGAGCTGTTGGCAAACCAGCTGGCCTCGGCGACACGCGTGTTCGAGGCGCGGCTGCTCGACACCCAACGACTTGAAGCTGCTGCGCTCAAAATGTCGCAGGCCCAGGCCAAAACGCGAACTCAACGGAATTCACTCTTGCAACTGCTACGCCAGGCACGAGCGGACGCCCATTCAGGCCGGATGCAGAAGGAGATTCTCGAGGCGAGCCTCGCGTTCGAACGGAGCCGTCTTGCAACTTCTAGGGCCGAACTAGTGAGCGCAAAAGTGGCCGATGCCAACCATCACAGCGAACTGGTTGCTGTTCGTCACCAGGTAGAGCTCGATCGCCAAGCACTCGAGATGGAGAAGGCACATGCTGCCGAATTGCAACAAGCCAACCACTCGATGAGTCAGCAGATTGATCAACTGCATCAAGAGCAGCGCAGGGTTGAACGTCAACATCAAGAGCAGCGCCAACAGCAAGAACAGCAGCGCCAACAGCAAGAACAGCAGCGCCAACAGCAAGAACAGCAGCGTCAACAGCAAGAACACCAACGTCAACAGCAAGAGCACCTGCGCCTCCGACAAGAGCAGGAGCGCCTCCAACAGGAGCAACGCCAACAGCAGGAGCAGCGCCAAAAACTACAGCAGCAAGAGCAGGAGCAGCGCCAGAAGCTGCTGCAGCAAGAGCAAGAGCAGCGCCAAAAACTGCAACAGCAAGAGCAGCAACGCCTGCAGCACGAGCAGCGCCAACGACAAGAATTGCAAGAGCAACTACATTTGCTGGAAGAGGAGCGTCAACATTTGCTGCAAGAGCAGCAGCAGCAACACCACCAACTGCTGCAGCAACTTCAGCACAGTCATCAGCTGGAATTGCACCAACAACGGCAGGAACAGCTGCAACTACAACACGAGCAACTATTGCAACACACAGCCGAGAAGAAGCTCCACCAAGCTACCGTTGTCGAAGTGCTCAGTCAGCTTCATCAGCAGCAAAAGCGGCAAGAGCAGCAGATCCAAGCTTTGCAGCAAAAACAAGAAGAAATGCATTCCCAGTCTCGGCAAGAAGTGCAATCTCAGTCCTTCTCGGCTCGAGCGTCACCTGCACACCGTGCTCAGCAACCAGAACTTGGCCAACAAGACGGGCGCAGTGTTATTGAGGGCGATGTGGTACATTCGCAAGAATACGTGCCACGTCGTCAGGAGCAGCAGGAGCAGCAGCAGCGACAAGCAGAAACCGCTTCGCCACATCGTCATCGTCCCACGGAGCACTTTGGGCCGGCGCAGCAAGGGAGTGTGCCATCCGGCAGCGTGACAGCCGCATCTTTGACGTCGGATGCCATTCCTGCACAAACCCTGCACCCCTCTCATGAGCAGCTTGAAGCTGTTGAGGATCCATCGCAGCGAGAGCTGGATGAACAATTGGCGGCGTTTTTGAGGGAGAACATTTCCATTCCCAAAGACGAGGCGCAGCAGCTGCAAAACTACCTGACAGCTCTCGAGCAACAGGCCCATGATCAAGCCAACCGCGCACAGCGGTATCGACTCGCGGCCATGGCATCCGCAGCTGAGGGCGAGCAACTTCGGCTGCAGGTTGCGCAGCTGCAAGAAGCGGCCGTGTTGCAGCAACAAGAAATCGCCGACTCTCTTCAGCACACTGCAGAATTGATGCTCGATCGCGACATGCTTGCGTTGCAGCTCACCGAGCTTGATCAAACTGCCCAGAATCACGCTTCCTTGTCAGACCTGCAGCAGCAGCAACAGCTTTTGATTCAGCAACAGCAGCAATTGCATCAACAATTGCTGCAACAAGCGCAGCAACAACAAGCGCAGCAGCAACAAGCGCAGCAACAAGCGCAGCAACAACAAGCGCAGCAACAAGCGCAGCGCAGCAACAAGCGCAGCAACGACAAGCGCAGCAGCAAATTCCACAGCCTGTTGTCCTGTCTCACGAGAACTGTAACCCTCAGCCGCACCTTGCCGAATGGCATCAACGCTCTTCCTCCAGTTGCTACAACGCTCTTCCTCCAGTTGCTACACTTTCGCAATCTCGCATCGACCACCAGCACGGCTTGCCCCAGAGCTCTTCGAGTAGTATCTACACTGCATCTGTCCGCGATACTGCACCACAACAAGCCACACCGCTGATGCCATCGGTTGATGTTGAACCCACAGTCGCCAACGCGCCGCAGCAGGTACTGGAGCCCATCAATCAAAGCACGATGGCACCAGTCCTTCACTATCTTCATCCAGCCTCGACGGTAGTTTCTGAAACAGCAAACCAGGCGCAAGCAGCAGCAGTTTCTTCTGCACAAGCCCCACTCCCTCCTACGGCGCGAACGTCTCAACGCGCCGCCATTCAGCCGCTCTTGGAGCAGTTTTGGGCTCTGGCGGAGCAACACGCACAAGTGACAGCTCGTGCCGAGCTGTTGGCTAGCTTGCGACCTCCGAGTCCACAAAGCCTGCAGAGCGAGCTGCTTGACGACGACGAGATGATTCATGACGAGAGCTTCCACACTGTTGGCCAGCACGATGCCTCGTCCCTGCCCGCCACTGAGTATCACGAGTTTGGCCAGGAGCACATTGACACAAATGAGTTGCTTGCGGCCCTGGATGGGGTGGCACAGGCGCACAACTCTTCGTATGGCGGAAATTTCGCCACCACTGGCTGGGAAGACATCAAAGCCACCCTGGGTCATCAGTCATGGCATGCTGGTCACGCAGCTGAGCAATCGACCGATTATTACTACTACAACTAGATACCGTGGTGATGTGGGTTTGTTTGTACGTCAGTTTTCGTTTCTGAATCAATTTTTGTTTGCCAAAAAAACTAGTTGCTGTAATCCGAATAACAAGGATCCATCGAATATACACAACTGCAGAATCGTATTAAGGCAAAAATAACAATGTGGTGGTAGCGCAAGAGCACAGACCCGCGAGCAAAAGCACAGGGAGCGATTCTTTACTCGTCAGCCTCCTCGTCGGCGGCGATCTTGAAGTAGCGGAGCTCGTAGGTGGTGGGGCTGGTCGAGACGACGTGGAGGTAGTCACGGAGCTGGGACTTCTTGAGGAACTTGTTGGTGAGGTACTTGAGGTAACGCTTGCTCAGGGGGATGTCGTTGGCAGTAACGGTGACCTTCGAGGCATCGGTGGTGATGGCAATGTGGCGGCCAAGGTTGTTGATCTTGCCCTCGACCTTGATGCGGTCGTGGAAGAACTTCTCCTGCACACGGGGAGAAAAACGAATCACGCGGCGCAAAGAGATTCGCGCAGGGAAAAAAAGGGGGGAGAGGGGTAGAGTTTGAGCAACAAGTCGGAACGATTATCATGATTTTTCAAAAGGAGTTGTTTCGGTGCGGATGTGAAGGTGGAAGACATGTTGCCTCAATTTATAAAAAATATGAAGAGGCGTAGCATCCTGTTTCAATCCCTCCTTTTCAAACCTCATTTCCTTTCCCTGCCGCGTCGCTCCGGGCCGATTTTGCATTTGTCCACTGATGAAGCGAAACAAAAACGCAAAACAAGCGAAAAGCGACGAGCAGGAACGAGAAAATGTGGGCCAAAGGAGCGTTTTTGAAAGAGAAAACGAACCGTCTGTGGAAGAGAGCCACAGCGCACCAAAAGGCATTTTTTTTTTGTGAAAAAAAATGATCTCCTCGAAAATGGTAAACATTCCTCGAGTACTCGAGAACAAAGCTGCATTTGAAGGCGCTTGCTTTGGGGGACTGTCGGGAAACGAGGCCCCAAAAACAAGCGCGCCAGCAAAAAGAAACAGCTCTTTTTCGGCGATTTGAAAAGACAGCGAGTGATGCTGCCAATCAAGCCAAAAACGTGGGGCGACTTGAAGCAGTCGCGTGTTCCCGGAGCAGGCGGAGGAGGTTGGGGCTGGTGGCCAGAGCGCGCTGTTTGCAAAGAAAGAGGGATGGCAAAACGAAAAGACGCATGGTCCTGTTCTCTTATCTTCGCCCTCGCCTCCACTCGGATCCGCACCTCCCAGCCCATCAATCACACGCGCGTAGTATAGTCCCCCAAGTCAACTTACAAGCTCGGCAATCTTGATGATGGCATCCTCGACGGGGTGGGAGCAGTCGACGATGAAGCGCTGGGGCTTCTTCTTCTGGACCTTGCCGATGCGCTTGGGAGCGACGGTCTTGACCTTAGGGGCGGCAGCGGAGGCGGCGACGGGGGTGGAAGCGGCGGCAGCAGACATTACTGTAACGGATTGGGTAGGGTGCGGGAGGCGGGAGTCGACGCGGACGTGCGGATGGGCAACCAAAGGAAAGAGGAGAGAGAGCGATGGAAAATGAACTTTTTGGGTTTTGAGGTTTTGTTTGGAGCAAAAGTCAAAATCCCAAAAATCCAAAAAAAAAAAAAAAAAAAAATCCCGAAAAATCCCAAAAACCTAAAAATCTATCTCAGACCAAGCGATCGATCGATTCTGACAAAGATGAGCAAGGCTCAAACAGTGAAAAGAATTGTCTTGTATTGTAATGGCAGCAAGCAGCAAGACAGCACTCTAACTTTTCGCTCATTTCCTTTCGTTTCTTTCCTCCTCCTCTCTCCTTACCTGTTTCCCAATGCTGCGACTCAGCAGAGCGCCGATCGGCATGGGCAGCAGCCAAGGCCAGAGTGCTGCTGTTGCTGTTGTTGCGTGTGCCTCTGCCGCAGTTGCCGCTCGTGCCTTGTCCTTGTATGGGGGACGGGCAGCCGTTCGCCGAACGCTGTACAAAGGCAAGGAGCACGCTCAGCAAACGAGCCAGGAGCGGAACGCACACGCACTCGACGCCCAGACGCAGCAGGAGCAGTACCAAGCACGCACCAGCAAACCCAAGCAGGAGCAGCAGCGGCAGCAGCAGCCCAAGCAGCCTGAGCAGCAGCCGCAGCAGCAGCAGCAGCAGCCCAGACCCTTCGCTCCCTCCTCGTCGTACCAAGAGCGACTCAGCAGCGGGTTACGCCGTCGCCAGGCCGGGGCTGAGGCAGAGCAGTTTGGCCGCAACAAGACGTCGTTCATGACTGGCGTGCATGGTCTGGCGACCCCGTCGTCGCTGCCCCAGCGCAAGCACCCTCTCTACCGCATGTTCAATGCAAGTCCTTTTTGAGCTGTGTGCTTGCTTCGTGTCCTGAAGCAGCGATTCCATGGACGACGACACTAACAACAACAAGTTTTGTCTTTTTGTTTTTTTTCTTCCGTTTTGGTGGCAACAATAGGAGGAGGATCAGAAAGAAGAAGCGGAACGCGAGGCGATCGAGCGCGACGCCAAAGCGCGTGCTGCAAAGCACCAGTTCGTGCTCCCTCGCCAGCGCCAATTTGTTCCGTACCAACCCATCAACCGCAACGCTGAGGATGTTGCTGCAGCCAAGCCACACGTCTTTGCTTCGGTCAGTTGGCACCGTTCACCAGCCCCCAATGCATTTGCTCTTCATCATCGTCACCATCGTCACCATCATCATCATCTTACTGACGCTGCCCTTTTGGTTCTTTGTCTTGACCAACAACCACAAAAAAACACACGCACAGAACTATGTCATGGATGACTATGCACGCACAATGATTGTCCGTCTGTACAAGTCCGATCCGCGAACCTGGACTCTGCGTGCGCTCTCGCAGCGTTTCAACATTTCTCGCAACCGCGTGCAGGCCATTCTGCAACTCGCTGCTCTTACGCCAAAGGTGAGAATCGGGGAGCTGGAGGGAGGAGGGGGTTGGACTTTGGCCAATTTGCCTGTTTTTCTTCCTGTATTTATTTTGATAATTGGGTCCTTCATCTCGGATTGCCCTGACCATGAATGCCCTTCTTGTAGCCCTTCACTGCGAGCCTTGACACTGAGCCGTGGATTCCGCACGACCTGGACCACTTTCGCGCCGACAGTGCGTGGATTCCTGGCGACATGCTCCTGAACACGCCTGCGTTTTTGAAGGCAGTGGCCATCAACGCGCTAAGAGACATGCGCGAGCTCGGACACAGCATCGGCGATATTCCAGCGCTTCACAAGGCTGTTGAGAGTGGCAACACGGAGCGCGTGCAATCCCGCTTTGATCGCGACGACCGGTTTGCGACCGACCTGCTGGTCGAGTTGTACGAAAAGCACGCCAGCACCTTGCCTCCGTTGCGCGAGGTCGCACCGCGGCTGAACGACCACATCACCCCACCCAAGCTTGATTTTACGACCACATCCGACTTGCCCACCTCCTCGGCGGTACTTCTCCGAGTCTCGGACCCAGCTGCCATCTCCTTCACCAATTTCTGGCCTTCCAGCACACTTGGCAACGCTGCCGATTCCTCCGAGTGGGAAGACATCCACTCGTTCGAGGATTCTGACTCTCCAGACGAAGTCGCTGAAGCAACCAGCAACGTTGATCCGGAGAGCGCAGAAGCCGATCTGGAGAGCGAGGAAGCCTGTCTGGAGAGCGAGGAAGACGTCGAAGCCGAGCACGAACTTCTGGGGAGTCGCCCCGTGGTTGCCAACATGGATGCCGAGCAACTCACTGAAATTGAGGAGATGGAGGAGGACGACATGCACTTTATGGTTCAGCTGGAGCGCAACATGCGCGATGTGCGACTAGCACACGCCCGCCGCTACGGCAACACACTGGAGCCGCACAGCTTTGCCCCGCTCAACGACACGAGCACCTTGCCTCCAGGCGCGGACGGGCGCAACATTGACTATGTCTCGTATCCCTCGTTCGTGCTTGCCGATGACGCCTCGTTTGTTCAGGTGAGTTGAAAGGTTGAGTGTGTTTGATGTTTTTTTTTTGTTTTTGTTTTTTGCCGCTGTTCGAGCTGTTGTTGTCTCGTTTGTGCTCACCTGCTCGGCTCACTTGACCATGAATGGTATTTAATAATTGACCTTCTTTCATGCACTGTTAGACCGTGCGCGCGGCCAGCAACCCTCGCCCAATCAGCTTTGCGGAAGACCACGACTTTGCCAACCCGCTAAACCTCCAGTCCCAAACACTCGCAACGCGCGCCCTTGGTGCGCACCGTCATCCCATCACCTTTGTCAATACTAGCAAGCGTCAAGATAAGAGGGTAATGCTTTGTGTAGATCCTTGCATTTTATGTTTTCTTTTGGTGTTGCCGGTTGGGACGAGCGCTCACCAAACCCCGTTTGCTTTTGCTTGATTGTAACAGCGGCGCGAGTGGCGACAGTACAATCCCGAGACAGAGGCGTACGTCCCTGATTTCCGTGCCAGGAAGCGCATTACAATTGCAGAGCGCGATGGCTCGCTCCGCACCGCAACTGGCAACGAGGCTGTGGTGGCACAACATCTTGTCTACCCGGCCTTCCGCCGCACTCTGCGCTCCGTTTTGCCAGCCAACTTGCCCCACCCTGACGATCTGCCAGTGGCTTAAACAGTTCCGTGTAGTGGATGACAGTTTGTATTTGTTTTCTCGCTCTCTCGCTCTCTCGCTCTTTCTCTCTCTCTCTCTCTCTCTTTCTCTGTCTCTTTTATCTTCCTCTCCACCTCTTCTTCTTTCCAATGTACTGTTTCCTTCCAAGCCGTATTGTGCTGATTGCCCGTTTCCAACAACTCCGTACCGTGTCAATTGCCAATACATGCTCACCAGAACCGTTCAAAAATCCTGAAAATTTCGCTTCCGTCGTTAACACGACACCAAAACCACACTGATAAAATCCCAACATGTCACATCTACACAACCTGAGGACAGGCAACACGGACCAAACTATTTCGGGCCCAGCGCAGGAACAATGTGCTGGCGCGCATACTCCCACACCATGAGAGCAGCAGAGACATGCACGTTGAGCGAACGCACAACGCCAAACTGAGGGATTTCAACACAGACGTCCAACAGCTGAATCAGGTCTACTGGAATGCCAGTACGCTCACGCCCAAGCAAGATGAGCGACTTTTGGGGGAAGGAGAAGTTGGAGAGTCGCTTGCCCTCGGCCGTCTGCTCAACGCCGACCAGAGTGTAGCCCTCGCTCTTTTTCTGCTTGAGGTAGGCTGGCAGCGCGTGGTCTTCCACCTGCTTCAACGGCATCCACTTGTCTGCAGTGACACTGAGCTGCTTGAACGTGTCGTCGGTCGTCACACGGAGATCGTGCATGACGAGCAAGCCCGCCTTGAAAATCTCGCACGTGCGCGTGAGGCCTCCGAGATTCGGCACGCGATCAATCAGCGAAGCGACAACAATGAGATCCGAGCGGCCTGTTCCAGCAAGAGGTGCAACCGGACCGTTGGCCACGAGAGGGGACGCCGCGTCGACGCCGACCATGGACGCAGTGGCTTGCTGCCAGGGCGTGAGCTTCTTTTGCACGTTCGTGCTTGGTGCGGCGGATTGCTGCTGCTCTTGGTCTTCCGGCGCAGGTGGCTTGCCCTCGTTGGCTTCCATCTCTGCATCTGCACGTGCTTCGGCCGCTGCCTCGGCCTCCGCCTCGGCTTCTGCTGCTGCGGCTGCCGCCTCGTTCAAACGCGGAACAAACTGGCGCATGGCGGTGGAAGAACGCACTGCAACATAGGTGAAAATGTGCGACTCGTAGTCTTGCTCGCAAAGGAGGACAGGCTTGTGAAGACGGCCACAAACAAATGCGGGAGCCGTGGTGGTGGGTGGCGGCGTGGGTGCCGAGCGAGATCGACGAAGCGCCAGTCCATGCCAGTGTTTGCGCACCAGCTCGACATTCATCAGAGTGGCTTGGCTGCCAAGCGCAATCAGCGGCAGGTAGTACACAATAAGCTCGACATTGAAATCCAGCACGGGGTCAAAGCCCGAGAAGGAAAAGTCCCGCTTGAGCTTGTTTGCGTGCTTGACACACTCTGGCGAGGTGGCAAGGAACTTCATGACGTGACCCACAACATTGGCACCGCTGCCCATCTGGTTGTCGGTTTCACCAGCACGTGCAGACGCGGAAGAGTCACCCAGCACGACGCGAAGCGGAATGTGCGACGAGGCCAGCAGCTCGGCCATGCCGACAACCGTGGCCTGCGCGTACAAGCGCATTGCAAATTGGTGCGATGTAATCCAAGGAAGCACAAAGTCCAGAGTGCGGGCGCAGAAGCGAATGGCAGACGCCGTGCGGGGCTGCGCGCAATCGTGGTCGCCCCGAGCTGCTGCGTCACTCAATGGAGCCTTGTCGTTCGAGCTGCCCGTTGACCGCTCGGACAGCGAGTCGGCACACAGCGCTCGTGCCAGTTGCATGCACATGGCGCAGAGCGAGTTCAGGGTTTGCGTCGTCACGTACGAGCGAGTGAAGGGCGACCAAAGCGCATCAAACATGGCTGTCGTCGGATGGGCAAGCACAGTCAACACAATGACCCACTCCATGATGGTGCGAATCGTCATGTGGTTGATGTGATCGAGCGTCTGCAAAACGCGCTGCACGAGCTCAAGCGCATCGGGTTCCCCACCGCCCAGGACGACTGGGGTGAGGAGCAGCACGCCTTGCCAGACATGCAGCTTGCCAATGAAAATGTCGGAATCGGGGAAGTAGCCGCCTGTCGTGCTGTTGGACATGCCGCTGTATCGCGAATCGCGCTGGATCAGGAGATCGATCGTGGTTTTGGCAATGGCAATGTGCGTTGGATTCTCGGAGGAGAGGCTCGAAATGTAGCCAAGGGCAATCGCGCGAACTTCTGCATCCGCATCGGCAATCAACGCCAGAGGGTCTTCCAAATCGACATCAGCAACAGCGGCAACAGCAGCACCTGGAGTAGCATCCTCGCGGCCGTCCACGTCAGACGACACAGTGGCCCCGGCGACTTGGTGCAGATTGGTAATCATATCAAACATTTTAGAGTACAGCCGAGCAGCAGACACTGCTCCCAGATTGCTCCTCAAGAATGGGCGGCAGGTTCCCACATCAAGAAGACGCGCGAGGTACGAGCTGACGAACGGCGCTTGCTCGAGCGTGGACGCAGCTCCTGCGTTCCAAGCGGTGCACAGCTGGCGCGCCACAGTGAGCATCAAGCCGGGGCGAGTCGTGTTGATCTCGCTAATCTTGTCGAAAATAGCGCGAAGCCGCTCGGCAGTGTTTTTGCCGGTCGGGATGGAAAACAACTCGCGCTTGCTGCCTCGAGCGCCAGAATTCTGGATCTTCTTGATGGAGACGGTGCGGGGAGGTGGGGCGAGCGAATGCAGGCGAGTGACACGAACAAGTGCGGGATGGAAGGCAAGACGCGCAACCGCGGCAACCACGCTGGGGAACACGCGATCTCCATCACGCTCGGCCAGAATTTGCCAGCTGGCCGTCACAGCACCAACCAGCGCGTCAACCGAAACAAAGGACGCGTCCCCGGAAGCTTCGCCGTCTCCATCCACCTCGCGGGCGAACGGGGCAACCAACATCAGGCAGTCGAGCACGGCGAACGCACCATCGAGTTCGACCACATCGAACGCCTCGGTGCACACACGCACCACATCGGCTGGCAAAACCAGCAAGGGCCGCTGCTGAGCAATACCCACATTCTGCAACAAAAGCAGCTGGTGGAGGGTGCGATACTTGCGGAGCGAGAACAAACTGGCAATGTGTGACCAGTTACCAAGACCGACTTCCCACCCGCGCGGCTTGCGCAGCTCAACCTCGATGGTCTCGGCAGTGGCTTGCTGCAGTGCTTCCGGACTATCATAAAGAGCAGTGGCAGCAACGTACAGGCGATCAACAGGGGCAAACTCGAGCACGTCCTGGATGGTTTTCACCGCCAAAGTGGTGTGGAAGGCGCCGCTGATCGAGCCAAGCTCACGCCGGGCGGTCGACAACAGCTGCCAGGCCTTGGTGAATTGGGCGCATTGGAAGTCGATCACTTGGTTGCGAACGGGCTCTGAGACACCTTGCTCGGTAGCCATTTCAAAGATGGCATGGCAGAGGGAGGACAAGGATTCGGCAGCGATCAGCTCCGAGGACGTCGGCAGGTCAAGAGATGGGTCAACTACAATAGCACCGAGGGTCGGAAGGAGCTGCTGGAACAGGACGTCATCTGGCAGGGCAGCACGCACGGTCGCGCTAAAGGTGGCGGCACTGGTCTGACGACGCAAGCTGAGCAACAACGCCAGCGCCGGGAAGGCACGAGACTGGACCAAGTGCATGGGCCGTGCTTCAGAACAGCAAACCCCGAGGTCGCTACGCAGGATTGTAAACACGTTCTGGAGCAACAAAAGCAAGGCGGAAGGATTGTTGAAGACAGCCAGCGAAATCAAAAACGCAAGCCACTTGGCTTGGCGGAGCCAGTCCGGGAATACAGCGAGGGGCGACGTTGGTGTGGATTGCAAGAACGACGCAGCTAGCTCGGACTGGATGTTGCGGGCGAGCCAGGTAGGCTCAGCGTCTGCTTGATCGTCAAAGGACCGAATGGACCAGAGCCAGCGACTCAACAGGGACAGCACAAGCGCAGAAGGCTGGAAGGAGGAATCATCAAAGATGATGGCCACAAATCGAAGCAACTGCTCAAAGGTGAGCGGAAACTCAGAGTCTGATGAGGCTGGCGAGCGCAGGTAGCTGCCCGAACGCTGCTCGGTCTTTGCCGAGGTGGCACTGCCGTTGTTGGCGGTGGCACTGACGAGCGGAAGCGAGGTGGCAGTGTGCCGTTGCAGCGTCAGCAACGCCAAGGCATGGATCGGGTTTCGAAGCTCGACCTCGCACATCATGACTGTAACTGCCTCGAAATGCAGGAGGTGCTCGATTGTGCGTGCATCGATTGCTCCAGGAAGCGGCGGCATTGATGCAAGCAACATGAACTGTTTTTGTTGTGCCAGGACACGCAAAGTGGGAGAGGGGGGGGGGGTCAGCCGTATAAACCGAAAAACGCAAAACCAGCACACGCTTTCACAAAAAAAAAAAAAAAAAAAAAGGCAAAAACACAAATCGCAAAAAAGCAAACTCACAACATGGATGGCAGATGGGATGGAACGGTTGTCGCACATGACATGAATGAGCTTGCGGAAGAGACGCCGACGCTCGACATCGGATGGGAGCAGTTCGACCACGTACGCCAAATGCCGCCGCATAATGGAAGCGTGACGCTCGTGTGTCATGAAATCTGTAATCAGGGCAAAGCGGAAGACAGTGTCCACGAAAAAGTCCACATCCGCCAAAAGCAGATGCGGCTCTCGAACTGCTGATGCGTCCGGTGCCGATCGGCTTTCGCGCGGGTCTTGGGTGGAGATGGGTGCGGGTGTGGTGCGGGTGCGAGCGTGCTTTTGGAATCGCCGGAAGAATGGAGCTTGGGCCTGCTGTTGCTCTTCGTCGTCTTCGTCGTCATCGATCGCATCCGTGGACGTGTTGGTTCCGCCGGAGACGGGCGCAGGGGAGCGCGCATTTTTGCTGCGGTATTCGTCGCTCAGTTCGCCCAAGACGGTGTCGAGGGAGGGCGTTGCCAGGCTGGAGCGCACGTCTTGGCGCAAAAAGAAGCGGAAGGCACGGTGGATGACGCGTCGATTCTCGTTGCGGAAGAGGCGATCAAACAAGATTTTAAACCAGGTTCCGTGAAAGTTGCCTTCGGTGGCCGTTCCACGACGCGGCAACAGTGTCACCCAGCGAACAAGCACCTGGTCGATGATGCTGAGAGACGTTTCTTGGAACGTATCGTAGAGCAAGCAAAACTCTTCAAACTGCACACGCTGGCTTTCAAAAGAGGTGCGCTCGCCGTGGAAGTAGTCCGTCCATCCTTCGTTCGAGTCGCCGCCGGGCACGACCTCGTGGATGAAGGCTGTCGTGTCAAGAACTCGCTTAATCAAGTAGACGCCGCGATTGTTGGTGAGAAAATCAGCATGCTTCAGGGCGTGGTGCACCAGCTCCCAAAACCGCGCGTCACGGCGCAGATCGAGGCGAACAATGTCCGAAAGGTGCACGACGGGTTGTGTGCCACGAACATGGTCGGACCGCGACACGAAAAACAGGTCGTACATGGCGCACAAGGTCGCGACGGCGTCTACTTGCACGGCGTCAGAGTCGTGGCGACTCATGGTGAGAATCACTGCCCATAGATGGGAGATGAATGACTCCAGCGGCTTGCTTCCGGTTGCCCCAACCGAAGGGCTTGGCGCTCCGACAAGCGTGGCTGGCAATACGAGCTCGGCGTTCTGGACCATGAGCGGAATAATGACAGAACCGATGCTGCGACGAACCTCTCGGTCGGCCGACAGTGTAATGCAGTGAAAGCAGGCGCTAGTGGTGATGGCCCAAAAGTCAGGCGCACGCTCGGCGCACTGACGCGCAACGGCGGGCGATCGAAGCAGCTCGGCAATCACGGCGCAAAGGGTCGATGCCTGGATGGACACTGGAATCTCGCTAGCGGCCTGCTTGTTGGCAATCGACTTGACGCCATCGAGCTTGCTGTTGCCGTCAAATGCCTCGAGAGAGAGCTTGACATAGTCACGAAGCGATTCGCGCATGAACGTCACCACAGTTTGGGCGTGAGGGAGCGCCGTTGCCAGAGTCGCAACCAGCAACCGCACGCTGAGCGCAGCAAGTGTATTGCCGCCATTGCCTCCCTCGGTCGAAGGCGTGTAGTTCATGGTATCCGGCGCAGGCGGCTGCGGTACATCCAGCCTCAGTGGCTCTGTGCGTCCCACGAGGACTCGGTCGCCAGCGAGCACCGCTGCCGGGATGATGCCCAGTGGGTTGTCCTGTGTGCTCGCATACGTCAATGCAGGCGCTGGAGTGATGGTCTCTCCCACCTTGGCCTTGGCGGCATCAAACGTGTTGTTCAGCAACGGCAACACATGGATTCGGAGCAAGCGAGCCAGGCCGTCCTCCTGAGCGTCGTCGTGGTCGGGCTTGGTCGAGCTAGCTGAGCTGGCTGAGCTGGCTGAGTCAATGTGAGTGCTGCCTGGCGCGACTGGCGGCTGCGAGGCAGAGGCAGAAGCGGAGGACTCGAGCAGGGCAATGACAGCGCTCAGTTGCTGCTTGACTGTGGCCAGCGCCAGAGTCAGAGTCGGAGTCAGAGTCAGAGTCTGAGTCTGAGCATGAGCATGCGTAGTCGAAGTGGGAGCCACAAGGGCAGTCAAGCCATGGCACGCGCTGTCGGCAAGCGAATGCAGCAGCTGCAGCGCAATCGCAGGCGGGAGCTGTCCAGCCAGAACGTCCATTGGGAGCTGATCTCGACCAAAAGGGAGTGGTTTCAAGTTAAGATGTTGGATCTTGGTGGAATTGTACAGAATTGTCAGAGTGCGGTTTTTGCTTGGTTCAGTAGCTGGAGGTCGAAAAAGGTTTGCGGCAGAAAACGTTCAAAGTAGTGTCCACTGCTTTAACAGGATTTGTCGCTGGGTGCGTCGAGAGTGCTGGTAAGTGCAGTCAATAGGATTGCTGGAGTAAAAGCCGAATGAGAGCAAGCATCAGCGGTGGTCAATGTTGCACTGCAGAACAAAAAACAACTACTGTATTGCTTCAACATGCCAAAACATCGTCGTACGCCAATGTCAATTCACAGGGGTGTTGCGCAATGGTCGCTTCCCCTTATCCACAGAAACATGTTTAGACGAACTGCGGACCAAAAGAGGGGATTCGGGGATGTCTGGAATCGGGGAATAGCCTGCAACCGCCTGCTGGCGAATAGGCGAGGCGCGGTGAAAGTGAAATCTGTGCAACCCTTCGGGCTCGTCGTACACGGAGGGCATGCGGTCGTAGATTGCAACACTGTGAGGAACAACGCCTGTGGACGGGAAGGGAACAAGCTGTTGGTTTTGGTAGCAGTAGACATCCAGGTAGTCGGCCCACCCGTGGCTTGTAGACTTTGAAGCAATGTCTGTCGCCCCAGCAGTGGGTGGCAGATTGAGCGAGGAAGACTCCTTGCGCTGCTGTTGTTGTTGTTGCTGCTGCTGCTGCTGCGGTTGGGATGTGTGAGCCTGGGTGCTCGAGGAAAATGTCTGGTACCGACCTGCAGCAGATGGGTGGTGAAATTGGTAGTGCTGCGACTGCGGCTGTCCTGGAGCAACGGAGGCGCCTGGTAGCGTGATGTCACTTTGGAAGGGGTGGCCTGGCATGCCTGGCAGATTGCTTTTGATCCCGGGATCTGGTTGGAGCTCGAGCTTGCACTCGCGTCGCTTCTTTCGATTCGCAAGCAAACTTGGAAACAGCGCAAACAGGACGGCGACGACATGTTCTTGCGGTGCCACGTGCGCAGAAACGCAGCGCATGCTCAGTAACATGGCAAACACCCCCGCCAACGCGATAGGGATGGACAGCAGGGTATGCAGATGAGCGCCGTCCACGCCGTAGCCGACCAGGCTCCCGCCGATCGCAGTCACTGTACCAATGCCGAGAGCCGTCCGAATGCACCAATTCGGAAGGTTGAGTGGCTGGGCATCGAGCTCTGATGGTTGCTGTGGCGGAGGCAGATGCGACAAGGCTTTGGCCAACCTTGTCGGCCACCACCATGCCGGTAGAAGGGCTGGAAACTGAGGGATGGTTTCCAGAGGGCCGAGTTTCATGGTGGCCGAGGCAGACCCTGAGGCAGCAGCGACAATGTATGGAGTGAGCCGAATCCGGCATTGAAGAACTTTGAAGCTGCTGTAAAACCAGAGTCCCGCGAACGCGGCAGTGGCCGACGCCAAAGCATCAAAGGCGGCCATAGCCACAAATCCAGATATGTACTCGCTAATAATGAAGGATATCAGGGCTCCGACGTTGGCAGTCTGCGAGACAACGAGGCAACAGTCAGGGTCAGGCGGAAAACACTTCCCCTTGCGCAGCCAATGTCAGCATTGCACGTACCATCCAAACGAGCATTGGAAGAGTGTAAGGATACTCTGCGCCAAAGACCATAACGAGCCTCAGGTTTATCGGCAACAAGCTGATGAACGCCAGAGGAAGATACGAAAATTGGATCGCCTTAGAGTGCGGAGCAGTTGCGATCGCATCCTGGACAATCGGGACGAACGAAAATATCGCGGTTGCTCCAGTAACTGTGAGCGCCAAAAGAAAAACTGTCCGCCAGTATCGCCTCAAAAAGTCTGTGCGCCACACGGTTCAACGTTGAGCATGGGCAAAAACAAACAACCATCCAGCAAAGCTCCTTCAAGCAAAAACGCCATACCTGCCCCCATCGCTACATCCAGCACATGAGCTTGACGCGACTTTGTGAAATTGGAGACTGTGAGCATCGGAGCGCTAATTGCTCCTGTCAAAGTCGGGCTGCTCCGAACCAAACTTGGACAGACTGGAAACACGGTTTGAGCGCAAAGATTGTAGTGAGTACGAATTTACTTTAGGCCGTTCTCTGACATAGTACCACGCATGCACACACCCACGCACGCATGAGGCTGCCATGAATGCGCGCCATTCCTTACGGGAGGTGGGCTGGACGAGCTGAATGACACGAGAACGCAATCCGTCTTCCACCAGCGCGCTTTGCTCTTGTGGGTTGACCGGCTGCGAGTACTCTCGCGAAAAGTCTGGTATTTCAAGCTGCTGCTGCTGCTGTGGCGTCGGCTTTGCGACGGGCATCTGCGTCGTTGTTGGCCCACCGGCGGCGTTCAAATTGACGGTAGGTAACAAAGTTGGCACGTCGCCCGCATTCGTGTCGCTGCCGACTCGAACGTCCTGTCCGACTCCCGGATCTCCGTCTCGGATGAATGCAGCGTGCGTGCCGGCCTCGTCTGACTGATACGGCGGTGCATCGCGGTCGTTCTCGCGCAGATACGTTCGCGGAGCGTTCAAGTCGCGAACGACCATTTGTTTCCTACAGACTCCAATTCAATATACTTAAAAAAATCAGATCTGAGCCTTTCCGTCGCTTTATTCGGCATCGGACGCATTTACATTTGTTTTAGGCAATATCAGTCACTCTGCTAAGAATCTGAGCACTGTTCTCGACTTTGATCAGTCTTTCGTCGTCTGTCTGTCGCGTCACTCAATTCGCTGATGTCGCTGAGCCGTGTGCGCCTCTGCATTGGCGGTCTGCCGGCGAGCGGCGCGCTGTCAACACGCGACCTGGACTTTGTTGCTGCAATCCCATCTCCAGCAGCCATCCGAGCAATCCTGCTGCAGGCCTCGCAACAGCAGCAGCAGTCTCAGTCGGGATCCAGCAAGAAGGAGGATGGCAGAGCGACTGAGAACGACTCGGACTACGAGTCCGACACCGATGATCATGCCGATGCCGATGCCGATGATGCTGCTGAGAGCGGTGATGACGGTATCGAGGCAGACCAGGCTGAGGACGACGACGACGAGTCAAAGCCTCGTGTCGCACTGACTGCCAAGCAGCTCGTGCTCGTGCCGCTGACCTCGCCGCAACTACCGCCAGCCGCAAGCCACGCCCATGGCAATCATCATCATCAACACCAGTCTGCTGTTGCAGGGGCCGGCGTGCGGGTCGCGTCGTCAATGGTCCGTGTCGCAGACGCCCAGCTCGTGTGTGCCAATCTCGTCCCTGCAGCGACTCTGAAGAGCAATCCTGATGCTACGCAGTTGCGTGCGCAAGCGCTCTCTCAGATGGGCAGTGGTCCTCGCAAGTTGGAGGCCCTGAATCCGTGGACTTGTGGTGCTCACGTCGCAGAGGGAATGCTCACTGACAAGACTTCCGTAGTACTGAGCACCGTTGTGCCAGATGATGATGCAGCAGTGGTGGATTCAGCAGCAAGCGCAACGAATGTGCCATTTCATAGCAACTTCCATCAGCTGGATCAGTTCCTCTTGCTGGCTTTGTTTGCCCGATCGCAGTGCCTGGAACATGGCACAAAGGCGCCAAACGTTGCCCTGCTCCACGGACCTCATGGAACGGGCAAGTCAGTGTACCTCCAAAACGCGGCAGCTTCTGCTGGTGCAAGCTTTCTCAAAGTCCGAGCATCCGATTTGTTCATTTCGCACCCCGGTGCGGTCGAACGTGGCTTCGAGCGCTGGATGGTCCTCGCCCAGAAGCTGCGGCCCTGCGTGCTTGCCATAGAGGACGCCGATGTCATGTTTCCGCAAGAGCCTGCTGGCTCCAGCACAAGTGACAGTCTCGGTGGTCATCGTGACGGAATACAGGACGAGAACGATGCGGACGCGGACGATAGCGCGAGCGATCTGTCCAATGCCGATCGCGACATGCGCCTTGTCTACTGCGCAATGAGCTTGTTTGATGCTGCTGCTGCTGCTGCAGCAGCAGCGAGTCACACCTCACCACAGGGGATGACTGATGACTTTGGCGTGGCAATAGTCTTGGTCACGTCTCGTGGCGCTACTTCCATCCACCCGCTCATCCGCAGCCGCTGTGATGCAGAAGTTTCCATTCCGCTCCCGGCAGCAGGCTTTCGGTTGCAACTGACTTCTCACTTGTATCACAACCTCGTGTCGCGCCTACCATGGCCATCGCCACCACCGGCGGTCGTCCCCGCCACTCAAGAGCACGACCTCGTGTCATACCTCGTCGATGCCTGTCAAGGATTTTCCGGAGGCGATCTCATGCATCTATTTGCTCAAGTGGAACTGGAGGCTATTTGCCATGCCGCCTGCTGCCCTGACGAATCCTCGCCATCCGTCTCCCAAACCCTCTCTAAAGCAGCGTTCGCCCCGCATGTGACCGCAGCGCGCAATCGACTCACTGCGTTAGCCTCGCGGACTGCACACTCGGATGCTGTGAGCACAGCAGTGCGATGGGACGACATTGGTGGCCTGGACTTGGTCAAGGCGCGCCTCAAAGAAGCGGTGGAAGGTGTGTACAAGCACGCACGGCATTATGCGCGGCTCGGGATCTCCCCGGTGCGAGGAGTGCTGCTGTTCGGGCCGCCTGGGACTGGCAAGACCTTGCTCGCCCGCGCCGTGGCGACCGAATCGCACGCCAACTTTCTGTCCGTGTCGGTGCCTGATTTGGTGAAAGGGCACGTTGGTGAATCGGAGCGAACGCTGCGTCGCGTATTTGCTCGGGCCGTGCGGCTTGCTCCCTGCGTTGTATTTATCGACGAGATTGATGCCTTGTTTGGCACGGTGCTGGATGCGCAAGCCACGCAGGACGCCAACGCAGCAGCGCCTCAGCATGGGTTTCAATTCCCACCGCGAACTGCCACCATCCCCAATTCCAATTCCACTGCGGCGTCGAGTCTCGAGGCTGCGAAACCGGGTATGCGCTTCAACTTTGCTCCTCGCCAACCGCGCGAGGGCACTTCTACCCTCTCACCGGCCAACACGATCAAGCCACTCGCTCGTGTTTCGGCTGCTATCGCACCCACACCCTCCTTTGACCGGCCTGCCTTGTCCCTGACAAGTGCATTGCCTGTCGTGTCGTCGGAAATGGTGGTCAATCCGTCCGACTTGTCGTCGGCGACCGCTGGCCATTCGACCAGTGCGAAGCTGCTCGCCCAGCTGCTCGCATCCATTGACGCAGCCTCTAAGATTGACGGCATCATCATCCTTGCAGCTACCAATCGCCCGCACGTGCTCGACAAGAGCTTGCTGCGTTCCAACCGGCTCGAATCGCATCTGTTTGTCCCTCCGCCGACCGCCCCAGAACGCGAGAGCATTTTGCGCGTCCGCTTGTTCCCAGGCTTGGACAGAGCACCTTTGGCAGACGCATCCGTGGACCTCAACTGGTTGCAGCAAGTGACGGAAGGTTTTACTGGAGCCGATTTGGCGAATCTTGTCCGCGAAGCAGGTGTTGCTGCCATTCATCGGTTTTCGACCTCGTCGGCGCTTATAAGTGCCATGTCGCTGCAGATTGGTCGCGGAGACTTTGAGCAAGCACTGCTCAGGGTGAGTCCCAGCACAAACGCTGGTCAGCTGAACGCGCTGAAAAATTGGGTTCATTCGCTGTAGATCTCTGCCCGTCGTTGGGGGTATCCATTCATTGGATTCACCCTTGTTCTACCATGTTATTCGCCTTGTCTGGCAAAAGGCTGAAGAGGCGGGGCATTCAGAATTGGTGGTTGGTGCAAGAATTGCAAATTTGACCTTTGCGACTCTTTGGTCCCCTCGACCACAGCCCCACGACACGACAGCTCTGCCTTGTACTCAATTTTGTCTCGTCCATGCAAAGTGTGCTGTATGAACATCCTGCACCGGGCTGTGTCAAATTTTATTCAACTATTGCACGACCTATTTGGTTGATCGCTCTCTCTTCTTTCTCAATAGTAAGTCGCCATTGATCCAAAGCTCGGCCATTCGGTGCCGTTTTCTCCTGAACGCCCCAGGCGTCGTACGGCCTTCGCTCGGCCGCCATAGTCGTCAACCGTCGTGCAGCATCGCCTGGTGGGGCTACGGCAGGGGTTGGAAATGTGTGCTGGGCTGGGGAGTTGGTTGGGCAGAGCATTGAACGAAAGCAAAGCTTTTTGCCAACTCCTGTCGCGCCCCTTTCGGCCCCCGCTTAGATCGCCATCCGCTCGCCTCTCGCGCTCGTAGCCCTGCCAATCCGATAGAGAACTGTCCACTTTATCGGATTTCGTCGTGAGGAGACGGAATGGAGGCCGTTTGGGCGCGGCAGTGAGCGGTGCAAACGGGGCGAGTCGAAGTGTTTGGAGCCAATGCAAAACCCATTTGGCTCCAGCCCCCCTTTCGGCCCGGCGAGCAGCATCCTCGCCCTCATCTGCTCGCTTTCCGTTTGGATTGTGAAAGGACCAAGGACTCGAAAAAAACACCTCTTTGGTGTCTGGGGTTGAGGATGAGGTGCAGAGCCATTGACAGCTCGGTCGACCATTTTCCCCCCTCTTCTGTCTCGCCTCCCAGGCCCTACTCAATGCACTGGAGATGATGCCAACGTCACATACCTTCCATGTTGAGTGGAGCTGGTCTCTTCCACTCCAACACACTGAATCACAAGAGACTTGTTTTTCTCACTTTTTTTTTTTTTGCCTCTTCTTCTTCCCTGCAGCAGCAATGGCTCAGCGACTGACCTATCGCCGCCGCCACTCTTACAAGACCTCGTCGAACCTCGTTCGCGTGGTCAAGACCCCTGGTGGCGTCCTCCGGTACATTTACCAAAAGAAGGCCGGCACCGTCCCCAAGTGCGGTGACTGCTCCCAGACCCTGATCGGTCTGCCCGCCCTCCGCCCTAAGGAGTGGGCTGGTGTCTCCAAGACCAAGAAGTCCGTCAACCGTGCTTATGGCGGCTCCCGCTGCGGCACCTGCGTCCGCGACCGGTATGTTGGGTTTTTTTTTTTCTTTTGCTTGTCGTCCTCGTTTCTTTAGCTCGCTGCTCGTGTTAAGCATGCCCAGTCTCATTTTTGATCTCTGTCTCTGCGTGTTTGCTCGTTTAGCATCCTCCGTGCTTTCCTCCTCGAGGAGCAGAAGATCGTCAAGCGCATGGTCAAGGCTGCCCCCAAGGCTTAAAAACAACACAAGTCTTGTCCCGCGTCTTGTCGTGCTTGTAGTCCTTTTATCCAAATGAATTTTATTTGGCTTTGATCCTGCTCGCAGTTTTGACTGGTCCAACAATAATCCACGACGTGTCTGCTTTTTGAAAGGGGGTGATTGTTTATTTGGATCGGAACGGAGCGAGAGTGCGCTCGACCGTCTCATCCCTCCTTCGTCCATGATTGTTGTACATTTGCATTTCATCATCCATTGCCGCATCAATACTTGACATTTACCAAATGGAGCGCAGTTAGTCTTCTTGTCCGTGTTTCGTTTTTCTATTGTGATTTTCATTCATTTCTGCTTCTTTCCAGATGGCAACAACGCGGCGGGAACCGACCACGCTGGTCACCGCGCAACCCGACGACACCATTACCTCTGTGCTGCAGCGCGTGCTGGAAGCCGAGAAGCAGTCGCGCGTCGCCCTTGCGCAGCAGCCAAACCGGATGGGAATGTGGCACTTGAACGAGGTGCCCCGCGAAGAGCCCTTTCCATTCCACATTGACGACCCCAATGACGCAGCAGACGACGAGGGCGACGACCGGGCGGATGGCGAGCAACAGGCGAATGATGCTGGCCGGGACGGCGAGCAGGAGGAGGGCATTGAGCGCGGCGCTGCTGAGCGCGGTGATGACGACGCGGAGGATGATGATGATGATGATGATGGTGCCGAGCTTGCCCGACGGCTCCACGCTGCGCTGTCGACCCTGCCGCCGAACGAGAGGCCGACGTTTGTGCTGACGGGAGACAGGAATGACCTGCCTGAAGCCATCCGGCGCTTCATTGGCCCCATCTCGGACGCGGATCGAGAGATGCTCCGGCGCCTTGAAGCCAGCCTGCCGCTGCCGAGGACGACAACGGCAACCGTGAATGCTGCCGCTGCCGCTCCTGCCCGCGACCCGCGCCTGCCACCCTTTGCTGCGGTCGCGCCGAGGCGACGCCGGGCCCAGGCTTCGGGCGTGCCGTCGCTCGTCCAGCTCGCTACCAGCGCCGTTGCTTTAGCTGTCCCACGCTACTATGACGAGCTGCAGTGGCTTCCGTCGTTGCGAGCAGTCGGTCTGCTGGCCCAGGTAAAGCTGCAAGAAAAAGAGTTGCATCGTCTCTGACGCAAAGAGTCAAGTAGGGGGGGTGTGGGAGGCGAATACCGTTGTTATCGTTTTGGCTGTTTTTTTGGTTTCCGAGTTTCTGGTCTTGGTTTCTGTCCCGCTCTGACTCTATGAGCCCTGAACTCCCAGATGCACCAAGACTCGTTCGAACACTGCCATCTTGCAGTGTACTTGTTCTCGCTTTGCACCAACTGGAGCTTCCTCGCCAATGTGACGCAAGTGAAGGCGCATCGACGCGTTTTAGCCAAATGCTTGCAGCATTTACGCGATGCAAACACATCTCGTCTTCGGTACACGGCTCGTGTAGAGTCGCTGCCTGAGATGCCCGCGGGCTTGCCGCGACTTCCGTTCGCACCGTGTGTCAGCGAGAGGGCGCCGCCAGGTTACATCCATTTCACCCTGGCCGAAGAGATTGGTGGGGCTGTGGCACGATGTGTCTCCAACTATGTGGGTTCTGTGGAGTCGGGCTCAACCTCCTTCGCGAGCTTAGAAGAAGCCAACCAGGCGCTCAATGTTGTGCGAGACATTGCTGCCGTGTTTGAAGACTTGCTGTGGAGCCCTGAAGCCGTGTTGGTCTTGAACCAAGCGCTCCGTTTGCTGGAGCTGATCTCCAAGCGATGCACAGACCCAGAGCACCCCGGACGGTTTGGATGCTCCACTCAGCAGCTCTTCCACATGCGCTATCGCTCTCGATACGAGCTTGAAATGCGGCTGGGCCGCTCGTACGAGCTGCACTGCCAGTTCCGCGAGAGTGCTGAAGCGTTCCAAAGCGCCGCAGAAACAGCACACGCTGCGCATCAAGAGGGCATCTTCATCTGCACAGCCTTGTTGACAAGTCGCTTGGCCACGCTCTATTTTGCGCTCAGCCGTAAGTCACCTTGGAGCGGGGTGGAATAAGACTCTTTGTGGCTGTGATTTCGTATCGTTTTTTCCCCTTTTGCATCGATCTTTGGCGTCTGACATCTTTTTTTTTTTCTTTTTTTCTTTTTTTTTTTTTCTTTTTTTTTTTTTCTTTTTTTTTTCTTTTTTTTTTTTCTTTTTTTTTTTTTCTTTTTTTTTCTTTTTTTGATCAACCAACAGGCTATCGTGATTCATTCCCCTTGTGTCTTCGCGCATTGCGAGAAGTGCAGGCCATTACTGGAGATCGATCGTTTGAGATCCTGCAAGATGAAGAAGAGCCTGCTGTCGAACAGACAGTGTTCTTGGAAGCCATCCCGCTGATAAAGAGGCCTGATGGCTCGGCAAATGTGATGCCACCTCGCCTTAGGAGTTCACAGAAACCCATCGCTCAAGTTGCTGCCGAAATTATTCACTCGGTGATTTCATCAGGCATGCTGATTGCGCCGACCGAGAATGAAATGCCCCAGCTGCAGCTCTCGCCAGTCGAGCTGATTGAAATTTTCCGGTACGCCTCGCGCATCCACGTTGCCAAGCGCCACTTTGGTCTTGCGCGCACGTACATTGAGAAGGCTCTCAAGATTGCCGATGCGCACTTTGCTCCATCCCATCCCATTGCTGCCACTGTCTTTGCGGACTTTGGCTATCTGCTTCTCAACATTGATGAGGTGGGCCAGGCTGTGGCAGTGCTCCGTCACTGCTTGTCATTGCAGCGACGAGTGTACGGCGATCAAAGTTTGCACGTTGCCGCTGCTGACCTGGAACTTGGATACAGCCTGTACGTGCAAAACTACACAAATGGCGCCTTTGCGTCTGCTGAACAGCACGTGTCACGGTCACTGGCCATTCGCAAACTTGTACGTGTTTCACTTGTCTGTGGTATTGCTGGCCTGCCTTTGGTCGCGTTGCGAAAACTCCCGCTGACTGACTTTGTATGTGGGGTGGGGGTGCCCTTTGTGTTTGTTCTTTGACTCAGATGCTGCCCACTGACCACGTTCTGCAAGCCTTTGCTCAGCGAGTGCTCGGCTTGATCAAGGAGGAGATGGGCATTGATGTGTCTGATGAATTCGAACCTGGCCGACGTCAGCTCTTGTTGGACGAGTCCAAGCAGCTGCAGACTGCTGGTCTCGGCTCTTGCCTCGAAGTTTTTGGCGAGGAGAGCCTCATCACGGCCAAGTATTACGGAAATCTCGGGCGCCTGTTCCAGACTTTGAAGCAACCCGCCGATTCGGAGATTATGCACCTGCAAGCGATTGCCATCAAAGAGCGTGTGATGGGTGTGAACGACTTTGAAGTCGCACTGTCCGTGGGGCATCTGGCGTCTCTCTACAACTACGATGTCGGCCTGTATGAGGCGGCAGAGGAGCTGTATTTGCGATCCATCTCAATTGGCATCCATCTTTACGGTGAAAGCTACAGGTACATTGGGCTACCATTTGTTGTTGCTTCCTTCTGTCGCGACCATTGCTGTTCTCTCATCTCAATTTGACGTTTGACTTTTTGGTATCTGACCAGCGGCTTGGAGTTCGACTACATGGGTCTCATCCATGTATACGAGCATCTTGGCAATGCAGAACGAGTAGCCTGGTACAATAACACGCTGGACAAGTGGGATCGCCTTCGGCTCGACAACCATCCCGCTCGCGCTGACGACTACGACCCCACGCTTGACCACGAGGATGACGATGCCTCATGGATCGACGAGGCAAGTTGACGAGTGCCTGCCAGTCAGTACAATGACGAAGGAAGGAGACTAGGGACCGCTTCTTTTTCGTTTTGTATTTGTTGTTAAAAAACAAAAAACACGCAATACACCACAATAATACAATCAAAAACAATAATACAATCGAAAACAAGGCCCGTCAGCCGTTCAAAAAGAAAGAGAAAAACAAACAAGAGGTAAAAGCGATTTGAAAAAATGCTTGTTGGCCACCAAATCAAAATATTCCAAAAGTTTCAAACGACAAGGCAGCGACTGGGGGTAAATTCAACGGGAAAAAAACCAGGCTGACGATTTACGCTTCCTCGTGTCCGCTGCTCGAAGACTGCTCGGCATCGATGAAGGTCTCTTGTGCATCCGCCAGGCCTTTGCGAATGGAAAGAGCCTCGTGGTGGAGAAGACCCGCTTTCGAAATGGCATCCTGCATCATGGCCACTTCGCGCTCAGCTCGCGCAATCTCGGCCGTCAAGGTTGCTTCGGTCTGACGCACAGCGTTGCGCAGCTCGTCGACGTAAAAGGACAGGCGGCTTTGGAGGGAGATGCTGACGGTGTGGCTGGTCTGGCGAACAGAACGGCGCAGCTCGGAGGCAGCGTGACGAGTAAACTGCTCCTTGAAGCGGCGTTCTTTCGCGCCATTCGTGTACAGGGCATACTCGTACAGATAAAGGCTGCCGAAAGCTGCGCCCGACAAGGCCGCCAGCTTCCAGACTCCCGGGCGGGTTACCAGTGTCGCAAGGATGGTCACCACCGCGTACGAGGACGGGGTGGACAAAACCAGGCCCACGCGATCAGCAAGCGTGAGCGCCGCCTCAGCGGTGACGCTTGAGGAGGCGACGGCATCCTGCGATGCCGATGCTGCCAACGCCAGCTCGGACGCGGAGCCCGCTGCTGCGTCGCCGTTGAACTGGGCGGTATGGACGCTCACATACGAGGCAGTCCGCGCGATGGTGCCCGCCGCAGGGGTGGGGGAACCTGACGCAAGGGCAGCAGCGCTGCGCATGTTTTGCTGGCGAGCGTTGGCAAAGCCGGAGGCAATCGAAAACTTGCTCGCAACAGCAGAGATGACCACAGAGAATGCAGGATAGAGGCGGGGACCGAGCAGCTTGGGTCCAACAGTGTGCCAGCCCAACGAAAACCGGAAGGCAATGTCCTCCTCAAAGTTATCAGAGAGCCCCTTGCAATCCAGGTTGAACTCGATGAGCGAACCGTTGGTGGAGATGGACTGCGTCTGGATGGCTTTCAGAATGGCCGGAATGACCACGTCGGCAGGAACAGCGAGCGACTCGAGTTCGGCGTCCTCGGCAGCCGAGGTCGTGGTGCCGTTGTTCAACGTCTCGAGCAAAGCTGACGCACCATTGGCAAGCATGCTGCTTGAACTTGCGTCGGGAACGACGAGGACGTTGGCCACAATGCGCTGCATCTCGGACTTGGTTTCATCAAACGCCATGATGAGACGGGCGGCGCACTTTTTGTTCAAGTCGCTGCCAAGATGGCCCTCAATGTGGTCGTTCAGCATTCGCTTGTACTGAAGGAGATGCTGTGGGCGGAATTGCGAATAGCTAAACTCGGCGACAATGTGAGGCAAAACGTGGTCAATCTCCTCGTTCATGGCGCGGGCCACCGAGGCACGGGATGTAGCCGCAAGACGATCAACCAGGGCGGAGCAGCACTTGAGGCTGCGCTCGCCCAGCTGTCGGATGCGCGCGGCGTTCTCCTTGCGTTCGTTGATTTCCTTGATGCGGCCCGAGATTTGTTCCTTGGACAAGGTCTCGGCTTTGCCAGCAATTTCGGCCAGCGAGTACGCAATGTCAAGGCCGCGCACGATGCGATGCTCAAACTTGGTCTTCATGGCCGACTTGCAGATGGTGCGCTCAAAGGCCTGCTCGAAGCGCCTAAACTCGTCGTAGCGATCGCGCACAGCCTGCGACTCTTTGAACCGGGTCCAGTTCTCGGTGGTGCGGTAAAGGAGGGTCTCCCGGGCAGACACAAAGAAGACGCGGTCTAGAATCTTGGAACGCGACACCACCTTGAGCTCGTCTGCCAAGAACTTGGACGCATACTCGAGGTGCTGCTCGCGAACCCGCTCGGGCGAGTCGTCAATCTCGTTATCACTCGCATCCCAGCGGTTGTTCAGAATGAACACGTTGGGCTTGGAGAGCTTTTCGTTGACCTTGAAGAAGAAGGCGCGCTCCTATGTATCGACCAATAAGTGCATGTCAAAAGACAAAAGAAGGCGAAACGGAAGAAAAACAAGGTGAATGCCAAGAAAGATATTTGTTTTTAAAAAAAAAAAAAAGGAGAAAGGAAAAAAGGGGGGGAAAGACAGAAAACACATCCACATGAAAAATACATACCGCCACTTTCAACGTGGCCTCGGCATTCGCCACGAGAACAAACACATCGGCGTCCATGCAGTAGTCGTCAATCCATTGGTTGATGTCGTTGGACAGATCGAGGCCGGGACTGTCAATCAGATCGACATCGTCTCCAAGAAGACGGCACTTGGTGGTGGGCCAAAAGACGCGAATTAGACCGCTCTGGTTGAGGGAGCCTTCAGGATGGAGAGCGTTGGCAAGCTGTAGAACGTTGGAAATCGGCTGCTGCTCGGACGAGAGCGAGTCGATAATGTAGGGCGTGTTAGCGTCGCTGCCCGACACGCTGACAAAGCAATTGGTGGTGTGGCCGATGCCCGACGGGAGAATGCGGTTGTACAACATGGCATTGACGACGGTGCTCTTGCCGTTGGACGTCTGGCCGACAAAGACCACCTTCATGTGATCGCGCTCGAACAGCTTGGAGATGCTGCTCACTTGCGACGAGAAGACGCCAATTTCCTTCTGTTCCTTCATGAAATCGTCCGCCTCAATGTGGGTGGCAGCGAGAAACGCGCTGCAGTCCGAGAGCAGCGTTCTGAGGCGGTCAAACAGGGCTGAAATCTGCAGCTTGCCGACGCGGAACTTGCGCAGAGGAGACGGTGCGCTCTGCGACTGCACCTCCTCGCGCAGCCTACGCGAGACGGGCGTATCGAGCGACTCTGCGCGTTGCAGCGACGACGCCGAGCCGCGCACTGGCGTTGCAGCAGCGTGTCCATTCGCGTGCTTTGCGCCGCCGTTCGTGCTCGCCATTTCCGTTGGTTTTGTGATTTTTTTGAAACAGAAGCAGCAACAAGCCTGTTGGGGTTTGGTGTTTCTTGAAAGTCTGTTTGAGCTTTGAAGACTGGCCGTAGGCAGAGAGACAAGAGAGAGAATGTGAGCGAGGACAGCCAAAGTGAAGCAACGGGGGGCGTCGAGTCGGACCACGCTTCTTTGGTGGGGGGGGGAGGTACGACAATGCAATTGAGGAAGCGAGTGTGACGATGAGCGAGAGAGAGAGAGAGAGAGGGAGAGAGGGAGAGGGAGAGAGAGTTGAAGTTGAGTGGCTGGACATGCGTCTCTCTCGTCGTTGCTCGTCGGTCGTCACTGTCGCTTTTGACGATGATGATGTTGTTGTTGTTGTTGATGATGATGTTTGATTGTTTGTTCATTCGTTTGCTTTGGTTTTGGTTTGTTCGCGATGGTCGAACAGCGAAACGCGGAAAAAACGAAAAGAAAAACGAGGAAAAAAACCGGGAAAAGAAAGCAGCGCGCCAAGACAGAAAAATAAAAGGCAGAGACAAGAAAATGATACTCTCGAAGTGCGACGTTTAGTTAGAACTCCGTATCCAAGAATGAAGCTAAAAGTGAAACAAAAAAGCCATTTTCTCATTGTTTGTCTGTCTCACACACACTCTCTCTCGCTCTCTCACTCTCTCTCGCCTTGTTAGCTCGCTGCATTCATTGATTTCAGGATTTTGAAGCATTTTGAAACATTTTGGTCTTACAATCGAAAGCAGCCGAAACACACAAAAAAAAAAAAAGAATGAAGAAAGAAAAGAAAAAGAGTGAACTTTTCTGATCTGGATTTCTCAGAAAAAACAGTCTCTAAACTGCTTTTTTTGACTGAATGAACGATTTTTCGATCATTGCTTCTCATTCTTTGTTTGTTTCTTCACTTTGAGTGTGAGTGTGAGTCGAACACGGAATGGCGTCTGAAAGCACTTCCGCTGGGCTTGCATTAGAACAGCCGCAGCCAGCCGATTCCATCACTACGACCACCACCACCACACCAACAACAACCTCATCATCATCATCATCATCATCGAGTGCTGGCGCTGGTGCTGGTGCTGGTACAACGTCATTGCGCGAGGACCTGCTCGACACCGCGACCAAGTTCCTGCGCAATCCAAAGGTGCAGCAGGCGCCAAAGGCCAAGCGGGTGGCCTTCCTCGAGCAGAAGGGACTCACTGCTGCCGAGATTGACGAGGCATTCCGGCGCGTTGGACCAGACGCTCCCCCCAGTCAGCCTGCAGCCGTCGGAAGTTCCATTCAGCCGGCTCAGCAGCAGCAGCACGCACAGCAGGCCATTGCGACCATCCACGGCCACCTGCAGCAGCAACAGCTGCCACCAATGGGATATGCTCCGCAGCCACAGCAGTACCCTGCTCAGCAGTATGCAGGGCAGTACGGACCGCCGCAGCAGTACTACAACCAGCAGCAGCAGCCGTTCATGATGATGCCCCCGCCGCCACCACCGCCGCATGAAGTTGCTCTGGCGCCGCTCGGGTGGAAGGACTATGCTGTAGCGTCTGCTGCGTTGGGTGCTGCTGGCTACGGCGTGTGGCGACTCACACGCCAGTTCATCACTCCGCACCTGCCTGAATGGCTGGTTCGACCCGACTCTGCTGCTGACGGAGCGACGACGGCAACAACCACTGAGACCAATGAAGACAATTCAGCCAACAGTAACAATAGCAATAACAGCAACTTCCGACAACACCTCGATTCCAGTCTCAACGAACTCAAGCAAAGCGTGGCTGCTACGGGTGAGCATTGAAAATGGAAAATCATGGAAGATTGTAGATTGTAGATTGTTGCTCAGAATCTCTCACTTTCGAGTTCCCTCGCATGCATGCAGTCTCCTCCGTTCGCGAACTCGCAGACGCACACAAGATGCAAGCCGACCAGAATGAAGTCGTGATGCAGTCACTGTCTTCTGATGTGGCTCTGCTGAAGTCCATGATTGCCAGCCCGACATTCGGCGCTTCGTCCGCTGCCTCCCAAGATGCCGCACTTGCAGAACTGCGGTCGGAATTGGCCTCACTCAAGGGCCTCTTGTTGAACCGCAAACAATTCCCCAGCACGCCCAGCGGAAGCAGCACTGGGTTTGCTGCCGCTGGCGCAGCAAGTCCGACCCCTGGCACTCCTTCCTCGTCCTCGGCTTCGCTTCCAGCCTGGCAGCGCTCTTATATGGTCAAACGACCCACCCCGCCTGTCGATTCTCCCAAGAACGATGGCACGGTGGAAACTACTCGTGATGAAATTGCCTCTGCCTCTGCGCCCACAACAACTGTGCGTCCATGTTCTTGTTGTTTGATTCGAGAAGACTGGGAGGCGGGGGGGGGGAGAGAAGTGCTCTTGACTGACTGACTCTTTTCTTCTCCTTGACCTCGATGATAGACTCCTGCAACGGTGGAGAATGGCACAGTGCTCGAGACCAGCGCAAACGACCTTCCGGCTCGTGAAGACTCACCCACACCCGTCGAGCAACAGCCGCAGTAATTCTCGTTGTGTACATTTACATTCATCTACCACAAAAATATATTCATCTGAGCTGAATCAAACGAGACAAAGAGCCGGAAGTGAAAAACAAAACTTGTATTATTCGAAAACAACTTTTTTCTGTGCAGCTACTAAACGTCAAACTCCTCGGGTTCTTCTTCCGCTTTCCGCTTTCGAGAGAGGCTGTCCTCCAACTGCGCTGTGGATTGAGAGCCTGCTGGCTCCGTGTCCATTGCGTCTGCGAGAGGCGCACCTGGCATCATAACGCCTGGCATTGCTACTCGAATTGCTGGCATAGGAACGCCGACACCGACAACGCCGAGAATTGGTGGTAGTGGGGCTTGCAGTTCTGCGCTTGGTAGCGGTGCGGCGAGTGTGGGGTCGACCTGGTAATTGACGTTTGAAAGCGTGTACTTTTCTGGTGGTAATCGGAGTCCGTGTACGTGGTCTCTGATTGTCGGAAGTTGAAACTGGTTGCGCTGTGCAGCGAGCTCTGCTAAGAACTGCCAATCACAAACAAACAAACAAACAGAACGACGGGAGATTTGGAGTGAGATTCGAGTGGTTCGAAACCGATCCTACACTTTGGTGCAAACGCAACGGATCTTTCAAGTAGTCTTGTGATGTCGTTTTGCTTGCTTTGCTTGTTCGTTTTTTGTTTGATTTACCTCGCGTGGTGGCGGAGTGACAAACCCAGTGCTCACAACGGTCGACGCAGCCAACCGAACGTCGTCTACGTTAATCCGATCCCGACTTGCGTGCGCTGCGTAGCGCTTTGCCTCGTCATTGACTGAGGCCACATATCCTAACAGCAGTACCAAGCAATGCAATGCAATGAGTACATGGACGACAGACCGCCCCCAAAGACCCCAACCACCATCCAAGAGCACTACTGGGGCTTTCGATGCAAAACCCAGCGATCTCCGCTTTGGCTTTGCTCCGTCTCGCTGCTGCTGCTGCTGCTGCTGCTGCTGCTGCTGCTGCTGCTGCTTACGATGCATGAACTCGAGTAGCTGTTGGATGACGCGCTCGTCGTACTGCTCGGCACCCATCGCGCGGAGAATGTCGCGCATCGAGCGAACGGCCTTGGGCAGGTACCGCTCGTTCTCCTTGACCATTTTGCTTGTGTTTGGCTGATGATGAAGAAGTGAGCCAAACAAGTGCTGATACAAAGTAAAGGAACAATAACAATAATAGTAGTAATAATAATTATAATAATAATCATAACAGAGTGAAAAATGCTGATCAGCAAGAGTAGCGAGAACAATGGAAGTTTGTTGCTTTATTGCAAGAAGGTTTCTGCAGTTGATGTGATTCTGTGTGCAAGCAACGTTTCAATGCAAGCAATCTTCGGCAGACATGCAGTATGCTCTGTATTGCATCATCGATGACGTGCAACATGGCTGGCCGAAGACTGAAAGAATCCGCCTGAGAAACAGACCATGAAAGTTCGCTGAGCCGCTCTCTCGCGATTGAGAGCTTCAACATGGGCGCCTCAGCAGCTTGCAGACGCTTGTGCAGTACAAAAAAGCGCGATGCGGCTTGGGTGCTATTTGCCGTGCATCTGAGCCGCGATGTGCTTGTTTGGCAATGGCTGGTCGTCGTCGCGCACTGCCTGCTTTTCAGTTCAACCCTCTTCGCTTGCCATTGCAGACACGCTTGCCCCGGGTTCAAGAGTGTTGGTGCCCTGTCAGACATGCTTAAAAGTCAGCAGATGTATCATGCATGCTGTGTGGTTGGCAGAAGTGCTGCAATCCGTACCGAAACAGTGTCAAGTGCCCTCGTCATTGCTCGAATCTTGTTTGAGGTGCCTTGTACGACTACGTGGCCATGCCGCAACAGTGCAGCTGGAGAGCATTCGACAGCTTCCAAGCAGGGCACCAGTAAATCCTGCCAAGCCAGAACAACAACCAACAAAACATCCCTGAGATTGATCAACTTGTTGGTCGCTTCAGAATCCAACGCGCACACACCCCTTACCTCAACGTTGCTTGAATCGCGGTGCGTAACACGAAGGATGTTCATTTTATTGGCAAGGTTTTCGAGAAACCGTCCGGTCATTTCGCCAATCAATTGGAAAGCGGACGCATCACACCCTACAAACAATACAATGCAAGTCAGCGTCTCTGCGGCCTCGCGAATCAAACACGCAAGTGCACAATACTAGCTGCGTACCATCCAGCCCTGTATGCGCCAAAAGTACCGCTACCGATCGGTCGAGCAGGTTGGAAATCAGCGACGCGTCCAAACGATCCACAGCCACCGACTGCTTGGGCAGTGTGAAGTTCCAAGTGGCCTAATACCAAGAGAATGATAATGAGACACTTGAGTTTTGAAACTCTGCCAATTGAGTACACTGTACAAGTTGGACCAAGGTCTTACCACATCTGGATTCACCCGTTGTTTGATGGATTGCAGTGCAACAGCGTTCGCCCATACGGGTGACCGCGTCCATATGTCGCTGTGAGAGAGAGAGAGAGAGAGAGAGTTTGAGTGCGTGTGTGTAAGTTTGAGTGTGATGGTAGAACAACGTTCAATTTTTACGGACAAAACCACCATTTGCCCAAAGACAACCACGAACAAACTCATACCTGCTCAGCTGGTATGAATACGATGATGAAAGTGGCTGCGTTGGTGTGGCAAGCGCAGGGTGGTACAACCAAGGAAGGGCAAGCTGCTCCGAGTACGCGTCCGGGAAGATCCGCTTTCCAACGCACTCGAGTTGCTCGGCATCAAACACGAGCTCTGTCTGCCTTGGAGCGGCGGCGACGTGTGGGCCCTCACCAAGACCAGGATCATCATCGGAAGCGCTCAGCACGTTTGGTACAATAGTGTCAAGCGAGCCAAGAATCGGACAGGCCACTTTCGCTGCAGCTTGAGGCAGTACGGTCAAATCCAGCGTTTCGTGCGTCGATACTGGAATGGCTGGCAAGATGACAGCCTGGTCACTGAACCTTGGCTGCGCGTCTTGTTCGGCGCTCCCTGCTCGAAACAGGGAGCCAGCAGCAACGCCGTACTCGTTCGCTACTGGCGAAATGTACCCGACGAGCGGCGTGGGATAATAGCTCAGGGCGGTTGGACGGATGGCGAAAGGCTCTCTGTCGGCAGCGAGCCTTGGATCAGGTGTACTGCTGGACGCCGCGCCGTTCGCACTGTCGCTCCGTGCCAGCCAGCGCAGGGCTCGTGTGCGCAGCAGAGAATTCCGCAAGAACCGCCGGTGAGCATGGAACGTGTCTGGTTGAGCAGTATCGCGCGCTCGAATGGTCAGCTCTTGTCGCAGTGTCTGCAGCACGGATGGGAGCGGCTGTGGGGGCGGAGGTGGAAGTGGCGGGGCAGGTATGCAGACTGCTGGATCGGCACCTGTTTGGTTGGCGTTGACTTCAACGTCCGAAGCATCTTCCGAGCGGCTCGATTGTGCGGCTTGAAATGCTGCTAGAACTTTGTGGCGCAGTTGGGCTTCTTTGGCTTGCAAGGCTAGACTCTTGCGCCGAATGGAAACGGGCACTGGCACGGTGACCCAATCGGCAAACAATCGATCTGTGATTGCCTCCAAGGCGTCCGCATGAGCACAAAAGACATTGTCGTCCTCTGTGTTGTACGCCCGGCAATTGGCATAGATCAGGCGAATGTCAGCCTCGAAAGGGGCCCGCTCGAGATACTGCTGGCTTGAAAGCTTGCGCTGAATGAGCGAAAAATCCATCGGATGAACAATCTCGTCGTAGTAGCCGGGTGCATCGCGTTTCGAGACGCGTGTTAGAAACGGATAGGCGTGGTCTCGATTGTTGCGCAAAGTCAGCACAATGTGCTCGCATTGGGTGTTGAACATTTCCAAATAGTCGCTTTCATCCCGCGCTGTCTGTAGTCGTTTGACTTCCGTGTCGCTGTCATTGCCGTCGATGATGGTATTGCTGTTGTTGTTGGTGGTGGTGCCGTGGGCTGGACCAGTCTGACTCGTGCCGTCAAAGTAGGACGTGACGTTCGGGAGAGTACCAGCGTCGATTTCATGCTGCCGGACTGGTCTTCGGCGTAACTCGTCCATTTCGAGTTCAGCGTCCTCGCCAAGATCATCGAGAAGGATGAACACGTCCTGCAGTTCAACCAGCGCTTGGTAGCGCCCAGCCGTCTGCGCATCGAACGCGGACAGCCGCTGGACAAACTCACCGTCGCTCACGGCGGTATCGAACTGTGTCGGTACTGTAGCTCTGCCTCGCTTGGTAGTGTTCTGCTGTTGTTGCGCAGCTTGGCGCAGTACTTCGGATGCTCGTGCTGCTCGCTCGTGGTCGTCGTCGTGGCGTCGGCGAGGAATCGCATCGTCAATCCGATGCTGATACAGGATGGAGCGAATCCGCAGGGCAAAAATGACTGGGTCCAGAGAAAGCGCAATCAATGCGTGAAGGATGGACTCGAGCACGGTCAGATCGGCCATGGGCATGACCTCGGCAGTGACTGCGTAAGCAGCGACGAATTCGTCGGTGAGCGATCCAGTCCAAACCAGCGCAAACAGCTCCTCGCGGGACAGTCCAGACAGTGAGTCGAGCATGATACTCGGTCCTCGTGAAACTGGCATTTCGACCTCGAGGGCAGCAGAGTCGGGTTTGGGTCGCACGTCGACTGGTCGCGTCAAGACGGCGCGAAGCTGGGGCTGCAGCAGCACGGGCATCGCCAGCAACGCCTGCCAGTGCGCCTGGGACTGGAGCGCAAACACCAACGCTTGGAACGCTGGTCCGTCCAGCAGGCGGGCCCACTCGCCAGCGCGCTGCATTCGGAGCGCGAGCTCGTACACGGCCTCGTCATGATCCGAGTCGCACATGAGTCGATTGGGTTTCGTGTCTCCCCGCGGTGTTGCCCTGTTCAGCTGGGATGGGTTGCGTGTTCAGTGAGTTGTAGTTTTGGAGGTGTCGGACTCGGTGAGGAGGCGATGAGGAGACGGTCGATTGAATTTTGCGCCAAACTGGCAACAAAAAACGACTGCTCTTGTTCGAGCAGCCGAGTCCTTGAGATGGGATTTGTATTCGAGAGTCGCTGTATTCCAATAGTGTGTAAAATATTAATATCTAATAGAAATTAGAGCAGACGAGCGAGTCAGGTGGTTTTCAACCTTCGAAATGGCGTGTTGAAATTCTGTTGGAATGCGTGCATGGTAGCGGGTGGTGAATTGCGTGAGAATTCGAGTAGGTGAAGACAGACATGTAGTGTGTACATCATTGCGTTGTTTCAAGTCTTTGATTGAACTTTCATCGCCCAATCCTGATGAAATGGCTACCTCAAGTGCTCTTCAGACAAACACAGTTGCGGACGCCGTTTGCGCAAATCTCAATCGAAATTTTTACTTTGCAAATGCGCTCGTTTCACGCCAGATCACACGATACAAACACAAAAACACACTTCAGCATACAAATACACTGATAGTGCCAGATGTCCGAGGCCACAGAGCTGAGAACTGACCTCAGAAAGTCCCTTCCAGACAAACTGTGATTTTCGTCTACAAATCAATCCTTGAACGCCCATTGTTGACTGAATACATCACATCATGGTGCTCATTGTATTGCATAGATCCGGCCAGCTGCATTGCTTGCTGATGATCTCAACAAATCCACTCGGAAAACCAAAAACAAAACAACATCAATGGCTGGGCTTTTTGCCCAACAGCATGAATAGCGGCCACGTCAAGTCCACTTCAACGTCAGTCGTCGAAGAGGTAGCATACGCTCGAAGCAGACTATCAACGTGAAGAGGAACACATGAGCACGACCGAACAAATGAACTACACAAAGTAACACAATGCGCAACACGCTACTACTGGAGCACTGCAATCGCAGATATAAACGACACTCACTCTGCTTTGACCGCAATGAGCGGGTCGGGGAGGGTTGGGTTTTGTTTCAGGTAGGTATGGTACCCGGACCAGGACGAAAGGTAGCCAAGAATTCCTTCCAACGAATATCTGAGCACAATGGCTCCGTCCCACCGTGCCCGGTCTTCATACGGAAGCTTGACATCGGCGTACTCGTTGTCGAGCCAAAAGCGTCTGTCGGACCAGTACGGCTTCAAAGTACCAGAGTAAAACTACCAAGCAGGACGAATCACCACCGCGCATTTCACGGTGAGTCGATGTTACTCTCCCATCAGTACCACTGTCGGCACTTGACAGTTTGGCCTGTTGTTGAGTCGCGGACAGGTACAATACCTGCTGAATCACTTTGTTCGCCTCCTGGTTGGCAAGCTTGCAGTTGCCGTAGCCAATCACTGCCAGAGTACCACCTGGTCTGAGAGTGTAAAATCAAACCACACAAACACAAGACAGTCACTGAGCATGCTCCCTCCCCATACATCATGGCACAGTTTCCTCCAAAGCCAAATGTTCGCAAAACGACAGAATTCCCGTCCGTACTTGAGCACACGATCGACTTCCGCGTAAAACTTGGGCAAATCAAACCAATGCATTGCTGACAAGTACAAATCAAACACGATTTCTCAAGGTGAGTTTTTTTTTTGTTTCCCCCCCCCCCCAAATCAGATCGCTAAAACCGAAGTTGGGTTGTGTGTGGACACAATTTGGATCGCTGTTTTGTTACCTTGAGCCACAGTGACAACATCCGCCGTGTTTGTCTGGGCAGGGATGGCATCGGCAGATCCGACAGTGTAGTTGATATTCGCTGCATGCCAGTGAACGATAAAATTTCACAACCATGATTCGTTGAGAGTGAGTCAGAGAGAGCGGGGGTCAAGCGGTCATCGATTTTTTCAATGCGTTTTACGAGCAGCGGCCGCCGACTTGATCTGCTCTTCGCTGACATCGAACGCCAGCACTTGCTGAAAGTGCGACGCGAGCATGCTTGTCAGCTGCCCAGATCCGCAAGCCACATCGATTGCGAATCCCGGCTTTCTGCCAAAGACGAGATCAGAGATTGAGCGACCCAAAGAACAGCGTTTTCTTCGAGCTCAAAGTGTGTCCACACCCAAAGGAGATGACGCCCCGTGCGCAGATCAAGCTTCAACAAAGACGTACTGCGTTCCCATGAACTCTAAAAGCTCGTGGTACAGGGCGGCAGGGTAGACGGGGCGGAAGGCGGCGTACTTGGATGTGACTGCCACGCCCTGAAACAAGTGGGAGTAGCTTGCCATCCTTGTCAGAAAGAAGACTGGGGTGCGCAAGGTAATGCATCATCATCATTAATATAGTAGGGGTTTGTTTCGACCAACGGCAACAACAAGCAACGAGTGGCGCGTTGAGGTGTTTGGGTTGAGACAAAAAAAAAATAGTCCCAACATTGAATTTTGACAACAGACAATCAAACGGTAGAACTGCTGTACCAGCATTTCGTCAATGTCAAACACCCGTCAAGATCCACCATTATCACCTAGAACCCCGCCCCCCAACTCCACTCTTACTTCCTTTTGACCGCGGGCGATCAAAAAATGGCAGACGAGGCGACTCCCGCTGGTGGCCACCCACCGAACTTTGTCTCGATCAAAGCACAATACAACGGGTAAAGCAGGAACACAGCAGGCCGCGCTTCTTCCACTGTCGAAGGCTCTTGCTTTGTGCAGTTACATCATGTGGTGCCAGCCGCCCTCCAAACGTTGCACACTGCGACTTGTGGCACAGCAGCGGGGAAAAAAAGAAGCGAGTCGTTGGAAACAAGGGCTTTTTTTTTTTTTTTTTTTTTCGGTTTTGATGGTTTTTTTTTGTTGTTTTGTTGGTGTCCGCTTGCGGTCGTGGTCAGGGGCCCCTTTCCAAGCGCACTGTCGTTTCATGCGCGCATCGACAAAACCACCCACCGTCCAGCAGAGACCGTGAAACGAGCAAAGTGACGGACGCAGATTTCAAAACTGGATCTTCCACTTTAATTCAAAAAAAAAAAAAAAGAAGCAAAACACTTCTCTCACAAGGCGTGAATTGGTTGGCAACCCTCGAGCCAGACGCGACGAGCAGACCAGGGCATGGATAGCGTCCCTAGTGATGTGTTTGTCTGGGTCGTGGGCTGCACGGCAACGACGGCCGCCAGAGCGGTGGGATTTTGTCAGTTCAATCTCGACTCACAAAAAAGGGGCGTTGAACCCAAAAAAAAAAACCGAAAAAAAAAAAACCAAACACCGTCACAGTGTTGACTTTGGGCTTTGGGACAGAGTTGAGGGTCATTCTGAAGCCAAGCGAATGCACCCACAGCACTGTCTGCTTCCCAGCTTTCTCCCTTTGAGCTCTCGCCGTTAACAAAACCAACAAAACCAACAAACCGAAAAACCAAAACAAGAACACACAATTCAAGTTTTTTTTTTTTTTTTTTTTCGCTTTGTTCCATTTTTCTGCTTCGTTGAGCACTGTGGCGGGGGGGGGGTAGTGGCGAGGTCAACACACACACACACACGACCGACTTTAAGCACACACCCTTGAGAATAAAATTGCAGGACACTGATGGACTCGAGAGATGGTCTGCGGAACCAACTTGAACAAGCGCGCTTACTCATCTCTGCACGCGCTCCCACTCGCTCACTGTCTACTCTGCTGTCTGCGTGCTTGGTGGATGCAACGTAGGGATGTGCGTCGATTTGCCGTTGACTCGGACACGTCCAGTTTCCAGCAGTTGTGCTCCAAGCTCCGCAGCGTCTACAACATGACCAACGAAGAGCTCGTTGTCAAGTGGATTGATGAAGAAGGTAATTTCAAAAAAAAAAAAAAAAAAAAAAAAAAAAAAGAGCTGCTTGTTGCCAGCGCTCATATCTCACCGCTCTTTGCGGGGTTTTTGGCACCCCACCGTGATCTCTGTAGGCGACCCTTGCACCATGTCCACCGATCTTGAACTTTGGGAAGCCCTGCGCCTGTTCAAGACCAACAAGGACCAAGTTTTCCGTATCATTGGTGAGCCATATTCTCCCCCCCCAATCACATCACGCCCTCACTCCCCTGTGTGTGAAGGGTGTTTTTTGTCTCGACTGTTCGTCGATGCGACGGTAGCGCTTGTGGCGGTGAGGGCAAGTGCAAAATAGTCGCATTTGTTCTTCCAATATTCAGCATCAACATCCACAACCACCAACGCTTGTCATTCACTCGTTCTCCACTTTGCCCCCCTCCCCCTTCCCCTGACTCCTCTCCCTTCTCCTCATACAGTCACTGCAACAATGTCAAGAACACTATCCATCAAAAACTCGTTCAAGCGCAAGCCAGCAGAGGCAGCAAAGCCATCGGTGCAAATCCTCGAACCCAACAACCTGCACAATCCGGCGGCCAGTCCCATGAAGCGGACGGATACCATCAACCGCGTGGGCGGCATTCGACGCGTCAAGGTGCATAAGGTGAATGGACACAGCTTCCGTGCGACCCACTTCCACCAGCCCACCATTTGCACCCACTGCCGAGGCGTCATTTGGGGCTTGCTGAAGCAGGGCTATCAGTGCTCGACTTGCCGCGTTGTCATCCACAAGCGCTGCCACAAATTCATTGTCACCAAGTGTCTCGCCATCGACAAGAGCGGCGGCGACAACGACAGCGTGGCTCTGGCGCCCAGCGCCCCGCTCTCGCACACGTTCAAGGACCACAATTACATGTCCCCGACGTTCTGCGCGCACTGCGGCTCCCTGTTGGTGGGGCTGTTCCGCCAGGGCAAGAAATGCGGCGGCTGCGGCATCAACATTCACCGGCGATGCGAAAAGCGGGTGCACGCAGAGTGCAACCCCAACCGAAAGATTGCCAAGAAGGGCGCGCCGATGCCCATTGGTGGCGCTTCTCAAGTGCCGGCCCTGCAATCGGGCTCGCACTCGTCATCGCCGGCATCGCCTGCAGGCCACAGTCGTCCGGGCAGCGCACACAGCGACGGCTCCGACCCTTCCAACCGACTGAGCACGATTAGCACTGGCACGTTCGTCTACAATGGCATCATGAAGAATGCAACCACGATTGACCGCGATCCATCGCGTCACCACTCGAGCATTGACGAGTACAACCTCATCAAGGTGCTTGGTCGTGGCAGCTACGCCAAGGTCATGCTCGCGGAGCGCAAGAACAACCACGACGGCACCCTCTATGCGATCAAGATTATCAAAAAGGAGCGCATCATGCAGGACGAAGACATTGACTGGGTGCGGACGGAGAAGCACGTCTTCCAGAATGCTGATCACCCCTTCCTCGTTCGGATGTACGAATGCTTCCAGACCGAGGCCCGCCTGTTCTTTGTCATGGAGTATGTAAATGGCGGTGATCTCATGTTCCACATGCAACGCGAGCGACGGCTGCCAGAGGCGTCTGCTCGGTTTTACGCTGCTGAAATTGCGCTCGCGCTCCACTTTTTGCACGGACGAGGGATTATCTACCGCGATCTCAAGCTTGATAACGTTTTGCTCTTGGCGGACGGACACATTAAACTTGCCGACTACGGCATGTGCAAGGAGGGTGTCCACTACGGCCAGTCGACCAACACGTTCTGCGGCACGCCAAACTACATTGCGCCAGAGGTCCTCAAGGAGATGGACTATGGCCACTCGGTCGACTGGTGGGCGCTTGGCATTCTGCTGTTTGAAATGATGGTGGGCCGATCCCCCTTCGAGGCCAAGTCTGAGGACGAGCTCTTCGAGGCCATCCTCGAGGACGAGGTTTTCATTCCGACGACACTGTCGCGCGACGCCAGCGCTGTCATCAAGGCCTTCCTTGTCAAGGACCCGGCCAACCGTCTCGGGTGCAAGGCAGAAAACAGCATTGCCGACATTCAAAAGCACGTCTTCTTCTCCCCGCTCGACTGGACGCGCTTGACAGACCGCACCCTGCCCCCTCCTTTCAAGCCAGAGGTTGGCACGGCCATGGATACGAGTAACTTTGATGCCGAATTCACTGCCGAGAAGGTGGCCCTCACGCCCGACGACCCATCCTCCCTCGACAATGTCGACCAAGGAGAGTTTGAAGGTTTCTCGTACATTAACATGTCTCTCATGGGCGACGAAGAGCGGGAGGCATGATGCAGCCACGACAACTAAGCCTTACTATGCTTGTTATGTGAGCTTTATTGTCTGGTTGCTTTCGTTTGATTTTTCCATTCCCGTGTCCGATCTCTTCGGTTGGCTCTCTTCTCCTGTCCCCTCTTCCAAGTATTTTTGACTCAACATTTGCTTGTGTTGTACTTGATTCAGTGCCTTTTGGATTTCTCTTGCACGATCCACTTGCGTATTTTATTTTGTTTTGTTTTTTTTGGTTGTTTTTTCGCGTTTTTTTCTTCTTTTCCCTTCGGTGTTTCCCTTCCCCCTCCTCCCCCCCCAAATTGTTTGTTACCACCCTTATATCTTCCATTGTACTACTGTTGTGCTTTGATGGGTTGTCCTGGCATCGCCCCACGCAATACACTGAGCGAATACTTTTAACGCTTTTGGCTGCTAAAACTCTAACGCGACACACTGTGATCGACTGATCTTCCAAAAGCTGTTTTCGGCTCTCTTAAGGCTTTGAAAATGTGAATGAGAATTGAGTGGAAGACCAAGGGCCCAAAATCACAATAAATCTGTTACGAACTAGGCTCAGCCTAGTTAGGCTTCCCCTCATTCTTCACTATATTCTTAGTACACGATACTTCCGCATTCTATTCTAGCATACTTTAGTAGTGATACGGGTTATGTTCCGGGTAAGGTCGTAACAAAATCACAATGGTTTTTGAATGGCTTTTTGGTACTAGGGGTGATGCGCCCGAATCGGCACACAAATGTGCGCTGGCATGGGTTTGGAGTGCATCACTTCATGTTGTACTAGAAACAACTCCCGAAAAAATCGATTATCAAATGAAGCCATTCCTTTATTTTGTTTTTCCAGTGCTGGATGGCCTGTTCTTGTTTTTGCTGCAAGCGCTTGGTCAACTGTTTTTTTCAAACTCTTGCTTTTCTTGCTCGAACTGTTGCTTCCCTTCCTGGAACTGTTGCTTCCCTTCCTGGCCGCTTCCGAAAGTTCCTCGCAAGCTACTTGTCGAACCATCGCAAACGACTTCTGACAGTCGTTGTTGTAGTTCAATTTGTGGCGAGCATCTTCACGTTGACGGGCGCTTTTTTGACGAGTGACGACACATCGAAGGACGTTCTCATCGCCATCGGCACGGCCTTCCTTATCAGTCTTTGCATCACCCTTCAAGACGTGCTATCTTCCCAAGAAAAGACAGATTCTCTTGTAGCAGCACTCCTCAGTGAACCCGTTGAACTGGACCGTACCGTCCTGGTTCGAACTTTAGCGACCGATTCCGCTCAGCCTCTTCCACCCACCAGAGTTGGTATTGTCGACCAAGCAGGTGTAGACCTCTCACGCGCTCCGTCTCGACCTGATTCTGCCGACTTGGTATGACCACCCGTGGCGGATATCAGCGTAAGCACATACTGCGCTTCTATGACCCTCCCCCCCCTTGAGCTGCTCTGACTCCTTTTGTCCTGGTGCAGTGCTGCAGCAGCAACCGGAAGTGCAACCCGACCAACGAGAAGCCTTCACGCTTCTGTATCGGCTCGCAAGTTTTAAAAAGAACAGCACTTTGAGCATTCGTGACTTGCAGAACGACCAAATAGAGTTCTACCAGCTCATTCTCGACCAGCAGAGGCATGTGTTTCTGCTCAATGGAAATGGCTTTAGTTGTGTTCCGTTTCCTCTTGGAATTTCCCGCTCCGTCACTGGACCAACTTGTGTTCTCCAGAGTGATGCTTCCGTGAAGCCTGCCGGTCAGATGCGAATCTCTTTTGGTCACAGCTACTCCGGCATCATTGCCACCGTCGTATTTTACCGGTGGAGTGCACCAAACCGAATTTTTGTGCTTGAAAACACGTACGCCATTTGGCAGCTCTAAATGTGATGCAATTCATCGGATGTGCTCTGTTCCTTGTTTCAAAGAAATGCACACCACGCGTATTCATGCATGATCACTCAGCTGATAAAACGCCGTTTGTCAACAATGAGTTTTCAATTTCGTTGAAAATGAAGGCGAGTGCAGGGTAAACTCGCCTGCTAGAAATGTGGGCTGGCATGGGTTTGGAGTGCATCACTTCATGTTGTGCTAGAAAAACGCCGCGTTTCCACAATCAAAACGAGTGACATTTTGAGTTCCAGGAAGATCGTCGCCATTGACGTGCTCGTCTACTCGTTGCATCGCCGTCAACATTCAGTCTATGCAACGAACGATTGCGAGTTGTGCACTCGTTTTTTTTTTTGTGTATGGATTTTTTGATGGCTTTTTTTTTTGAAGTTTTTTTTTTTTTTTTTTTTTTTTTTTTTGTGGAGCGTGATTCTGGGTTGTCTTTGCATCGATCCGTCGCGCCCTGTCCCGCGTCCATGCACGCAGCACGAATCATCAGCGAGCGGTTTGGCGATCAGGAAGTGAGCGCGGGGGGGGTGAGCTGGCGGTGCTGGTGGGACGGCATTCTGCTGGTTGTTCGAAAAAACCAGAGATCGCAAAAGGACCAATTTTTTTTTCTCGCATTGTTTGTTGGTCGTGCCGTCTCGTCCGACCGTGGGTTTTGGGTGGTATGCACGCAAACCCAGCGGCCTGTTGATGATGGCGGAGCGTTTCTGTTGCCGCCGCGCGCCCGAGGCTCCTGACTGTTTGCATCTCGCACAAAGACGCCACAAAAAAAAAAAAAAAAAAAAAAGCCTTCCAGTTTGATTTTTTTTGGAAGGAAACAATAGAGAAAAAAAAAAAAAGAAAAAAAAAAGAACAAGCAATTCCTGCAGCGGGTTGTGATTGGCGGACCTGGGGGGCTGGACACGTCCCCACGGACGCCTTGACCCCTTGAGATCGCACAGATCCGGACGGGCGGCGAAAAAGTGTGGGCGGCAACGATGCTGGGCAAGAATTGAACCGAAATAAAAAAAAAACTGGTTTAATTTTGATAAAAAAAAAAGAAAAAAAAATCGCTGTTCTGCATCTGCAAGGCCCGAGTGCGTCACCTCGCCCTCGTGTGATGTGCGAGTTGTTTTGCTGCTGGGTTGCCAGACTGAGCCGGGGTGGACGACCGGGGTCGAGATGAAGCACGCAAAGAGCTCCAGCAAACCCCGATCGCATTTCAATTCTGTTATTTTATATTTATATTTTCATTATTATTATTATTATTGAAAAAAACTCATGATGCTCAATGTTTGTATGGTCTTGCTTTTGACTGGTTTTTTTCTTTCTCGAATCCCGTCCGTGCCTGGCCAGTGAATCTAGTTTTACACACTTGCGATGGTAAGTTTGGATCTCCTATTGTTGTGAGCTGGCGGTCGTTCGTTCTTTGTCTCACTTGTTCATTTTTTTTTATGGTTTTTCTTGTTGACGGCAGTCGGAACAACAACTCGATTGCGCGCTCGACCTGATGCGACGCCTGCCCCCGCAGAACATTGAGGAGAACTTGGCTGGTCTTATCGGTACGGCGAACGTCCCCCCCCCCCGCGCCTTGTCGGTGCCTGCACTCGTGATTTTTTTTATAGACTTTTTGTTCCAACTCACTTCTGCTCATCCATGCGCAGATCTCGCCCCGTCTCTCTGCGAGGACTTGCTGTCGTCCATCGATCAGCCTCTTAAGATTGCCAAGGACAAGGAGAGCGGTCGCGACTACTTGTTGTGCGATTACAACCGTGACGGTGATTCGTACCGCTCGCCGTGGTCGAACAAGTACGACCCTCCGATCTCTGACGGCACCACTCCCTCCGCCAAGCTCCGCAAGCTCGAGGTTGAGGCCAACACTGCCTTCGACACGTACCGCGAAATGTACTTTGAGGGCGGCGTTTCGTCCGTGTACCTTTGGGATCTCCCCGAGGGCTTTGCCGGTGTCATTCTGATCAAGAAGGTCGGCGACGGCTCGCGCAAGATCAAGGGCAGCTGGGATGCCATCCACGTCGTGGAGGTCACCGAGAAGAGCGGCGGCCAGTCCACCTACAAGCTGACCTCGACCGTCATGCTTTGGCTCCAAACCAGCAAGGCTGGCTCTGGCATCATGAACCTTGGTGGCAGCATGACCCGACAGGCCGAAAACACGGTCACCGTCACCGACGCTGCTCCCCACATTGCCAACATTGGCCACATGGTTGAGGATATGGAGTTGTCGATGCGTTCCACCCTGAACGAAATCTACTTTGGCAAGACCAAGGATATTGTCAACGATCTCCGAGCTGTTAGCGGTCTGGCAGACAAGAAGAAGATGGTCGACATGCAGAAGGAGATTGCCAACACTCTTAAGAAGCGAGCGGCAAAGAACTAGACGTTTTTCGGTTGTCACTCTCTCCCGCCGCCTTTTTTTTGTGTGTTTTGCTGCTTGAACAATCTGTTTCTTCTCTCCCCTCACTCCCCCTCTTAATGTGAACGTGCATACTTGCGCTCGAGCGCGCTTGTGAATCTTTTTTTCTTGTGTTTTATCAATGTCGTGTACGTTGTCTGCAATTTTTTCTTGTGAATTTCTTTTTTTTTTCCCACCCCAACTCCAACCCTTTTCTTTTCCATGAAATTTTTTCCCAAAGTGCAATGACAGTGTGAGTTCCTATAAAGCGCCAAACTTAAACTGGGTACAGTGTCAATTTGGGGCGGTTGAAACTTTGTCTCTCATGCGAAACAATGTATTTTCAAGATAACAAATTCAGGCTGAAGACATGTCACAAGCACAGTCACTAGTAGGCGAAGGCGGGAGTCTGCCCATTATCTACGTAGGTCTGAGGCTCGGACACTGCCGCTGGTTCAGCGGCAAATGACGGCGTTTGGTCCACATCGGCGTACGTTTCGGGCGCTGCAAATGCAGAGTCGGTCGTCGGATTACTCAAAGACTCGGTCGGGAAAATTCGACGACTGTTGTCATTCCACGCCGTATCATCGGCCTCCAAACTCGCTGCGCTCAACCTAAAGCTGTTGCTAGGCTGTGCCGCTTCTTCAGACTCGTCAGGATCGCCGGCGAGCCGCTGGCGTTTGGTGGGGCTTTCTTCCTCTCGTTGCTGGTGCCGATTGTCGCTTTCATTCTCGTCGTCTTCGTCATCGTCGCTCAGAGCGCGACGGCGCCGGCGAGCTGGTGTGGCAGGGTTGCTGGCCCGAGCCGCCAGTGTTGCAACTGGGGTTGGTGCTTCGCCATCGCTATTCTCTTCGTCGTCCGACATGACAAGAGCTCGGCGTCGGCCAGGCGCTGCCGAGATCCGATGTTCAATGACTTCTAGCGCTGTGGCTGCTGGACGGCGATCATTGTCATCATCGTCGTCGTCGTCGGGTTGCATGGCGCGTTGCCGCTCTCTTCGCTGCGACCGCTGCTGAATTCGGTCGCGTCGGCTTTGCTGCCGACGCTTCTTTTGCTTGGCTGCCATGTCATCATCATCATCATCATCATCCTCGTCGTCGTCATCTCCAGATTCTTCGTTCTCATCGCTATCGGAATCAGAGCCAGCTGCCCGTTTGGATTTTGACTGCTGCTGCTGCTTGGTTGTCGAAGCGGATGCCTTTCGACTCGTCTCGGGTGTGGCAGCCTTCGACTTGCCAGGAGTTGTTGCGGCCGCAGAAGACTTGGAGGCTGGGGTGACTGTGGCGGATGCCTTGTTGGTGCTGGAGGTGGACGTCGGATTGCGAACTGGCGCTCGCAACTCGGCGGCCCGTGCACGAGCCAGCTCAGCCGCCTGCCTCTCTCGTTCGCGCAGCTGGGCAAGTTCGTCTGTGAGCGACCAGGACGTGTCCATTGCGGCATCCTCGTCAACAATGTCAACAGCATGTTCCTCGTGGTACTCGCTGCGATCGATGTGCCGCCCGCGAACAGTGAAGGCCTCATTCTTGTGCACTGGCATGCGAATCGAGTGCCAGAACAGCGCTTCGAGACACAGGAACGGATGGTCGCCCAGCGCTTCGAAAAACTTGCCCGCAATGAATGTGGCAAACCCTTTGATTTGCTGAATGTCCTCGCGGAGTTTGGGTTGACTCTTGCTGTCGTCCTTCTTGCTACTGCTGCTGCTGCTGCTGTTGGCCTTCCCACGACTGGACTGCATGTCTGGGTCTTGCAGGACTGTGTTGAAGATGGTCAGCGCGGAAACGTGGAAAAAGAGCTCGACTTGATCGCAATGGACGGCGATTCGATGGCACAGCTTGACAATGCAGTGATTGGTGAAGGGGGTGTTTGACTTAAAGTCGCGCATCAAGCGGCACAAGTGAGTCACCACGTCCGGACGCGCAAAGCGTGACTCGAACTTGGAAAAGCTAAACTCGCGCTCGACGTGTCGGATGCCAGCCTCGTCGCGATCGTCGTCTTCAAGCTCTTCTTCAAGACCCTCTTCGTCGACCAGCTTCGACGGGCGATTTTCAGCATTCGCTTCTTCCTCGTCTTCGTCCTTGTCCTCTTCGTCCTCATCCTCGACAACCCGGCTGCGCTTGCCCTTGGAGAGCTTGCTCGTCTGTTGGCCAGCTTGATCTGCTTGAGGTTGGCGAGCAGCAACGTCCTCGTGGTTTTCACCAGGAGGAGTGCTGGTAGTTTGCGGTTGACCTTGCTCCAGAGATTCCTCGTCCTCTTGAGGCGCTGCGTCAAATGCAAATCCCACAACAGCTGCGGCGTCCGCCGACTGCTGCTCTGTAGTCTCCATGGGCGCCGTGGTCTCTGGCAGTTGCTCTGGCGCTCGTGAAGCCATTGTGCTGGACGCTGCTGCCCCGTCGGGTTCGTCGTTGTCGTCGCCATCATCATCATCATCATCATCATCAATCACACGACGCGCGCGCACTGGTTTTTTCACTGGTGTGGTGCTGGCTTGCGCGGCGTTGCTACCGGCCTGCTCTGCTGTTGCGGACGCTGGTGGTTTGGGCGTTTCTTCACTTTGCTCGCCGTGCTGGGCCGATGCCTCCTCCGTTTCATCCTCAGAGGCCTCTGCGGAATTGTGATCTTGCCGGCCTTTCTTGGGCGTAAGCGTAGTGTCCATGGTGCTCATGGTTTTCTTGCGACGACGGGTCTTCCGCTTGGACAACACGACCATCGACGAGTGCTCCTTTGAGTAGTGCTCAAGTTGCCTGAGCAGAATATGCATCGTTTCGATCACCACACGCAGGTAGTCCTTGCTCTGGCGACGGAAATCGTACTCCTTCAGCACCTTGACCAGCGTGTCCAGCGTCTCTTCCTCGTAAAAGAGGTTGCTGTGCAGGCTGCGGGCTACGCCTCGTTGCAAGTCATCGGGAGAGGTCGACATGACTTGAACGTATTGCAAAAACTCTTGCAGAGCGAGCAGAGTCAGCTGCAAGCGACGCGTCCAGAGCGCCGCGTTGTTGCCGCGTTTCTTTCCGCCCGCAAGGGTTCCGTCAGCGGCGGTCGCCATGTCGTTGACGGCGCTTCGCTCCTTTCGATCGTTCTCAAACTCGTCGAGGTTTGTGTGCAGCTCGCGAATCAGCCGATTCATCATGGTAGTGGTCACGACCACGCCCACCGCCGTCATGTCCAGCAGGAACTTGGGCGGCGCTTCAGGCTCGGCCATTCGCGTCTCCAGCACCGTGGGGAGTTTGGACGCAGCCTCGTACGCCTTGCGCTCGACCGCATACCGCTTGACCAAGCGCTTGTAGGCAAGCTGGCTGGCTTCGCGGTGGAGACAGAGGAAGAAGCGGATGGTCCAGAGGTACATGGCCTGGTGCTCTTGGTAGAACGGCGTCACGTCACCACGCTCGAGGTCTTTGCCAACGGCAACGAGCATGGGATGGAAGCACGATTCCAGGAACGCCTGGCCAAACTGCAACAGCACGACGCGGGTCTCAGCAGAGATGCGGAGCTGGCCATCTGCGAGCTTTCCGCTTGCAAATCCATCAATCGAGCCGTCCTCGACAACGTCCAAGCTCGCGTCAGTGAGGGCCTTCAATGCGTCTGTTGCGCTGGCTTCCGACACGAGCGCGGAAGAACCGATCGAGGCACGCTTCTTGTCCACCTTCTTTTCGTCGACATTAAACTGGTTCAACGAGGCAATGGGTCGGTTGAAAAACTGCTTGGAGCCATCAAACTGTTGCAGAACAAACGATCCGCCAAAGCGGGAGTGCCGTGCACGCCCGATATTGCCGCCTTGGCGAATTAGCTGCTCGCGTCGTTCTTGCTTGAAGCTGTCGACGATCTCGCGACTCAAATTGTCGCGGACTCGATTCCTGCTCGTACATAGTGAAGAGAGAGAGAGTGGCCGAAAGTAAGCGACAGTGAGTGATCGACTATGACAGTGGGCGAAAAACCCAACAAGGCTCGCGCGCAGACGTTCCCCTCTCATTCTACTCACTTGTCGAGCCCGCGATCCACCTCATCTTGTGCATTGACCAACGACGTGGCTGTTACATCGCGGAAAAGGAGGTAGACAATCTCCAACAGAAAGTAATTCCACTGCCCCGCCTCAATTCCCAGCTCGTTGAGCGACGCATACGTATCGTTGTTGGTGCTGATGCACGAAACAACCATGTCGAGGAAGCAAGCGTTTTGCAACATTCTGCGTTGGTCAAAGTGTCCAAAAACAGTGGGTAGAGTGGTGAGCATCACACACACACACACACACACACACACAAAAAAAAAAAAAACCATTGACGAGTCAGACAACTCAATTCAGCCGTCATCGGTCATGTTCCCCCGCCCCCCCCACACACACAATAACAGCAGAAAGCCCATCTTACTTGATGAGAGCGTCTTGCAGTGGCTCTTGCATGGGATCCGGAATATGAAGCAAGTTACGAAACAGTGTAAACAAGATTTCCATCAGGTTGTTGTCGTTCTCGGTGCGATCAAACCGGTCCTTTGTCAGGGCGTCGCTGAGCAAGTCAATCAAAGCGTAGATGACGTCCTCGCGGAGGAAGCTGCGCTTGGCTGCTTGCAGGTAGCGAGTGACCTCCATCTTTGCGAGCACGTCCTTGTTTGGGTCTTCATCCGGCTTGAGTTCTTCGAACGCCAGCTTGATTGGCAGTGTCAGTGTGCACAGGAGCTTGACTGTGACGAAGGCGAGCTTGGGGTTGTCCTTGGGACAAGTCAGCAGCATTGGCAGCAGGTGTTCTTGCAGCACGCACCACTCGCCCAGTTTGCGCAAAATGGAGCGCGACTAGTGTGTTGCCAATCCACAGACAACAGTGGTAGTGGGTCGGAGTTCGCGGATTTGTGATGTTCAACCATGGACGAGTGAGTGTGATTCAGCTTGTTTTTTTGTTTGGTTTTTGGCGCCAAAACCCGATGCAAGCTCGATGTTTTTGTTTCGCTCTTTGACCCCGCCCCCAACAGCCAGCACTTACCAGATCGCGCCTCAAGCATCGCAGCAGATCTTGAATGCACTCTACGAACAAGCAGATGGACAGTGGCCCAGGCGGAGGGTGAGCATCATTGCACACGAGCAGTCGAAATGGCGGTTTTTTTTTTTGGCGGGAACTCTCTCGTCTCTCCGCTCTCGTCCCCGCAGTCTCTCACCGCCGTTTTTGTTCAATCCAACCAGAAGCCCGTACCTGCAGCTTCGTCTCCAATGACGTAGACTTCGCGGCCGTCTTCGACAATGTTGTCACCCAAGGACGAGCAGATGGACAGCAAGTCTGCCACCATCAGACTGTCCTCCAATGCCAGCGCCATTTGTGCTTGGGGAAAGTGAGAGTGATTTTCCAAGTTCGTCTTCGATTGTTTGTGTACACAGTAATGGTGATTTTCCACACGCACACACACACACATACTCGTTGTTTTGTCTGAGCGATTGAGGCGCAGTCTTTGTCGTTTGCTTCGTGTTCTTACAGATGGCCAAGCGAACAGCCAAGGAAGCCGGTCACGACACGCCCGACCATCCATCCACGCCCCACACGCGGGAGACTGCCACTACTGGAACACCGCAGCGCATGACCAGGCAGGCAGCAGGATCAGCCAAGCCAACGCCCAGCAGCAAGAGCCAACAACGCAACGCGCGTGGCACCGACCGCAGCGCCAGTCCCACACAACACGTTGGCCGTGCGCACGGCGACGAGAATGATAGCGATGATAATGCCGATGATGATATGAGCATCGATGCGGCGGACAAGGGCGATGGCTCCACTGTCAGCTCAGATCAGAAGCAGGCGATCCGAGCCGATGACGCTTTAGCACCCGTCCCATCTCGTTTGCTGGCCATGACTAAGGCTCTGGCAAGCCAGAATAGCATTGTCAATGCCTCACTCCACGGTCTTCCATCCGATCCGGCCGTGCAATCCGTGGATTTTGAGGTGTCGGTACGTTTCCTGTCATTTTTTTCTGCTTTTGTTGCCTTGTTTCGGTGGTTGGTTTGTCGAGCTCACCTTGTCGCTTTTTGTTGACTTTGCCATCCACACTGTAGGACTCGGGGGATGCTGATAGCGGGTCATATCAGCAACGTTCGGCAGAGTCCAATTTGTGGCGAAGGCTAGCTCGCGGAAATCAGCGGCTAGGGCAAACTGTCGACAATACTGCACCAGTCTCAGCAACAAGTTCTCATTCATCTTCTGTTGCAGCGAGTGCCGACGCTGCTGTCGCAGTGGAGACGTCGCCATTTTGGTCGGCATACCTCCAGTTGAACACTGACGCATTCGCAAAAGATTTGGAGCAATTACGACAAGAGAGCGACATGACTCCCAGCAAAGTACGTCTGCTTGTAGACTCGCTGCGGGCAGGAGCCGAACTGTGGACTGAGCAAGAGCGCCAATTATGGCAAGCCTCGTCCAATCCGGCATCCGTCAGCGCCCCGAAGCCCAAACCTAGTGCTGCCACTTCAGAGCCTGTACCCATGGATACCACCACGGACTCCAACGACTCGAGCACCGCACCAGGCGCGGATGCATCGCGCCGAGAACAAGAACCGACTGCCACCAAGCTCAAACAAGGCAGTGCTGCACCCGCGACTCCTGCCAAGCCTAACGTCAATATCGCTCCCGCTTCTACTCCGCGATCTGAAAAACGCAAAACAAACAGCAAGTAGCTCCTGTTGGTTGTACAAATAAATCAACAAAACGAGCCAGAATAAAAAACAAAACAACACCAACATCACCACCACCACCACCACCAACAACAACAACAAAAAACACTTTGTGATTGTGATTTCAGTTGAGCGTCGTGCATTGATTTCCGAAAAAAAAGAAAGCCACATGTGTAACAGACACATACGCTGCTTTTGAAGACTAGAGCAAAAGTGCTTGCATCTCGGCGGCCTGCAGCTGAGCATCCTCCTGCTTGAGCGTGGTAGGTTTCGCGACAGCTCCGGCGCGAGCGCTCTGAATAATGTCCTTGCTTAGCGCACGCTTCTTTGCCTGCAGCGCTGCCACGCGTTCTTCGACCGTTCCCTTGCAGATGAGCCGATGCACTGTCACCTTCAGCGGTTGTCCGACGCGGTACGCCCGATCGCAGGCTTGGTCTTCCAACGCAGGATTCCAATGGCCGTCTGCGATGACAACATGGTTAGCAGCAACCAAATTCAGTCCAACGCCTCCGGCAAGCAGTGACAGTAGCATCACCCGTGATCCCGTGATGAGAGGATGCTTGCTCTTCTTGTCTGTGCTGTTCGCGTTCGCTTGCTGCTGCCGAGCCAAGTCAGCAGTCCAGTTCCCGTAAAACGCCTTGATGGACTTTTCGCGCTGCTTTGAGTTCATTGAGCCGTCAATCTGGGAGAAGGTGATGCCACTCGACCGCAAATGCTGCGCTACAATGTTGAGCATGGACGTCCATTGTGAAACGACAATTGCCTTCTCACCAGCCGCAGTGACTGTTTGCAGCAGTTGCAGCAAGGCTGTGAGCTTTGCAGATCGAAAGCTTGGGTCCATCATGGGTAGGAACCGTTCCACATCTTCCAATGGACCATCCGGACGCGACTGTTTCCTCGTTCTCGAGGTGCCGACAGCAAGCGCAGCTAGCTGCTCCGCCAACGTGTCGGCTGTGTCCACTGCGGCGGGCCGAGGTTTGGGAACGGCCGGCTGACGGCTCGTCTTTGTCTTCTGGCGCCGCGGGGCCTTGCCCTTGGAGCGGTAGGAGGTTGAGTGCTTGTCGTCCGAGTCGTCCGAGCTGGAGTCGTCGTCCGAGCTGGAATCGTCGTCCGAGCTGGTTGAGTCGCTGTCGCTGTCACTGTCTCCATCTGCTTGATTGTCCATGTCAGGAACGCCGCCCATCAAGGCAGGATGGCAGCTGATTTGGCGCAAGCGAAGAATCTTTTCCAGCAGGTTGAGTCTCCGGTCGGTGGCGTCGGCTGTCGTCCCCGCGGCGCGCGCAGCGAGCTGTGCTTTCAATTGCGCCGCTGCGCTCGAATGCAGCTGGTCATACAGCAGTTGCTCCAAGTCTGTCAGCTGCACATCGGTTGTGAGCACGACTTTTTCTGGCAGGGCTCCAGCGGACGTCGAGGACGAGGAGGTCGAAGCCGTTGCAGATGGAGCGGCAGTGGATTGAGATGATGACACTGCGAGCGCTGCAGAGTCGCGGCGCATGTCCTCCTTGGTTCGGCGCAACACCAGGGCACGGACGAGCTGATTCATCAACGGCTCGCCTTGGTAGCTGCTACTGTATGAATACTTGTTGCGCGTCGTTGCCATAACGGTCGTCCACACTCGGCGATTGGCAAATGGCAGCACGTGCAAAAAGCGCACTGCTCCCAGCAGATCGTCTGTCGTATTGTGAATCGGGGTGCCAGAGAGCAACCAACGACATTCACCCAGCAGCTTGCAGGCTGCCTTGCTGGTGTTCGCGATGGGATTGCGGATGGTATGTCCTTCGTCGAGCACAATGCGGTGCCAGGAGACCTCGTTCAGGACAGCGGCATGGGCACCAGCAGCTTTGCCTGCAGCACCCTTTTTCCCCTTGCTTGCAGCAGGCTTGGGGGCATCGCTACTCTCTGCAGAGGTGGACACTGCATCTCTGCTTTCCATTTCAACCATATTGTAGGTTGTCAGGATAATGTCGTACGATGCCAAATCGGCAACGGACTTGGCGCGGGAATCGCCATGGTGGGTGAAAATGCGGAGGTAGCCCGGAGCTGTATGCTTTTCGATTTCATCGCGCCACTGGTGCAGCACGGAAAGAGGACAGACAATGAGGGTTTGGCGCAGCGCAGGCATGGCAGGGGTGCTGGGGCCTCGAGTGGACGCTTCCTTGTCCAAACACACACACGCAATGGTGGTCATTGTCTTGCCCATGCCCATGTCATCTGCCAGCAGACCGCCGCGGCACAATGTGGGTCTCGCGGGTGCGGGCGGCTTTGCGGCCTGCTGCGGGGCGGACTGCTGCGAGGCGGATTGCTGCGAGGTGGACTGCGGCTGGGCGGGCTGTGGGGGCAGCTCGACCTTGCTGGCCCGCTCACGCCAAAGCATCCATGCCACACCGTCGAGCTGATGCGGCAACAGCCGCGTGAGCATGTGGGCGGGTTGCATTTCTTGGCCAGCGCTCGGGAGACTGGCAGACAGAGCGGCTTCATTGCGCAGCAAGAACAGGTCCGTCGGGAGCACATGCGCCAACTCTGTGGCGTCAAGCGCCGGAATGCTATGGCCTCTTTCCGCCATGGATGTTCCACATAGGATGGAATATTCGAGAGATTGGCTGTGGTGAAAGTCTTGGTTTCGCTGTTGGTTTGCTTCTAGTTCCCGTTTCTGCGCGGCTTGTTCCGCTGCGCGAGCTTGCTCAAAGTTCTGGCGCAAGTGAGCCTGCGCGGCTTCGCGCTTTTCGAGGGCGGCCAGCTCAGCTTCCACCGACTGGGTTTTGCTCTGGATTTTTGCCTTGATGTCAGCCGGAAAGGTATTGTACATGGAAGACGCGACCAGCTCGCGCTGCTTGGCGAGCTCGCGACGAGCCTTGTCGATGTCGACAGAAATCAAGGCATTGTACGTTTCGGGTGTGGAAACAACAAGAGAGCTTTCCAAGCGAGACGCAAGAGCATCCGTGTCCGTCGGCGCGGTTTTGGGGCCAAGAGTTGCCTCTTTAGGGAGAGCTTTGCTCGACGACGGTGATGTGATTGCAATCCCAGAGAGCGCATCGCCGAGAGAGTCTACATCTGCTGCTGCATTCACCGAAGAATTTGCAGCAGCGACGGGGGCGGACGTGGATGGCTTGGCGAGGGAACGCAATCCCGTTTCAGACAAGGCGTTGTTCCAGTCTCGGCAGCGTTTCGCGCCACACCATGCATTGGCTGACGTCGCCTTGTTGCACCGAAACCGCACCAGAACGCCATCGGCAGAGTTCTCGTATCGCCGGTAGCCACAGACGGACGTCGGATGCTCGGGGCAAGGCCATGCAGCGACCTCCACAGCTGGAAGAGCGCGCGTAAAGTCGCACATCGAATCTTGGCCGCAGACCAGGAAGCTTTTGCCTGCCACCAGCATGCAACCCAAGTGAGCGACACGGCTGCAAAACTCTCAGTACAACTCAACTCCAGTGCCCGGAGCCAGACAGAGCGGGGCTCTATGTGAGCGAGTGCGTCAAAGTGCCGTTGTCGTTGCGTGTGCGAAACCGTTTCAGACCAAACCCTTCAGCAGAAGCGCGTCCCGCAGCCGTCCACTACCCCACTGCTCACAAGCACACAAGAGCGACTGCAAAGCATCCAATAACAGACACGCATGATGAGGCGCACCTTTGGAGGGACCATCGGACAGGCCCGTGCGGACGGCGCATGGCTGGTTGTGCTTGATACACTTTTCCATTGCGATTTGGCACAGTTAAACTCTGTGAAATCTGGAGTGAATGGGCTCTACATTTGGTCATTTTGATATTTCTGTGAGTGTTCCAAGCAAAATCATCCCGGGCCAGTCTCATCATGCTGCCGGGTTGGACGCGATTGGCGTTGGGCAGGATCCAGATTGCTTCTCACGTCATCAGGGCTCCAACCAACGGCGCGGCATTCAGGGCAACAACCACCACCACCGCCGCCGCCCAATGCGCACCGACCACAAGACACTACACGCATTATTCTAGGAGAGTGGGCGGGTCGGCTGTCCAGTTTGCGCTGCGAGGCGCGCTGCTGGGCGTCGGGATTGTTGGTTTTGGCGCGTTCGTCGTCCAACAACACTCACAGCCGCGGCTGGTGCTTGCTCGCACCGGACTGACCACCGTATCGCCTGCTTACAAAGTCGAGCTTCCAGCAGCGTCGGTCATTCGGCAAATCTACACGGGCTCGGATGGCATCGACACTGCTGATTTTGCTGATGCGTATGCCGTTGATGTGACTGGTAATCAGATTGGTTGCCTTGGAGCACGATATCAATGATGCAAAGTTCGATGGAAGGGCTGCTCATCCATCCAATCGATGACGTTTATTGGCCTAGGAGACCAAGGTCAATTTGTGCTGGATGCAGTTTGCGACAGCCTGTTTCAAAACGCTCCTTGGTTTGCTCGCGCGCTCATGTCGTTGCGCAATTTGCTCGTACGGCCGTTGGGCCTCATCACTGCTGCATCCAAGCCCGACGATCAAGCCAAGTCCAAAGCAGACGAGATATGCGAAACAACCGGTCGAGCTCTTTCCAAGGGTATGGTGTAGTTGTTGATGCAACCTGGAGCGTGTGCTAACACTTTTGACCGGTTTTCCCTAGTTGCTGGTGTGCTCGTGTACAACAAGATATCCGAGAATGAACTGCTGACAGGTTTGGATGACACGGTAACAACATCATCCATGCGTGCGTCTTGCTCGAACACCATCGACGCTAACGCGATTTTGTGCCTTGTCCACCCCTTTCCTTCATTCTCCTTGTTCACCTGCCTTAGCACATGGATTTCCGGTCTACAATTCTTCTCGAGCGAGATTCACAAGGCCGTTGCACACGTGTGATTGTGAGCACCAAGACAAAGTGCAAAAACACGCTCGGCCAGCTCTATATGATTGTGATTCGTCCCTTCCATCAGTGGATTGTCCCTGCTTGTCTCGAGAGTGCAACGCAAGTCTTGGCCGCACAGTAAAGCATCTTACAGAGTTTTCCTTTGAGCTAAGCATGACAAAATAAAAATGCCGCGCTTCGGCCAACTTGCATCGTGAACCAGCACACCAATTCGGCCATGATTTGATACAGTTCTATGTGTATTGCACGTTAGTGTGTTTTGAACAAGAGTGTGAACGGTTTGATCGTGTCAGTCTTCTAAATAGAGCAACCCCAAAAGAATGGACGAATCCGAGCCAATGGACGAGACACCCGCCGTTGCGGAGCCGAGCCGCGTCCGTGGAGCAGCCTCCACAAACAAGAACTTGCCATGGTATGCATTCTATCAACCCAACCGATGCGAGCATTGGGGAAGATCAGCGACGGGAAACATGGGCTTGTGATCCGATGGCGTTTTTGGCGGGAGTGTTTTCCCGCCTTTTTTTTTTTTTTTCCCCCTCTTGCTTCACATTGCCCGATCATTTCGTTGAGCGACCGTCCCAATTGAAACTTGTCACCCTGAATCCCTTGACTTACATCTCATCCATGCTTGTGCACGAACGGACAGGGTTGAAAAGTACCGCCCATCGTCGCTGGACGAGCTCATTTCACACAAGGACATCATTTCGACGAGTACGATCTGGTTTCTTCGTTGTCCTGCGCTCCATCTAGGTGGCGCCAGTCCCACGGAATGTGTCATCACAAACCGTCTGTACTCGGGTCGTGGGAGATGGGGGCAACCGAGCCTGTGTTGCTGACTGACTGACGGTTGTGCGCAATTTCATGCAGTTGATCGATTCATCACCGAAGATCGCGTGCCACATCTCTTGTTCTATGGCCCGCCTGGTACCGGTGAGTTGTTGCATCCGCACTGCTGCGGTGTCTTGCGTGGTGGATTTGCTTGGTCGAAGGTGGTAACACACCGACTGACTTTGGCTTGGTGTGGATCGTCTTGTTTGAGCGCAGGCAAAACGTCAACGATTCTGGCTTGCGCCAAAAAGATGTATGGCAATCGAATGCAATCCATGGTCCTTGAGGTATGCGCTTTAGGAGCATGATGGTTCTGACGTGTTTGCTTTCCAGACGAACTCACAAACTATCTATTGCTTTTGGCCTCCTTGCATTGCTTTCATCGCTAGCTCAACGCTTCAGATGATCGAGGCATTGGGGTCGTTCGCGAGCAAATCAAGGAGTTCGCTAGTACACGAACCATCACAAGGTACGGCAGTGTCAACAGGCTCGGCTGGTTGAGCAGCCAGAAACAACATGATTCGAAACAACAACATGATTCTAATGACGCGTTCTACATTTGGGGTTTGACACAGCTCTGGTGGCACAAAGCTCGTCATTCTTGATGAAGCAGATGCCATGACATCAGATGCACAAGCCGCTCTACGAAGAGGTACGTTGTTTCTGCACCCTTTGGTTGTATTGGAGTTGCCGCACAAGTCGGTCCCCCTCTCAACTGGTGTCTATTTGGATACAGTCATTGAAAAGTACACGCGAAACACACGTTTCTGCCTCATTTGCAATTACGTGAGCAAAATCACGCCCGCAATTCAGTCCCGTTGCACCCGGTTTCGCTTTGCTCCGCTCTCGAGCGAGCAAATGCTGGATCGCTTGAATTTTGTCATTGAAAGCGAGCGGTATGTTGTGCTTGTGCATTGCATTGGTTGGGAGGTTGGTTTTGCGTGATGAGGTGCGATTTTGACTGATTTTTTGAATTTCCTGCCTGGTTCTTAGCGTCAACGTGACTGACGACGGCAAGGCTGCACTCATGCGTCTGGCTCAAGGCGATATGCGCAAGGTGTTGAACATTTTGCAGGTACAGAGAGAGATCTTGCTTCGTGTTGCCCTTGCACGTCTTGTCAAACTGGACCAATGCCCTCACTCGGTACAACGAAATCTCTGAACGTCTCCTCAGTCGACTGCTATGGCCTTTGATACTGTCGACGAAACGAGCGTCTACACGTGCACTGGCTTCCCGTTGCCTGCCGACATTGAGACAATCGTGCAGTGGCTGTTGAACGAGCCGTTCACATCCGCGATGGCCAGTACGTTGGCAGAGCTGCAAGCTCGATGTGCTTGTAACCTGTGGTTGCTTGATGAGAATGTATTGTCGCTCACTTGTCAAACTTCGCCACCCCGCAGACATTGGTGAGCTCAAGCTCCAGAAAGGACTCGCGCTTCAGGACATTCTTCGCGAAGTGCACGAGTTTATGGCGCGCATCGAATTCCCCGCCAATGTGCGCATCTACTTGCTGAAGCAGCTTGCCGACATTGAGTAAGTGCACGCACAGCCATGCAAAACAAACAACACGAAAACAAAAATCAGCAAAACACCACAATCCGCAATTATGCTGACGTGAAACTCTCCATGTCTCTGCTTCAGGTACCGATTATCTGCTGGCACCAATGAGCGCATTCAACTGGGCTCGCTTGTTGCCGTATTCAACACTGGCAGGGACATGGGCACCACCGCCTAAACCTTCTCGTTTTCAATTGCGGCGATTTCCACCTGCGATCTCCTGTTTTTATGACACTCTATTCAATACACTCTTACGCATCGGGTCGCTTTGCTTGTCCTGATTTTCTGCAATCAGCCTAAAGAACTTAACTCGAGGCTCACTCCTTTTCACTGTGCGTTCGGTTTGTTTTGTTGGAATAATTTGTCCTTTTTTTTTTTTTTTTTTTTTTTTTTTTTCTGGTTGTTCGGTCTTTGCTGTTTGGCTTTTTGTTTTCTTGCAACATCCCGTGCTGGTCGCGGTGCCCTGTCTGTCCCGTTTTCCGTGCAACACCCACCCGCATCCATGCACAGACAGCGTTGTGGTTGTGGTAGATCGCGACGACCTTTTCGAGCGCACAGGCACCAGGTCGCACATGACGCTGTTTTTTTTTTATTTTTTTATTTAATTTTTTAATTTCCGGACTCGGGTTGCAATGCTCGGGTTGCGTTGTTCAACCATCGGATCGCCCTTCTCTCGCGTCCGTCCCGCGTTTCCTCGAGCACTCTTCTTTTACGATCTCATCAGCGTTGTTGGCGATGGGCGAGTCTCGCAGGGCACTCACACTTTAAAAAGAAAAAAAAGAAAAAAAGAGAGATCGTGCGATCTCGTGAAACGGAAAATGAACGTTTCGACCAGCGATTTGGATTGCCGTTCTCACTTGAGTGGAGCGTTCACTTGGTGTCTTGGCATTGGTGGCATTCACTCTGTTGAAGTGCATACTGCTGGAAGCCACATTGCGCTGGCTGATCCGGGCCCCACTGCAGCTATGGCTATTTGAAGGCGATCAGGACGTTTCAGCAAAAAAAAAAAGAAAAAAAAAAGAAAAAAAATCATCGAAAAAGAAAAAAGCAAAAAAAAAAAAAGAGCAAAAAAAAAAAAAAAGAGCAAAGTTCAACCCATCATCTTTTTTGACGCGTTTCTTTGGCTTGCACAATCACCCTTGTGGCTTTGGCCTTGCTGACTCTGAATCTGTCGCGTTTGTGTTCCAAAAAACAACGCAGAAATTTCCCCCCGTCTCTTCCCTCGACCTTTTGCGTTCTGTGCTCAACCCCGGTTGAAATTTCAGAACCGATTCGTCTTCGCCCGGCTAAACCGAAAACCCCTGCGCCACCAAAAAAACCCCTCTCCCCTATCTGACCAACCATGTCTTTCGCTGATCCCGACATTGTTGCTGGCACCGAGTCCATTGTGAGCGAGGATGACCCGATCGTCCAGTCGCACGCTCAGCAGCAGGCTCAGCAGCACGCTGCTGCCGCCGCTGCTGCCGCCCAAGCCTCGACCTCTGCTGCCTCGACCTCCTCTGGCGCCACCTACTCTGACCTCTTCCCGCCGCTTCCGACCGCCGCCCAGCGCCCCAAGGCTGCTGGCGCCTGGGCGACTGCCAAGTCTGCTTCCTCGACCGTGTCCCACACCCTGCACGTCCCCATCGACGAGCGCCGCGAGGACCGCTTTGGCGAGTCTGCCGCTGCCACGACCTGCAAGGATGTGATGGAAAAGACTGGTGTCTCGATCGAAATGTCCTCGTCCAAGTCCAAGCACCTCGCGATTGTCATCACTGGCCGTCCCGAGAACGTTGCCAAGGCCAAGCAGCTGCTGCTGACCCGTCTCCAGACCCAGTCCACGCTCGAGGTCGTCGTCCCCAAGGAGCACCACAAGTTCATCCTGGGCAAGGGCGGCAAGGCCCTCGCCGACCTGTGCGCTGCCACTGCCACCAAGATCAACGTGCCCAAGGCCGACGAGGCGACTGACATTATCAAGATTGTCGGCACTCGCGAGAACTGCGAGAAGGCCCGCGCCGAAATCCTCTCCGTCTCGAACGCCAAGGGCAAGTTTGGCGTCATCCGCATCACGATTCCCCACGTCTACCACCCCTTCCTTGTCGGCGCGAACGGCTCGGAGATCAAGAAGCTCACCGCCGAGACTGGCGCCAAGATCAACATGCCGCCGCCCTCTGCCGAGAACCCCGACGAGATTGTCATTACCGGCGAGAAGGAGGCGATCGCCAAGGCTGCCGCCCGTCTCAACGACATTTTTGCCGACAAGCAGGCCAACACTGGCACCCTGAACGTTGACGTCAAGAAGAAGCAGCACCGCTACGTCGTTGGCCCTAAGGGCGCCTACATTCAGGAGATTCTCCAGAAGACTGGCGTCGTCATTGAGATGCCCCCGGCCGATTCCGCGATCGAGAGCATCACCATCCGCGGACCTCAGCAAAACCTCGTGACGGCCCTCCAGCTCGTCCTCAACCGCGCCAACAGCGTCGTGACCCGCGAGCTCAAGGCCCCGCACTGGCTGCACAAGTACCTCATTGGCAAGAGCGGCGCAAACGTCAAGTTGCTCGACGCTGCCAACCCGGACGCCCACATTAACTTCCTCGAGGACAAGGACCTCGTCGAGATTGAGGGCCCCCCGGAACAGGCTGAGCGCATCTATGCCTCCCTCGCTGCCTCCCTCGCTGAGCTGACCAAGAAGATGACCTTTGCCGAGGTTACCGTGCCCAACCAGTTCCACCGCCACATTATCGGCAAGGCTGGCCAGCACATCAACCGCATCAAGGAGGAGACTGGTGCCAACATTGTCATCCCCAACGACGAGCTCAAGAGCGACATTATCAAGATTGAGGGCGAGGCTGCTGGCGTTGCCAAGGCCAAGAAGGAGATTCTCGAGCTTGCCAAGGCCATTGCTGAGATGCACACCGAGGAGCTCAAGTTCCCCCAAAAGTACCACAAGACCCTCATTGGCCAGAAGGGCAAGTCGATTCGCGAGATTCTCGACCTGTACCCCGGCGTCATGATCAACTTCCCCGAGGAGAGCGAGCACAGCGACGTTGTCACCGTCAAGGGCAAGAAGCAGCTCGTCCTCCAGGCCAAGCAGCACCTTGAGAAGCTCGTTGCCGAGATTATTGCCAACAACTACACTGTCGAGGTTTCCATCTACAAGAAGTTCCACGGCCACGTTGTCGGCAAGAACGGCGCCAACCTCAAGAAGATTCGCGAGGACACCAACACCCGCATCTCCCTTCCCGACGAGAACTCTGAGTCTGACAGCATTGTGATTGTCGGCACCAAGGCGAACGTCGAGACTGCCAAGGAGCGCATTCTTGCCATCCAGAACGAGCTTGCCAACATTTCCACCGCCGAGGTGAGCATCCCCAGCAAGTACCAGGCCCTCATCACCAGCCACAACGGCCGCGTTCTGCGCTCCATCTCTGAGGAGTGCGGCGGCGTGACCGTCCAGGTCCCGTCCGCTGGCAAGGGCAAGACTGCCACTGCTGACAAGGTCGTCGTTCGCGGCCCCAGCGAGGATGTCGAGCGTGCCAAGCAGCTCCTCCTCGAGTTTGCTTCGGACAAGGGCGCGTTCGTCCCCGAGGACATTACCGTCAAGCACCAGCACCACCGCTTTATCATTGGTCGCGCGGGTGCCACCGTCAAGCAGATCCGCGAGACCACTGGCGCTCGCATTCTCTTCCCGGGCAAGACCGAGACCGACGCCGACACTGTCACGCTTCTGGGCAAGGACACCCAGATCAAGGCTGCCAAGGAGGCCATCGCCAAGATTGTCCGCGACCTCGAGAGCGTTGTTTCCGAGGAGATGCACATTGAGCCCAAGTACCACAAGGCGTTTGTTGTCAACAAGGCCAAGCTCATCAAGAGCATTTCCGACGAGTTTGGCGGCGTGCAGATTAGCTTCCCCGCCAAGTCCAAGGGCGAGGAGGGCTCTGCCGAGGCGCCTGCTGCTGCTGCAGGGCTCTGCCGAGGCGCCTGCTGCTGCTGCTGCTGCTGCTGCTGCTGCTGCTGCTGGTGCCTCGTCATCCAAGCCGGATGTGGTCACCCTGAAGGGTGGCAAGGAGTTTGTCGAGCTCGCCAAGCAAAAGATTCTCGACCTTGTCGAGGACCAGCGTCTCCAGGTCACTCGCAAGCTCACCATTGCCCCCGAGTTCCACGGCACTGTTCTTGGCAAGGGCGGCGTCAACGTCCGCACCGTCTCGGACGAATTCAACGTCCAGATCAAGTTCCCCGAGTCGCGCAAGAAGGGCGAGGCCAAGGAGGAAGGCGAGAAGGCCGAGGAGAAGCCCAAGGCCGAAAAGTCGGATGCCGACAAGGAGGACGCCAACGCCATCAAGGTCAGCGGCCGCAGCGACAACGTCGACAAGGCCATTGAGGCGCTGAAGGCTTTCGTCCCGGTCACTGCCGAGCTCGAGATCCAGAACGACTACCACCGTCACCTGATTGGCAGCGGCGGCAAGGATCTCAAGAAGGTCATTGACCTGTTCGACGTGAACGTCAAGTTCCCGTCGGCCGACTCGAAGAGCGACAAGGTGATTGTTCGTGGCTCTGCTCCTCAGGTCGAGAAGGCCAAGGAGTACCTGCTCGAGCGCGTCAAGGCCCTCGACGGCGAGGCTGCAGACCGCGAGGCCCGCAACTTTACCCTTGAGCTCAAGGTTGACCCCAAGCACCACTCTGCCATCATTGGCATGAAGGGCGCTGTCATCTCCAAGATCAAGGACAAGACCGACACCCGCATCTCCTTCCCCAAGGAGGGCGCCAAGGAGGAGGACCAGGCCACCATCACCATCAAGGGCTACGAGGCCAAGGTCAACGAGGCCCGCGACGCCATCCTCAAGATTGTCAAGGACCAGGAGGACCAGGTCACCATCGAGGTCGACATTGACGTGCGCATGCACCGCCGCATCATTGGCCCCATGGGCAAGAACCTCCGCAAGATTATGGACGACTTCAACGTCCAGATCAAGTTCCCCCGCAACCCCGACGATTCCCTCGTCGCCATCAAGGGTCTGCCCGCCAAGGTCGAGGAGGCCAAGAACCACCTCAAGGATCTCTCCGAGGAGTTCCTGCTCGAGGTGCTCGAGGACGAGGAGCAGCGCGAGCTCGAGCGCGCGTGGGTCATCGACCCCCGTCAGCGTGAGAACTACAAGGAGGATTACTTTGCCTCCCTTGGCCTGTTCAACGACTCTGCCGCTGCCGGCTCCGCTGCCAGCCCCGCCAAGGGCAAGAACGCTCGCGGCTCCGCTGCCCCCGCTTCCAACGCTGGTGGCAGCCGCGACCAGTTCCCGTCGTTTGTCAACACGGCAGCGCCCGCTCCTTCCCAACCCCCGCGCTGGGTGACCAAGTAAACAGACAGAAGCTGACAAAGGCATGCGAAGACGTCCAAACAGCCACAAACAACCACGATTAGCATTTTACATTGTTTGCTGGTGGTGTTTTTTTTTTGAAGCCTCTTTCTTCTTGTTTGGCCGACCCACAGATGTTTTTTTTTTTGTTTGCTTTTGCTTGTTTTCGTTGTGTTGTGTTTGCAGTTTGTTTTACAGCTCCATCTTTGCTGACTTTTGTTCTTTTATATTCATAAATCTACTCTGAAACCATAAATCTTTTGTTTTTGGATTGCCGTTTGTCAATTTGTCGCACTCTCCACACCTTGACCATCCATGCTTTGGAGCTGACAGGCTAAGATGGCTCGTCATGAGCGAACGCTGGACGAGGCACACTTTGTGTTTTGTTTTTGTGTGTTTTTGATTAGTTTATAAGATGAAACAGCGGCACGAACATGCACTCAAAAAACAACCGACAACTGGAGGGGTCGGACAAAATGACTACACCGCACATGCCAACGTCTGGACCGCTTACTGGGCAGCGCAGTGCTTGAGGAGGCGGAGGAGCTGGTGGCTGTAGCCAGTCTCGTTGTCGTACCAGGCGATGAGCTTGACAAAGTTGTTGTTAAGGGCAATGCCGGCGTGGGCGTCGACGATGGCGCCAGAGGTGTCGCCGATAAAGTCGGACGAGACAACCTGGTCCTCAGTGTAGGTGAGGATGCCCTTGAGCTTGCCCTCGGAGGCCTCCTTGAGGGTGGCCTTGATCTCGTCGTAAGTGGCGGGCTTGACGAGGCGGCAGGTAAGATCGACGACAGAGACGTCGGCGGTGGGGACGCGGAAGGACATGCCAGTCAGCTTGCCCTTGAGCGAGGGCAGGACGGACGAGACGGCCTTGGCGGCGCCAGTGGAGGCGGGGATGATGTTCTGGGCAGCGCCACGGCCATCACGCCAGAGCTTGCCAGAGGGACCGTCGACGGTCTTCTGGGTGGCAGTGTACGAGTGGACGGTGGTCATGAGGCCCTCAGCAATCTCGTACTTTTCGTGGATGGGAGCAACGAGGGTGGCGAGGCAGTTGGTCGTGCACGACGCGTTCGAGATGATGTCCTGGGTGGCCTTGTCGTAGGTGGTGTGGTTGACACCGAAAACGAACATGGGAGCGTCGGCAGAAGGAGCCGAGATGATGACCTTCTTGGCGCCGCCCTTCAGGTGCTCCTTGGCCTTCTCGATGGTGGTGAAGACACCAGTCGACTCGACGACAAACTCGGCGCCATCAGTGCCCCACGGGATTTCAGCGGGGTTCTTGCTGCAGAAAGGCCAAGCGCGAGTAGTGTAAGATGTGAGAATTTTTGCGCAGTGGTGCACAGTGCGAGAAAGGAAAAAAAAAATGGTCCACCAGTGTTTGGGTTGTTTTGGAAAAGGATGTGAAAAAAAGCACCCCTCAACTGCAAGTGAAGGCTTGCTTGGCGGTTGGCTGGTTGAACGTGCGACTTGACGCATCATTGCGATTCGCCAAATTCACGCAGAATTCAGAATTCAGATTCAGAATTTTGGGAAAAAAAGAAAATGCCAACGACCCCCAACCCTTCCCGTGCTCTCTTTCTGGAGTTTTGCGGGTTAAACCACCGACCAAACAACCAACCAAACTACTCAATCAGGCGAAGGAAGAAAAGGGAGGAAAGCAGAAACGAACGAAGAAAACGGAAAAAAAAACCCCCAAAGACAAAAGATTGACGTACCACTGGTGGAAGTTGATCGTCCAGCTGTTGTTGATGACGAGCTGGTGGCCCTTGACCTCGATGGTGCCCTTGAAGCGGCCGTGGGTAGAATCGTAGCGGAGCAGGTAGGCCTAAACAGAACAAAGCAAAAACAAAAAAAAAAAAAAAAAAAGGAAGCCACACGTTCAAAAAAAGTGAGGTGTTGTTTTAAAATTCTGATTCGAGCAAAGAGAGCACCGCGTTCGTTCACTTACAGCGTACTCGGGGTCGAGGAAGGGGTCTGGTTGATGGAAAATGACAAAAGTAAAGAAAAACGAAAAAAACCAAGGAGGAAGGACGAAAAACACAGACAAAGACAAGCCGTTTGTTGAAACAACCAAAGTCAGCATTCAAGAAAGTCAATCTAGGCAAAAAAAAAAAGGTCACAGTTTGCGTGAGTCGACAAACGCACCGTTGATGGAGACGACCTGGAGGTCAGCAGCGTGCTCGACGGCAGCGCGGAAGACAATGCGGCCAATGCGACCGAAACCTGCGAGAACGCAATTTGGAATGAAGAGGAAGACAGCAGTCGAATGAGTGAGTGTGAGATACAAAAAAAAAAAAAAAAAAAAGAAAAAAAAAAAGAAAAAAAAAGCGTGATTGGATTGTGTGGCCACATAGAAATGCAGCGCAGAAGGTGTGCTTTTGTGAGGAAGGAAACGAGCGCTGCAGAGAGGGCGCGTTGTTGGTGGCAGCATGGAAGGGATGTAAGGTGAGATGGATGGATATGAGGGAAGGGAGCGGAGGAGGAGGAAGAAGAGGAAGAAAGAAGGAAAAAAAAAAAAGAAAGGAAAAACGTGAAAGATTCGCTCACAGTCACGCAGGTGCGTCAGAAAGGGAAGGAGCGCATCGAGAGCCCGAAGTGGAAGCAAAGAGAGGGGCAAAAGAGTGAGGGAAGCAAAAGGAGAGACAGAGAACGAGCGAGAACGCGCGCAATCAGAATGACGAAACGGAGAAGAAACAAAAAAAGAAAGAAAGAAAAAAAAAAAAAAGGAAACGCAAAATTCGACCAAAATGACGCATTCGAGTGCAACATGGATCAACGAGCGACAGGAGTGTCGACGGGAGTGTGTAGTTGGAGTGTCGTTGTTGCATGTGTGTCTGGTAAGGCGAGGTGGAAGTCGCCGGAGGAGGAGGGGGGGGGAAGAGGAGGCTCACCGTTGATGCCGACCTTGACGACCATTGTTTTGTAGAAGAAGTGTGACTTGATGAAAAAGTGACTGAGACGGACGGAGACGGACGAATTTGGATTTGGGAAGATTTGGGAAGATTTGGGAATGATGCGATCGGAGATCAGAGAGCATTATACCAACCTGCACAAAGTCACACAAGCATCGCACAAACACTGAAATTTGTGAGAAAGAGGGGCGGTTTCAAAAGCTTGTCGTAAGTTTCCTCAGCGAACACCATGCATGCGTGATCGAGCTGGAATTGCAGCAACACTAGCATGTGCAAACAAGGCATGGAAGAAATCAACAACAAACAACACTAATGTACTAAGAGCAACAAAAACCAACAAATTATCAAGCAAATCAAGAAGAACCAAGCTAAGTATCGCCGTAGTAACTACTATCACGGGTGCTCAGACTCGAATAGCTGCCAGGACTTGGGTCGTAGTTGGGTGGATTGACAGAGGAAGACAGGCTCGTCGAGTAGTACCCATTGTCAACGCTGCCGTGGTGGGAGGACGCGCCGCCGCCGCCGCCGCCGCCTTGCCGCAACTGCTGCTGCTGCTGGTTGTGTTGCGAGCGCGGCACAACTTGATTGAAGGAGCCTCGCCCTAGATTGGGGTAGGCACCTGACTTTGCGGCGCTGGCGGTGGTAGCAACCGAGCCAGAGTAGCGCTGCGACTCGTCCGCGTTGCTCCCGCGATACTGCGGCCAAACCAACGCAATCATGCGGTTGCGGATTTTCGGAGTGAGGACGCAAAACAGGACAAAGTTGGCAAAGCCCTGGCTCGAATCGCCAATGGCTTGGCACAGGGTCAGCCAAAACACGTCGGCCTGCTCCTGCGAGCCAATCTCGCTGATGAGGAAGCGAGTGGTGCCCCACGAGCGCACAAAGACGAACACAATGGGGATGAATGTCATCTTGCGATCGGCTTCCTGAGCCACTTGGACGGAGCGGCGAGACACGAGCTGGATTTGTTCCGCCGAGTGCAGCTCGACGCGGATTTTGCGCTTGACGAAAAAGTACAAGATTGGCACGGAAATGTACGACGCAATTTCCCAGCCCTTGCCCGCAAACAGCTTCCAGAAGAGATCGTACTTGACGTTCGACTTGATCCAGCACCATCTGTGTTGTTGTTGAGGTCGAATAATTTTCAGTGTTGGCAATGCCAAGAGCAGCCCCAAAGAGAAACGCAAACAACAAATCATTCAGAAATGTTAGCAAGCAAACACCTACACACTGCATGTCCATGTCTACACAACGAATCGACAAACTGCAGCATGACGACGACGACGACGACGGACGTACCCAACTGTGGTTGCTGAAAAGTCGTCCGAGCCGAGGACCTCGCACGCCAGCGCGGCAATGATGATGCACGCAGGAGTCAGCCACGAAAAGACATGCAGGAACGGGATTGAGCGCGCTGCGAGTCGCTGCGATTCGCGCGCAATGGACAGGTACAGGTAGAGCGCAATGGAGGACGTCCAGAGGAAGCTGGCAATGCTCGAATAGGTCGTGAAGGAGGACTGTATGACGCAGAGGGTGCCCGTGTCGTCGGTCAGGACACCGACCATGTTGCCCATCGCAGTCACCAGATCTGCAAGCGACAGGAAGACGAGCAGCTGGCGGGATGTGGCGCGGAGGTCTTTGAGCAGCACAAAGCTCAGAATGATGAGAACGCAGCCGACAATCGACAGGCAGCACGTCGTCACGGTCGCCGCCTTCAGCGCAGTCTGCTGGCCTTCACTCCACGGCGACGCAGTTGTTGGCGTGAGCGTGTCATCGAAGGCAGACGAAGGAGCAGTCACAAACGCCGACACCTCGTCCATTTTTGAACAACAAAAAAAGCTCCGTTTTCCCAACAGTTAGCAGTTGTTGTTGTTTGACAATGGATTTGAAGATAGACTGATGTCACACGTATTGTATTGAGATCAAAGCAAGCACTGTCTGTACGACGAGGAAGGACAGTTTTCATTTTTCATTTTTAGCGGGAAAACCAACTCAACAGCAACTCAGAATCCAAAAACCAACAAAAAACACCAACAAACCAAATTGCAGCAAGCTACAAATGAAGTTGCTGGTGAAGCTGCTGGACGACCGCGATCCGTTCAATGCAGACGAAGCAGTGAAGGGGACCTGGCACGTCTTTGATCCCGAGGCCGGGCTGCGCGACCAGTTTGCGACCGTGCACGCGCTCATCCGCTGCCCATTCGCACTGGAGGACAGCGCGCTGTTTGTCGCATCCAGCAAGGTCTATCTCGATCTGGACGAGCCGCTCTCGGCTGCCGGCGACGAGGTAACTCCAATCTCATTCATTCTCATTCTCATTCTCATTCTCAATCTCTCCAGCTGCTCTTCTCTCCCCCATTTCACCTTCTCGCGCTCTCTCTCCCACTCAGTCTCGTTGGGACGCACACTTGTCCTTGCTTTCGTTTTGCGGCTCGTTGTTGTTCCTGGCACCCCCCTCAATGCAACTCCAATGCAACTCCAATGCAACGCGTTTCCGTTAAAATTTGAATTTTTTTGATTTTTATACTAATTTTGGTGATTTCTTGGAATCTTTTTTTTTGTTTTTTGGGTCTTTTGGAACAGGCTCAGGTCAAGCCATACGCGACAGTGCTCGTGCGCCTGCAGCCAGAGATCCAAGCGCACAAGTGCATCGAAATCCTCAACGGGGCGACCGGACGAGCGCTGCAGAAGGCGGTCAATACATTTGCAACCATGGTTGAATCTGACGCACGCCTCGCGCAAGAGTTTGCCCTCATCGACGGCCTCGACGCAATGATGCGCGTCGCTCTGTTCGGCGCGGCGCTCACGCAGCTGTATGCGCTCAGGGCGATGCGGGCCATCATCTGCCTCATTGACGGCATGAACGCGGTCATCCGATCCAACTACGTCGTTCACCAGGTCTACGCGTTGATCTCGTCGGAAATGTCCAAGGTCAGCAAAGGTGCTCTCGAAATCCTGCTTGTCATCCTGGACTTTGACGAGAAGAATCTCGCAATCGTGTCCGAAGCAGCCCAGCTGACGGCCAAGGAGCGCGCCACTCCCGCCTACGCACCGCTCGTCCACTTGCTCGATTCGCCCGATGAGGAGGTTCGCGTGTGTGCCATCTCGCTCATCAACCGCATGATCCGTGCAGTCGACACGGAAGATTCCTTCTACGACCTCACCGACGCCTTTGAGCTTGCGGGCATTGCCGATGTGATTGCCCGCGCCCTCAAAAGCACCAGCAATGCTGCCTTCAAGTCTCACCTCGAGGCCTACGAAAAGGCTCTCGAGGAGGCGGACAGCAAGACCAACGTCATCCAACCCACACCTGGCGAAGACACGCCCTCGCCCCGCATGAAGCGCGGCCTCACCAGCAGAAGCGACTCGGCTTTCGCCGTCGCTTCGTCACCGACACCGCCCAAGTCCGCTGCAAAGTCCATTCTTAAAGGCAGTGACGCGGGCCAAGCAAAGCCGAAAGGTGCTCTTCGTTTCAACGAAGCGGGCGACGACCAACCCACCAGCAGCACCCGAGGTCTCGCGCGACACCGCTCCACCGGACGCCGCCTCTCGTCACGCCGACCTGCCGCTGGCGAGGCGGATGGCTCCGACAGCTCAGATGACGACGAAGATGCCGATGAAGGTTTGTGGCTTGCGTGTTGGATGGGTTGTTGAACATCTGTCGCTAACTCTTTGGTGTGGCTCGTCACAATTGACAGGAGCCAGCCAAAGCACGACCAAATTGCAGCGGAAAACCACAGCAATGCGTACACAGCGTGCCCAGGTCTTGCTCGCTGTTGATGATGTCAGCCCCGAAGACAAGGCCAGTCTCGAGAAGGCCATAGGTTTGTAATTGTGGTTGGCATGATTGCAAATGTTGCTTGGGCTATCCGAGCTCCATTGAGCCTTTTCAATGACTTTTTCTGTGCCAAAGCCCCTTAACCACGAAATGACCTCACTCACTTTTTTGTGTTTGCTTGGATTTACTAACTTCATAGTCTCGATCGACGAGCGAATTGTCATTATCAAGGACTCGATTGTGGTCGAGGACCGCCTCCTCAAAGGCGCTCAGGCCATGAAGACCTTGTTCGTCAAGGAGCCCGTCAAGCTTGCAGGCGCTCAGCAAGCAGAAGCGGCGAGCCTTCAAAAGATTGCCACTTTGGAGAAGGAGTTGGGAACGGCCCAGGAGCTGCGTGCCCAGCATGCTGCCAGCCTGGAGTCCTTGAAGGCAGCCGAGGCCAAGTTGCAAGCCGAGCGCGATGAAGCCGCGCTGCGTGCTCTCGCGGAAGCGCGTGCCCATTCCGAGCAAGCGTCCAAGGCGGCTGCCGAGCGCAAGCTCCAACAACAGAAGACAGAATCGACTCCGAAAGAGAGCGGGCTCGCTGTTCCTTCTGCAAGAGCCGGCATTGCCCCAGGCTCGATGCGCAAGTCTGTGCGAATTGCTTTCAAAGAGGCGCTCGATGATGTCGATCCGAGTGCACAATCGCAAGCATCGTCCGACAGTGGAGGTATGCATGTTTTTCATGTCAAAACGCTCTCGGATTGTTTGATGGCTCTGTTTGGTATCGCACCCAATTCCTTCACCACTCACCCTTGACGACACTGACACTCACGTGCGCTTGATGAATTTTTTGTCGTTTTGATCGACATGGCCTTCTAGCGACTGTCGACTTCCGCTTGAACATTGAGCCCGGCACAAAGCCGATTGTGCATGCTGCTGCCGCTGCTGCTCCGAAGGAACTGGTGATCCCACCTGCCATTGCACCCACCGGGATAGAGAGCGAGCAACTGGACGACGGAACCTTGCTTCAGCTGACGGAACCCGCAACGGTCAATTTGAAGTTTGACAACTTTGATTTCGAGGACCTGACGGCGACTGACGATGTTGATCCCTGCGCCGAGCCTGTCGTCGCCGACACTGGATCCGCCGGCGGTCCGCCCCCACCCCCTCCCATGATGGGTGGTGGACCACCTCCACCTCCTCCGCCGATGATGGGTGGTGGACCACCGCCACCGCCTCCGCCAATGATGGGAGGCGGCCCGCCACCGCCACCTGGCCCGCCACCGCCGCCCGGTGCTGGTCCAGCGCCAGCTGCGGCCGCTGCTGCCAAACCGCAACTGCGCCAGCTGCACTGGACCAAGGTCAACCTTCCCAAGCGCGGCCCTTCTGAGCCCGGCAAGGATAGTGTATGGCACGATATCGACCAAGTCGACTTGGACATGGACAGCATTGTGCTTCAGTTTGCGCGCGTTGCCAAGGCGGACGCCCCTCCGCCTCCAGCTGCCACCACCACAGAGGTGTTCAAAGGCGGTCGTGCCGCGTCGGTGCTTGACCAAAAGCGTCTCCAGTCGCTTTCGATTGCCATGTCCAAGCTGCCTGCGGGAAACAAGATCAAGGACGCAGTCTTGTGCATGCACAGTCTCGATCGAGAGCTTGTTCAGCGGCTGGCACTGCTGGTGCCCACCGAAGAGGAAGTTGCTGCCATCACCTCTCGCAAATCCATGCTGCCCCCCGGTGTTGCACTCGACCCTGCTGACGATTACTTGCTGACCCTGTCCAAGATCTCGGCGCTTTCCGAGCGTCTGAATGTGTGGCTCAAAGTGCTGGAGTTTGAGGAGGCGGCTGACACTGTATCGCGCTCGCTCATGTACCTGAAAAACGCGACAGACGAGCTGCGATCCAGCCAGGCGTTCCGGGCCATTCTGGCCATCGTGCTTGCTTATGGCAACGCCTTGAACACCGGAACAGCCAAGGGCAGTGCCGATGCCTTCTCCCTCGACACGCTCAACAAGCTCACCTCCATTAAAGACGTGACTGGCAAAGCGTCCCTGCTGGATCACATTGTTCGTTATGTTGTCGAAAAGTACCCTGCAGGTGTCACCCTCGCCGACGAAATTCCCCATGTGCTCGAAGCAGTGCGGTTTGCCGATAATGTCGAGTCTGTCGACGCGCACATTGCTGCTCTGTCCGAGTCCGTGAAAACGGCACGCACCCAGCTTTCCGGAATCATTGTCAACGATGCGCACTCGGTCTGGAGGAGCCGCCTCCCGGACGTGCTCCAGAGCCGATACGAAATTGTCTCTGCACTCGCCGTCATTTCGCGTCGCGCCATGCATCGCTTCCGCAGCCTCGCGATCTTCCTTGGTTACTCGACCAGCGCAGCAGCCACAGTGACGCCCCGCGAAATGTTCCAGCTCGTTGGCGAATTTGCTCTCGAATTCAAGGCGCTCATCAAGGTAGCCGTCGAGAACCAGCAACGTGCGCTTAAAAAGTTGGAGCGCAACAAGACCTTGGGCAAGCGCATTTCCAATTTGGTCGCTGTCACTTCCAAACCAACTGCTGCCAAGCCCTCCGAGGGAGCAGCAGGTTCCGGGGCCACTCTGGCTGCCTCTGCAGGCGCCAAGGCACCCGAACATAGCAAGGCTTCCCGCACATCCAGCGTTGCTGATGGCGACGACGACATGATGTCCTGCCTGGTTGCGACTCTTGTCACCCCGACGGAAGGCAAGCGCAAGCGTCTCAAGGCGACTGTGGCGTCGATTGCGCGCAAGTCCATCCGCCGAACCATCAAGTCAAGTGTGTAAACTACACCGCGCGCGGATTTTTTTTGTTCTCGCTGTCTTGAACGTTGTTTATGGTGAAGATTGTGTGCGTGAGTGTTTGAATTTTATTGTGGTTGTGTTTTTGTTTCAAATTATTGACAGCAAAATACAATTTACATGTTTTATTACAAGTTGACGTGTAGTAGATCTACTACTTTATCTTTCAAGGGGAGAAATGACACATGAGCATGTTCGTGTGTGCTCTTTCACAACACCGTTGTAAGAACATTGCTCCGTGCATTTAACATAACCACAGCGCCCAGGCCGTTGGTGAGTTGCTCGAGATGGCGCATGTAGCTGGCCTCGGCAGCTGCGTCGGTTTGGGAGGATGTTAGGAACGACTGGTCGAGCGGGTCCGCGTCGGGGAATCCTGTAAATTGCGGGCCTGCGTCAGAGGTAACAGGCGGTTCTGGACCGCACAGCAGTGGCGGGGGTGGCAGGGTGAGCATTGTGAGACCTGTGGGACGACAAACAAACCCAGTGTGTGAGAGCACAAAACAGGTAAACCAGCGACAGGAATTCAGTATGGCTTACAGGTGTTATTAGAGTAGTGTTGCAAGCAGAGTAGTGTTGCAAGCAATCGCGAAGGATGCCGAGACGACGCTCGATCGGAAGCGCGAGAAAGACCGAGTTTGTGGTGACGTCTTGACAGTTGAGGTAGGTCGCCGATGAATCAATGATAATGCCGCTGAAACTGCTAAAGTTGGTGCTTGACCGCACTCGATCGAGCACGCCAGAGCCTCGCCCATAGTCCTCGTCGGGTTGAGACGGCGGCAGGGAATCCTTGAGCTCGTTTTCAAGCGAGACGACCTTTTCCATCAGCCCAACATTGCGCGGCAGTGAGTGACGAAATTCAACCAACAAACCAACCAGCGATAAACCACGAACCCCCCCCCCTCCCTCACCACAAAAAAAAATTAAATAAATAAAAAATAAATCCGTTGGCACTCACCAAAATGTCGGCCTCAAAGTGTATCTCGTCGAGGAAGACTTGCAACCGATGATACTCTGCATCCAGCTCCCGATCCCGCAGCACAACCGAAACCAAGCGCATGCGGGTCGTGCTACCCCAGGAAGCAGCCATGCGGAGCGTGTGGGTCAGCTGCAGGCACAAATTGAACGAATCGTGGTAGCCAGCCCATCTGGTGCCATGGTGCAGCTCCGTCGCAGCAGTGGAAATGCAGCACGTCCACACATCAATATGCATCTTGGGAGAGCGCCGCTCGTTCAGCTGAGCCTCGTTTGCGCGGAAAGCACGATTGGAAAACCTTGCGGCAGGCTCCACGCTGGGAGAAGACGACGACTGCAGCAATCGAGATGGTTGCAAGGCCTCAGCCTTTTTGGCAATTCGCTTGGCGCGTTCAAAGTCAAAATTGGCAAAGCTGCATGTGCGAGCGTTGGGTGAGTTCTCCCATCAAACAGCAGGTCGAAAGAATCAACCAACCCACAATCCCAACCGCGAGCAACAAACACCCATTTCAATCTGAATGCTTACTTTTTCGCCAGCATAAAGTGCAAGTCTGTAACGAGCACATCACGAATCATGCCGGCAAAGATTGCAATCTGCTCTGCAGCCGGCCAATGTCTATCAAGAAGCCAAGTACAACCACGACAACACAAACGACAACAAAAACGACATCAGCTCGGCACACAAGCGGCAAAACACGACATGAGCTCGGCACACAAGCGGCAAAATGACTGCGCAAACACATACAGGACGGCAAGATTTGGTCGCATGGTGCCAAGACCGGCTGATTGTAACAAATGTTCGAGGCCAGTTCGGGCTGATTGTGCAACCACGACGATGCTGAACGCCTTCACTTTTTGGTCGTCAATGAACGCATTGAGATTGTCCAGCTCTTGTTGTCGGGTGCTCATCGAGTTCAAGTATTCACCCAGAACTACTCGCGAAATAATGAGAAGCCCTCCTTTCTTGATGGCGTTCGCAAATTTCCGCAGTTGCACTGTTTGAGTCACCACATGTCGTGGATGTTGCTGTGCTGGCGTCGTCACTTCAACAACGAGCAAACTGGGTCGCCAGTACTTGTCGTGAGCTTTCTTGGACGTGATGCGAAGAAGGTACTTGCGAATCTGCAACAACAACAACAACAACAAAAAAAAATCAAGAACCCACAAAACAACCACCAGATCGAAAGACAATGGTGCGCAGCGGCGTGAGAGCTCTACAACATGGCGCGTACCTGATGGAACAAGACTGCTTGAGTAATATCGCCCCAATCTTGTGATGGCACAGTGATGGTAAACACCACAAAGACAACCGTCGCGATCGCCAACATGCTCAAAGAGATGGTAATGTCGATCGCAAACATGGTGGCGAGTGGCAGCAGAACGCCAATGGCAGCCACGGGCTTGGTGTGGTAGCGATAGCGGGGACGAAAGTTGGGCATGTTGAGGGCAAAGAGAATCAGCACACCGGCATTCAACACGGCCACGAGCAGCAGAAACAGGAGGGTGACGATTGGCGCAATGACATCCAAGCGGCCTGCAAAGAGCGCACACTGGACGCAAAACCAGCAAAACACCAGGTACCACTTTTCGAAAATCGGAGGAGCAGTGGGTCTGCTAGAGTCGGTCACGGCGTCTGTCAACGGATTGGTGCCAAGGAGGTTGTTCTCTTGCACCCCCTGCAACTGTTCTGTATCGGCTTGAATGGATGGCACAAATGGAGTGTCTGGTTGAACATGCAGCAAGCCCACGTCGTCGTACGACTGCAGCAGAGGGGTGTTCTGTTGGCTCGAGCCCGTGGACAGCCGCATATTCAGCACAGAGTGCATCTCAGCGGAGCTCGGGCGAAGCGACGATGGTGAGCGTTGGCGATGCATGCGGTAGGCTTGACTTCGACGCGCAACAACCGACTCGCGGCCTGTCGCGGACACGCTGGACGAGGTTGCAAAGGACGACGCTGACGCGAGTTGGCTCCGCGGCGAGATGGCAAACAAGAGCCGATACACTTGCCGGGTGACAAGCGGCATGACACCATCCTCACACATACGAAAGAGCACGCGCGCGGCGCCCTGAAGATGGAAAATGCTTGCGCCAACGGTCGAGCATGTCACTCCAGCAAAGACAATGTACTGCGAGACGCACAGGCGTTCCAGGAGCACCTGGAGCCCGCCGGCTGAAAGCGTAAACAGCGACGTGACACATGCAGCAATAGTGATGGCGAGCGATATGAATGTAACGACGGCCGTTGTGGATGCCAGCGCCATCCCGCGCGGAATGCTACGCTGAGGGTTTACGACTTCAGAAGAAAGATTGGTGCCGGCCAGCACACCGGTAAAGGCAGAAAAGAGCAGACCAAACGCGTCCAGAAACATGGATGCCGCGGTGGAGGAGGAGTCGTCGGAAAAGTTTGGCGTGAGGTTTGTTTGCAACGACTCTCGGCTCGGGCCGGTGAATAGGTATTCTGGCGTCACGGGGCTGACAGGATCGTCGCCAACAAGCGAGCCCACGAGCATGGTCATGGTGGTGTTTGGAATCGGCACGTACGGGAGTGTGTCAAACCGCGGGCGAAACAGTAGACTTCCGAGCACCAGCAGGACGCTGGCGGTTTTGACAAGAAAGAGGAGGACTGCCACGCGAGCGTAAAAGCGAAACCCAATCAACGACACGACAAGGGCAAACAGGATGGTGATGCTGCCGACAAGAAAGTTCATCCAGTAGCCAAACCCTTCCGGATTGGCAAAACCAGACCCCGAGGCGCTGGGGTCGTCGATGGTTGCGCTCATGATGGCCGTAAAGCCTGTCACGCTGAAAGCCGCCGAGAGAATGTGCACGATGAACAGCATGGTGCCAACGGTCGAGCCCAATTCGGGCCCCAGCGTGCGCGAGATGAGAAAGTACGCGCCGCCAAACGTGACGGGTCCGCTTGAGACAATTGTAGCGGTGGCTGAAATGGCAATGGCAAGAATGACGGCGATGATCAGAATCATGGCCAGTACCAGGTACAATCCGCAGCTTGCAATGGCGGCGGCCAAGCGCAGGAACAAGATTGGTCCAAACACGGCAAGTGTGCCTGGAACATAGACGCCAGACCACTCGGAGAGCTTGTGCGAGAAAATCCAACCCAGGGCTGCCTTCCAGCGGTTTCGATGGGGACGGTCACTCAACAGCGGCCCTCCAATGGCGTAGGATTCCGAGGGCGGCGGTTGAGCGTCAGCAGCAGCAGCAGCAGAAGTGCCACGGCGGCCGTGGGAAGATGAGGAAACGGAGCTGAAGCGGCGTTGCGCTCGCAGTGTCGCGCCGCCTGCCGCGCCGTGGTCCGCAGGCAGCAGCAGACTGGCAGACGAGTCCATAAAGTCATCTGTAAAGTCGTTGGCCTCGGAGTCGTCTCTGTCCTCAATCGCTGCGGCGCCGTGGTGGTGGTTGTGGTGCTGCACCTCCGACAAGGTCCCATCCATTCTCGATGCTGCTGCTGGAGCTGCCTGCGACTGCATTGTATGAAGGAATGGTCAACGCAGTCACAGAATATGTTCCAGTCAAAATCAAAAGATGCGTTGCTCGCAGCAGAGTGGTTTGAAGTCCGAGATTCGTGATCACGTCACGACCAGCAGACTGGGACTGAGCTGAAGCTGGGCTAAATCTGAGCTAAGTCTCAGCTAAATCTGAGCTAAATCTGAGCTAAGTCTGAGCTAAATCTGAGTCAGTCTGAGCTAAATCCGAGTTCAGTCTATTTATTGGGGGTTGTTTGAGCTCCACATCTCGACCAGCAAACGCAGAGCACAATGGAGGACGATGACGGACTTGCAACGCCGCCACTGCGAATGGCACGACTGTTTGAAGCAGCGACCGACTCGGATTCGGCTTATGACGACGATGACAACGACAATGACCATGATGGAGCCGCGCAGGGTGACGATGAGACGGATGATGATGATGATGACCGAGAGGATCGTCGTCGTGGAGATGGGACCTCTGCATCCCGCAGTAGCGCATCGGGAAGAGCAGCAGCTGCGTCAAGAACAGCGGCATCCGCGAGGAACAGCAGAGACGCGACTGCAGGCACAGGACGAGGAGGCGCAGCAACAGCAACAGGAGGACGAGCGACTCTCAGCAGCAGCGCGCCCTCAAGCAGCAAGCAGCGGGGCACAGCCAAGTCATCGCCAGCCAAGACGACAACTCGTGTACCCAAGCAGCGTGCCGTGCTCCGATTCATCGAGAACGGACAGGAGCGCACGCAGCCACTCGTGCAAGGTTTGTTCCGGCTTTGCTTGCAACACTCACAAACGCAAGAGAGCCCAGCCCTGCATCAAAGCTCTGTCCTGTTATGATAACAAACTGTGATGTTCGGCAGGAAAGAGAGGTCCATTCCGTAGACAATTCGAACGAATGGATGGCAGGGGAAGGATTTGCCATTTTGCTGCGAAACAAAACGCCCGAAAGCTTACACGTTGATGGATGACTTTTGTTTCAGGTATCAACACCATCGGACGGTCGTTGAAAAGCTCTGTTATCATTGAGGCTACAAGCGTCAGTCGCCAGCATGCCGTGATTGAGATTTCCGGACGCCACGGAGCAGACGTGTTTGTCGCCGATTTGGGGAGCACCAACCACACTCGTTTTGGCGAGGAAGGCTCTGTAAAGCGAAGATGCGCATGCAATGTGGTTTGCTGGCGATGGTCATTTTGTTTCGTGCTTCGGGTTTTGCGTTTGACGGCAGGCTGTGGGGATGGCGAGCTCACCGGATTTTTTGGTTGCGCAGAAAATGCTGCGAAAGGATGTGCGCTACCAGCTGTGTGATGGGAATCTGCTTACCTTTGGTGATGTTCAATGCCGATTGAGCCATGCTGCATCCAGAAGGACGGGAGTGGTAAGGGCCTTCTTTTCAGCGACGCACACCTTTCCCCCCCCCCCATGTTTGTTTGCTCAGCTCATTGTATGACCATTTCTCGTTTCGCACTTGAGCCAGACTGACACTGCGGTTGCAAGTGTCAAGGGATCGTCAACACCTCCCGTCAAGCCACATAATATTCGACGCGTAACCTCCTCGACCGCTTCTTTGCGTGCTTCCGGTCCAGCTGCGCAGACGTTCTCAACGCCTGTCACGAATTGCAAGCTTCACCCCGCCGAGTCCTCTACTTTCCCGGTCTCGTCGTCACTGGTTTCAACCCCCGCTGTTGACGGGGCTGCCACGCTGGCTGCAGAAGACGCGGAAGACCGCTTGGATGCCACCCAGAGCCCAACGTCCGATCTCGAGGAGGAGACTGTCAAACCTCCTGCCAAACGTGTAAGGCACAGTAGTGCAACGTGTGGATGCAGAACCTTGGAAACTTGGAGCAATGAGCATGGATGACTCACAAGCATTTGGTGATTGGGAAAATTTTGTCCTATTTCTCTCTTAGAACTCTAACGGAGCTGTCAGACGTCTCGATTCGACTCCTCCTGTCGCTGTCGCTGTCGCTGTGGAGCAGACTGCCGCCGTTTCGGAGACAATGACTGGTGTTTCGGAAACGATTGCAGTTGTCGCGGAAACCATGGCTGTCGACGGCGCTTCCGACGACGAGGATAACCAGCCAGCTGTAGCAGCAGCGCATAGTAGTGCTAAAAGTCGAGCTGCGATTGGTCGCGGGACTCTGCCGGTTGCAACGCAAGCCGCAACTCAAGCTGTCGATACCGCAAGCGACTCGGACGATGCAAATGCCGTGGATGAGCGCTCTGTTCTGCTTGTCCCTACGGCAACCATTCCGATGGACGTCGGCAGCGACACAGACGTGTCCGAAGATGATGCGGCGAATGGCGCAAGCAACAAGCGTGTTGCAACGGGACATGTGACGGAAACTGCGCCAGTCGCGACGCAAGCACTCGATGTCACCGTCGCCGAAGACGACGTTGACGATACCGATGACGAAGAGCCCGATACTGGTGGACACACTACCACCACCACCACCACCACCGCAAAACGTGTCGTCACCCAACCTGAAGTGTCTGCTCCCAACAACACGTTCACTGCGTCCACTGGGTCTGAGTCAACCAACGGGCCAGTTGTTGCCATGCAAACTGACGATTTGGATGCCACCCAGGTCGACGACGACGACACCGACAATGACAATGACAATGACAACGACAACGACAATGACAAGGCTGGAGGTGATGCACATGTGGTTGCGCCAGCGTCCAAGGCTTCAGCTTCCGGTTCAGTCGTAGCTCAGCTCCCGCCATCTCATCCTGCGACAGCTGCAAACAAGTCGTCGTTTGAAGGGAACTCCAGCTTCACTTTCGACAACCCGCCTTCGCCCGTGCTGACATTGGACGGCGCCTCGCTTCCGCTTTCCAACGAGCCATTTCGACCACCCCACGGCTCCACTTGGTCGTTTCTTGCCAGTGGCTCCTCGCGTGCCGCATCCAACTCTGCAGGCGAGTCGGTCACCCCGTCGGTCGCCCCATCGGCAAGCAAACAGGTCGAGTCTCAGCCCGAGCCAGCAGCAGTTGCTCCAGCGGTCGCTCGCAGCCGAACTTCCACAAAGCCGCAGGTGCAAGCCACTGATCCCGAGGAGACGCAGCCTCAAGACTGGGAGAATGAGCGTCCCCCTGTCCTGATGCAAGCACCCACGCCTGCCCCAGCTGTAGCAGAAGCCACCAAGCCAACCAAACTCAGAGAGACATTCTCGCGTGCATCTGCTCGCTCTTCGAGAGACCCAGCGGTCGTTGCGCCAGCCGCGATTACGGTTCCTTCCACCGCCGCAGTTGCCGCGTCAGCAGTCACAAGCACACCAGAGATTGCCGGCGCGATGGAAGCGTCATCACCCGTCGCTGCCGATGACTCTGCAGCCGAGGCGCCGGCAAAGAGTAAACAACCCGCTCGCGCGAGCCGATCCAATCGACGTGACCCTCCTTTGTCGACCGCGTCCGCTCCGACCGAAGCTCCGCCTGCCCAATCGGCGGGTCGCTCGTCACGGGCCGCCAGAGGCACTAACGCGACGGCAGCATCCGCAAAAGCAACGGCATCAGCAGCAGCAGCAGCAGCAGCAGCGAACGACCCCGACGAGAAGCCGACCAAGCCGTCCGAGATCGCTCAGACACTCGCTGTGCCTCGCGTCATGTTCACTGGTGTCGACAATCCAAAGTACAACAACATTGTAACGGAGCTGGGTGGAACTCTCATCACATCTTCGGTTTTGGATTGCGACCACCTCGTGACCGACAACGTTCGTCGAACTGTCAAGTTCCTGGCGGGAATTGGCGTGTGTCACCACATTGTTTCGCTTGGTTGGCTGGATGCCAGCCATCGCTCTGGCCGTTTTGTCAGCCCGACCAAGTACGCGCTCGTGGATAAGGCGAGCGAGGCGCAATTCGGCTTCAAGTTGGCCGACTCGTTGGCCCGTGCTCGACAAGCGCCATTGCTACGAGGCCTCGCCGTGTACGTCACAGAGAATGTCCGCCCGCCACCGCTTGGTGTCTATGAGATTGTGCGTGCAGCTGGAGGCAAACCTCTGGAGGTGCTTCCCGCGTCAATGTCGGAGGTGGCTGCTGCCACGAGCAGGGCTGTCGCCACGATTGCACGACGACAGGCGCGAGGCGCAGGCGCGATTTCAGCTTTGGACGGCGAAAATGAAGCAATCGCCGACCCAAATCCTCTAAATAACTGTGGCGTCATTGTCATCTCTTGCGCAGAGGACCAGAACGCCTGCCAAGCTCTGATTGCTGCCAACGGCGTTATTCAATCTGCGGAATTTCTGCTGTCGGGTGTGCTCAAGCAAGAGCTGGATGTGAGCTCGCATCGCTTGTTTGCCAATGCTGCTGCTGTCGAGTCCGATGCGAGCTCGGCTGACGAACTCACCACACGTGGAAGCAAGCGTGGAGCGTCACAGGAATCGACCACCACCACCAGGAAGCGCGCTCGGCGATAAACAATTCATATTCGATCGTGTAGTTAGTTGGTTGCTGCTTTTCTCAAAATGAACGCATTTACGTCCCATTTTCCCCTTGCTCCTCCTCTCCCTCTTCCTCTCTGCCACACGTCAAACCGCAAATGACATGGTCGATGTGAATGTTCCACAGGTTTGATTTTCGTGTGACTCACTCGTGTGCACAAATTTCCCCAAAGGGTCTGAAAATAGCTCGAAGCGTGTGCGAAATCTTCTCATTTTGTTCCCCCAAGATCGAACGTCACTTTCGTTCATCATCTGGGGGAAAACAATCCCCCACAGTGGTGAGTTCTCGCGCTTTCCTGTTCTCACAGGGCGCTCTTTTGCCCTCTCGTTCAGTGCACGGGCCCCCTGAGGCCTCGCACAGCTGTTTGGCACCGACCAGAGATTGAATGCAAACCACGATCAAAGGGAGAGAGCGATTGATTCGGCGACTCGGGCATTATTTTGTCGTTCGACAGAAACCACAAAATTCAACATTTTGGAACAAGACCCCCCCACGCACGCACGACCCTCCATCTTGCTCGTCAGAAGGGTGTACGCCATGCATATCGCCAACCATTGGGGGGCTCGTTTGGTGGAAAACGGCGCGGCGGGACAGTGGAAAAAAAGGGAGAGTAAGCATGAAGGCTTGGCGGGTCGTTCGTTTAAAAGGGGGCGATCAGATCCGCTTCTTTTCGCATCACTCTTCCTTTTTGTTCCCAGCAATCAACTGCTCAGCTCTCTCCGACTCCCAGCTTCCTGCCCTGCCTTCCTGCCTTTGTTCAGATTCTAGCAACACACCTCAAAAAGCAACGAAATGACGAACGGAACCTCCAGCAGTGGTGATTTCGAGCCCACCCCGGCCGAACTCTTCACCAACCCCTCCGATGGGTTTATCGCGATCGTCGCCATTGACTGCGCCGCATGGCTCTTTCTGCTCGGCGTGCACATTGTGAGCCTGGTCCGCCACTTCCGCACTCCCAACTGCGAGAACCAGCGCTACCGCTCTGCCGTCCGCTTTGTCAACGGCGCACCCATGGTAAAGCGCAGCGCGCCTTTCGCTCGGTCCACGCCTCATCATCGCGATGACTCGACTCACTAAAACATTTTTCGCAATGCCCTGCAATGCCCTCTCCTGCTTGTCCCATTTGTGCAGTTCATGGGTACCGTTTCCTTGGCGTGCCTCTTCTTCCCTCGCGCAATGGTTTACCTGACCATGGTCCAGTCCGTGTAAGTGTGCTACATGTCGATCCTTTTTCTGCGTCGGAGAAAAAAAAATGTACTCAATGTGTTTTTTGGCAATCGTGTCACAGCTACGAAGCGGCAAGCTTGTACTTCTTTTACCGGTCCATCTGCTCTCTGCTTGGTGAAGCTCCGCACATGCTCAAGGTGCTTTCGGCGTTGCCCGCCAAGAATTATTTCGCGGTGCCGCCATTCCGCGGTTGCTTCAAGGGCACTGGCGAATTTGTTATTGATGAGTAAGTTATATATTCGGCAGTGCACACGCGAGAGAGCTTTGAGTGGTGGTGGTGAGTTTTGAGTGGTGGGTGGTGGTGGAGCAAAGGGATTTGCAATGAAAATTCGAATCGGACAAGCGTTCAGACACTCACCGCTCATGGAACAATTGGCAGGTCCCACCTCGCCAAGATCCGCAGGGCTGTCTTGCAACTCTGCGTGGTCCGACCCGTCATGTTGCTTGTTGCTGTGCTGATGCAGGCGTCCGGCAACTACGAGATTGGCGTCCTCAAGCTGAGCAATGGCTACTTCTGGGTGACCATAATCAACACGATTTCTTTGATGATCACCATGTGGGCCCTGCTCGTCCTGCTGTTTGCCACGCGGTCCATTCTCGGCGAGTTCCACTTTGTCGCCAAGCTCGTGTGCATCAAGCTGGTCTTCCTCCTTTCCGTTGTGCAAAACCTGCTCCTGTCCATCCTTCACCGTGCCGGTGCCATCGAGGCCAACAGCATCTTTTCCAACACTGGTATGGCCGAGTCTTGGCTCAACTGGCTGTTGGTAATTGAGATGGCACTTCTCGCCGTCTTGTTCCTCCGGGCCTTCCCCACCTCCGAGTATGCTCTCGTCCCTGCCCCCGGCTCGCTCACGAACGCAGGGCAACTGGAACTGCAACGCCTCGCCGCCGGTTCCACCTCTCTGCTTGCCAACACCTCGGCTGGCGTTCGCGACGGGCGGGTTTAGTGCACGACGGCGTTGGCCCCCCTTTTTTTTTGTGTGCCATGTCAATAAGCCATTGTTATCCCCATCATCATCGCTGTCTGTCTCAGTAGCCCTATGTATCGCTACTTGTTGAGTGAGCATGTGCAAGTGATTGTTTTTTAAGCAGAACATTGATCAGAATACAGTACAGTCCAGCGTTTTTTTTTTTTCTTTATTGTTTTTTTTTTTAAACAATCCGCAAGACCGAACATTCCCTCAAACCAAGTCAATCCCCACCTCCAACCAAGCTGTCTCAAGATGGTTCTCGTTGTTGGTTGTTGGATTGGCCCGATGAGCGTTCTGCTCGGCAATTGAAGTTTGTGGCATTTTCGCCTCGGTCGGACCCCCGACTCTTTCCATCGCTCGTGTTGGTGAAGTTGGATCAATCCGCTCGTATTTCGACTGCCAAATTCTCTCGCTTCTCAGGTGTCAAGTGGCGGGATTTGTTTACTTTGCGTTCATCGCTGGCACGCGCGCAGATTGCATTCCAACATCCATTTTTGATTTTTTTTTGGAGCGGTGGTTTTTGTTTCTTCTTTTTTCTTGTTGTTGTTGCTGGATTTCATTGTCCTGCCTGTCAATCTATCTGGTTTGAATACGATACCACACAAGCTCGCAATGCTCACATCTGCACATCCGCTGTGAAGGGCGACTTTGTCTCGACTCTGCTGGTTTCTATTGTCTTCACTCTTTTTTTTTTTTTTTCCTTTATCTTTATTTATCTTTGTTTTTTTTTTCCCAATCCATTTCTAGTTGTTTGGAATCCGGCGATGCGGAACGGAACGAGCGGGGAGAGCGAGCCCTCTGTGAGGGAGCTGTTCGACCATCCCACGACCGTGTTTCTCGCGTTTGTCGGGGTTGACTGCGCGGCGTGGCTGCTGCTGCTGTGCGTGTTTGGCTGGAGCATTCTTCGTCACTGCCGGGCAGTCGCCCCCGCCAACGCCGCGTACAAGACAGCCATCTACTTTGTCATCTGCACACCCATGGTACGATTCACCCCCCCGCCCCAAGCAAAAGCGGACGGTTGGCCAAGCACAGTACAACCGCTTGTCTCCTTCCCGTTCGTTGGCCTCGCAGGCTCACCACATGAAAAGGGGGGAGCAAATAAGCGGGGAAGCGACCATCAAAAAACCGCAAAACAAAAAAACAAAAGAGCGAACGTTTTTTTTTTATTTTTTTTATTATTTTTTTTTTTTTTTGTTTTCTGCTTTCATCGACTGACTGACTCATTGCATGGTGATTGCGAGTCGCACGAACGAAACGAGAGTCGCACAAAAGTCACCAAAACAACAACCACCACCTGATGACGCTGTCACTGTGCGTGGTTGGGCTTTTCTCCATGTCGTGAACCGTTTCCATTCACCAGCGAAACGACGGCGGGTTTTTTCGCATCTTCCCTCCCCTTGTTTCGGACTTGCTTGTGCGATGGGTGTGCGAGTGTGCATGCTCATGTTTCTCCATTGTACACGCGACATGTCATCGAAGCGAGTGAGCGATGATGCGAGGGGGTCGAGTCCGAGTTGAAGCGGTGAATGCGAACAAACTGACCCATCTCGATCCCGCCTTACTGCTGCTTGCCTCGCTGCTGCCGCCACTCCACAAACCGAAACGAAGCGCATGATGAGCACGACATCCACGCCCCATTCCTTTTTCAAGTTTTGCTGTGCTCATCGTTGCTTACTATGGCTCACCGATACACGCTCTCTCACGCCTCCTTCTTGTTGTTGTTTTTGTTTACTTTGTAGATCATGGCAACGCTTTCGCTCGCTTGCTTGTTCTTCCCAGAGGCAATGGTCGTCTCATCCATGGTCCAGTCAACGTATGTCGGTTGGTGGCTTTTTTTTTTTTTTTTTTTTTTTTTTGGGAGTTGCCTGTTCGCTCCAGGTGAAACTCAGGCCAGTTATTGACTCATCCGCTGCCTGTTTGTCTCCCAATTCGCAGATACGAAGCGGTCGCGTTGTGGAAGTTCTATGTGGCATTACGATGCTTGCTTGGAGACGTGCCACACATGCACAAGGTGCTCGGGGCGCTTCCACCAAAGAATTACTACTCGGTGCTCATTTTCAAGTTGTGTTGCTGGCATCACGGCAAATTTGTGATGGACGAGTAAGTGAGCAAGGCCCTTGAAGCGGGAAAAAGAAAAGAAAGACGAGAAACAAGCAGGCGGAAAGAGGAAAAAGGCATGAGGCAAACAACTTTGAATTCTGACTTGACGCTGCTGGATTTCGGCAGATCCCACTTCCGAACCTTGCGCTTGTGCGTCCTCCAAATTTGCATTGTGCGACCCGTTGTCTTGCTTGGGTCGGTCATTCTGTGGTCGTTTGGCTTGTACACGTACGGGAACTACTCCATGTCGAACGGATACCTCTACATCACAATCATCAACGCCACGTCCTTGCTTGTGACAATGTGGGCGCTGCTGGTCATCTTTTTCGCGACGCGTACCATCCTCGCCGACTTTAGGATTGGCCTCAAGTTTACGGCCATCAAGCTCGTCTTCTTGCTCGCCATCGTGCAAAGCTTTGTCCTGTCCCTCTACAACAACGTGTTTGGGTTGAAGGGCAACATTTTCACGACGCACGACCAGGTCGAATCGTGGCTCAATTGGCTACTGGTCATTGAAATGTTCCTGCTGTCGCTCTTGTTTGCCAAGGCCTTCCCGGCCAGTGAATACGAGCATGTGCCAGAGCCAGGCTCGCTCTCATTATCCGCTCAAGACAGTGTGAACGGCTTCACCCGAGGTTCAGAACGGACACCTCTCATTGTTCGCGCACCTAAAGGCTTTGTCTAAGCCAGGACTGTGCTTGTGTTCGCATTCTTGCTCGAATGATCAAGAGTGTCCACGACAAACAGAAAGTGTGCAGCAAGCGTTTTTATCCCCCCCCCTTCATTGTGAGATGCAGTTTTTTTTCGTTTTTTCATTTGCTAGTTGTTGTTGTTAATACAGAAAATACATCAATCATAACTACTGCCGGTGTAATCCACGCAACGCTTGTCGCATTTCAGTTCCTCGGTATGGGGATCTGTGAGCACAGAAGCAACAAAGAAACCAAGGCCAAAATGAGCACAACAGAACAGATATAGAATAGAAACCGAATAGCCTCAAAAAGCCATCTTACCGAGAAAGCACCTGCAGCACCTCCTGACGAGCTGCCTGGGCTTGTTCGAATCGAGCGTGCTCGGACATTGGCGTATCTTGGAGCATGTCAGTGGCCACGTTCGACACCAGGTTGGGGTCGATTTGCCCAAACACCTGGAGCACATGAACAAGCGAGTTGATGCGCTTCTCGCTATTGCTGTGCTTGATACTGTCAAACAGGATGGCACGAATCATCGGCGGTGCAAACTGTGGGACGAGCTGCTGCAGCAGTGCCAATTGGACTTGCTGTTCGGCAGACAGCGCCAGTCCGTTGAGAGGGGCTTCCGCAAAGCTGGGATTCGAGTCAAACTCGAGCTCGTTCTCGCCAGGCACAGGGATGGCGGCGCGACGGTCTTGTCGCTGGGTATTGAACACTTCCACGACAAAGTGGGTGGCGGACTCGCACATCGTGTTGGAATCGGCAGAAATGCACAGCGTGGAAATTTCGAGGGACGGCGTGAGCAAATCACACTGCAAAAAGAAGAGGGGCGCCCTGTCGACCAGCAATTCGAGCAGAGCAAACAGGCCAGCGCAGGTTTCGTGCTGGCCGTCGAGCGATTGGCGAAGCAGCGCAAACGTCACGGTGGCCACGTTGGCCACCATCGAGTACAGCGTATCGCGCACGCGATCACGCTCTTCTTGCGGCATGGCTGCTGCGAGTGGATCGCTTGCAGGGAAGCCTTCGTCGCCCCGGAAGGAGCTCACGTCAGCAAAGGACTCGAGCAAGCGCTCGGCAAACCACAGGATTGAATAGTGGAACTGAGTTGCTGGAGTGTACAGGCTCACGACCAGTTGTGCCAAGTCGGGCAGCAGCGGCAGGCAGAGGGTGCCAGACGCACCGTTGCGGAAGAACTCGCCGAGCAACGAAATGGCCGAGTTCAGAGTATCAGCATCAAACGCAAACTGCGTCATGACATTCACAATATCAGCCCAAACCATTTGCAGCAGGCTGGGGAAGGGATGCGCGGCAGCGACGTCAATCGTGTGCCCTGCCAGCCGATTTTGGCGCTCGTGCCAGCTGCGCATGCTTGGGAATGGCTCGAGGATTTTCCGAATGCGATCCAAAAAGTGTTGGACTGTCAGCAGCGGATTGGCGACGTGAAGCTCGGATGCTTTGATGAAGCCTGCTCGCTGTTTGCGGTTGGACGTCTCAATGGCGCCTTGCGAAGCAACAGCCTGCGCCACGCAGTTTCGAAGGCCGACAAGCGTCACCTCGACAGCCTGTTGGATGGCCGGCAAGCATTCAGTGGCGGGCACTTGGCATACTGCCTGGCCGAAAGACTTGAAAATGTCCAAAAAGTCATCCGTATCGCGGAACGCCAGAGACTCTGCATTGAGGACGAGTTGAAGGAGGTGGGGCATGAACATGGGGGCATACTCGCTGTCCAAGACCTCTGTAAAGCGATACAACGCGTATGCCGCGCGTTTGGTCACGTCCGGCTCTTGCTGTTGCAAGCCAGAGAGCAACGTCGTAAAGGCGGGCATCATGTAGGTGGGATGATTGGTGAGCCACTCGTTGGCGTTGCCAATGACGCGCATGATGGCTTTGCGCACGGACAGGGTGCGCAGGCAGGGTGGGATGTCTTCTTGCGTGACATCGACACAGAGCGCCATCAGGGTGTTGGCGAGCATCTTGTGCAGTGCTTGTGTCTCAGGATCGACGGGCTGGTTGGCCACCGGAGTGCGATCAAAGCTACCTGCGCGGCGGTAGAGCTCGCTGGCGATTTGCAGGGCGCCCTCCAGCTCTGTCCAGCTGTTTGTTTTGTAGGCGTTCTCAATGTACGGGAAACACGCTTCAACAAAAATGCGCGGCGAAAACTCTTCGACAAACGCACGGACTAGCTTGCGGCAGGTCGAGCGCGTCGTGTCAAACACGTCGGTGACGCGTCCGTCCTCGAGAAGTGTTTCGTTGTACTCGTTCAGTTCGTTGGACTCTTCCTGAATCGTGCACATGCGAATAAAGATGCCGACCAGTTGCTGGAACCAAGGCTGGCACTCGCGTTCAATCTCGGCGAGGTCGATCTCTTCGTTGAAGGAGAAGTGCTTGCACCGCTCAATCAGCTGCTCCCAAAACTCAAACACGAGTTGGGCGTGCTTGTGTGCCGGATGCTGCGTCAAAAAGACCATAATCTCGACAACATAGGCAAAGGGAGGGAGTGCAAACGGGAGCACATCATGCCACAGATGCAGGTACGACGTGGCGAACGAGACAAACACGGGTACAAGTCGCCCAGCGACCTGGAGCTTGTCTTCGCTGCTATCGTCTTCGGGGTTGGCCAGGTACTCTTGGATGAGTTGCTGGTAGAGCGGCAAAATGTTTTCCAACAGCCGCTTGCTCAGCACAGGAAAGAGAGTGTTGTGCGAGGCGCGCCAGGACTGGGTGAACAGGTTGGCCGCTGCTTCAGAAGCTGCAAGGCTCAAGTTGAAATCTTGCGACAGCGCGTCGAATGGCGCCGTCAGCATGGTCGTCTGGAGAAGCTGATCGCAGCGGAAGATGCCCAACGCGACGGCCGCCGAGTAGGTCTTGAAGACAACTTCTTGCAGCGCAACGTTTGGCGCCACCATGCAGCCAAAAGTCATAGCCGCCTCCAAAAACGATAGGATGAGCAAGCCATCGTGCCGCAATGCTCGCGACATGCGGTCGCGGGTGGATCCATTGTGCCGCTGACACTCTTCAACAAACTCGCTGATGCACTTGCAAATGCCAGTCCACGCGACGAGACTGGGCGGGGCAGGCAGCTGCAGCTGTGCTTGCTGCTGTTGCTGTTCCAAGGCATACGCATGAAAGTCGAGGTCAAAGCGCTCGGAGGGTCCCGTCGGCTCGCCTTGCTGAGGGAGTGACGGATCTGGGGGGACGGAGGAAATGGTCATGGATTGCGTTCGAGCAAGGCTGGTGATGGCAAGCCGAACGAGATCGTTCCAGTTGGTGAGGCGAGCAGCAATGAGCGCGACAATCATGGCCAGCTGCGTGACGGTAGCCGAGTCGCCGCGCTCATCAAACAGCGCAATCCACGTCAGGACCACTTCTCGCAACTCGACAATCTGCTGCAGCTGTCCAGCGACGAGTTTGACGTCTTGCATCTGTGTGTAGGATTTGATACGTGTTCCAAGAGGGAGTCAGTTTGTCGGCGCCTGCTTTTGCGTTTTCGGTCTGAACAAAGACGAGAACTATTTTGAGTCACCTTTTTGCGCAAGAGCATCGCCGCGCCAGTAAAGATGCCTGCATCGAGTTGGCTATACGTGGCCGGGTCTTCGACGAGCTGGAGAATGCAGCGCGAGACTGCCCACCCATGGATCTGCAGCAGAGATTGGTCGAGAATGGCATGCAGTGAGCACATTGAAAGCAGATGCACGTCCCTGCCAACAACAAATTCAAGTAACGCGTTCATGCGACTGGGCCACTTCGACCAACCCTCAACCCTCCCCAACCGTCGATCGTTTTGGGAGCTGAGAGTGCAGCGCCAAACCAAAAAAAAAAAAAAAAAAAAAAAAAAAAAAAAAAAAGTATGCAAGATGCATTGGAAAAAAAGAAAAAAAGAAAGAAAAGAAAAGGGACACGAACGCCGAGCTCGCTGCTCCAACCTCCGATGACGCACACTCACAACGTGATGGAGTCAAAGATGGTTGTTGGGAGATGGGAGAGAGAGAGGGAGAGAGAGAGAGACGAGCTGTCAAGAGCAACACACGCGCTCTTGCTCGAACGCTAGAGCTGCAGCCTGCCCCTCCCCGCCTCGCTCTTCCCACTCGGAGACCCATGTCGTAGGCTGCAGTCACAGTTGCACACACACGCATCAGACCGAGCGAGCGAGCACCGACACACCCCAAGCACAACAACAGAAGGGTGTCCTGCCTTTTTGTTTCAAAAAGCCGTTTCTATTGTGTTTGCAGTCTGTTCCGTCTTCTCTGCCAAAAGGGCACTGTCGTTATCCAAGATCCCGAACGTACCGAGTCTTGCAGCTCTCGAATCCACTTGGTGGCGTCCTGGAGGGAGATGTGCGCCGTGTTGCCGTACACTGAGATGTGGAAGACAGCAATCGCTTCCTGGAGCGACGGCGGCTGGTTTGGATCCTTGCTCAGCTCGGGCAGGCGCTGCATCTTTTCTTTTTCCTCGTTTTGGTTAAGGTGCAGTTGGTAAGCTGGATAGAGGAGGGAGCGACGCAGAGGGGGAAGAGAAGGAGAGAAGAGAAAGCGGGTCTTGGATTCGAATGGCAGCACAAGTGAAACCGAGTTCGTTCCAAACAAAGAAAGCTCCGCCAATCGCCTCCGAAACAGGAAAAAGGAAGCGAGAAAGAGACTGGGCTCTCACACTCACACTGTGTAGGCGTCCAGCCTCCAATGAGTGCGTGTGAATAGCTTGTGGCATCGTTACCAGACGAGACCAAAGTACCTTCGACCAAGAAAGATTCCGACTTGGATCTAAAGCCAGCAAATTTTCTGCTTTTGCAGTAGATCCTTCCTTCCACCCGACAAAGAGGCAAAAACACTTGCAGCAAAAACCGTCACAGCTGTGTCGTGTTGCTCGTTGGCTTGCAGAGCCGAACAAACCACCGCAAGTCCTGTACACACAACCAACAAATCAGAGCAGCATCAGGTGCTTTGGTGGGAAACGCAGTCCCACTGAAGTGCTTTCGAGTCCGAATTTATCCATCAACACTCTTCTTTTTTGATTCTTCCCGCTGCCAAAATCGCAATGTTCTTACAAATGCGAATCTTTGTTCTGACCCTGACCATACTGGTTGTCGGCGCGTTGGCGACAGAGGCTGCGTACTCTGTCGGCTGCTTCCCCGCCAACGAGCGCCGTAAGGCTTACTCTTCACCCTGTCACCTTCCCCGCCCTGGTTGCCCCGAGTGCTGTCCTTACTTAACGCGAGTATTTTTGAAATCGCCGTGGGAGGATGTTGAGACCAAGGGGTGAGAAAAACATTCCAAAACCGAACAAACCGAGCGACACTTCACTTTCACTTTCGCCGAGCTCTCTCGCTCAGCAGAGAGTCTCCTCAAGGAGGGGGCTCGCTCGCACATGCACACACGAACACACACCTCTCCATACTGTACGAGTGCTCTGCTTCAAGTGAGACGGAGGAAAGGCGTGCCCCGAACCAGCTGGTGTGAAACGAGTTCCCATCGTTGTGCAGGAAGTCGCAATTGGCAAAATTCCTTTGATTGTAACAAAATAATTGTTTTGGTTTCCCCCCTATCTGGAGTGCGAGAAACACTTTCATGGTGCCGTTGCCAACAAGTATTTCTCGCTGTTGAGAAAAACAACTCGAAAACAACAACAACAAACAACAAGCAATTCACAAGGTAGCGCACGAAAAAGACAGCAATAAACCCGCTGATGCTTCGGTGTTTTAAGCAGCGCAACTGTTGCCAGACTCCACAACATGCAGGGGGTGAGGCGAGAGTATCGAGCAAAAGGGAGGTGCAATGATCTCGTATGTGACTTCGACCGGCACTGTTATTGTTGCTATGTGTTGGCAAGGATCCAACACATCATCACAAATTACCAAAAAAACAACGAGTTCACACCAAGTTATCCGATAAGCAAACAAATAAACAAAACCATCAAAAACAACATGGAACAACGCCTAAACAAGGAGGCGCTCTAATTATGTGCTGACCTGCATGATATTCCCGTCAACCAGTGCCCCTTCGTTCAGACCTGGAGACTATCAACATTGTGCACAACAACTGGACGACATCGCGCCTCAGCGCTGCCATTGCGAGGATCTTCCTTGAGGTTAGCATTTGTCTCGCAAACTTGTTTGCCCCCCCCCCCGCTTCCTGAGAAGATGTTTCGCTCATCGCGCGCAACAAACCTTACACACAGGAAAAGCTTGGCTTTCGGACAACCGATACCGAGCTGGTCACCGAGCAAGAGGTGTTTGACCGTCTGCATCATGGCACGGCCGACATTTTCCTCGAAGCCAACCCAGTGGACGTTGGCGATCTTATCGAGCAATTCGTCACCGTGGAACGCAGCATCTTGGATGGTGAGTCGTTCAGTGGTCGAGCCGTGTGTGCTTCTCGGGGTGTGCTTCGCGAGAAAACTTGCATCCACTCACTGCCTCGCTGCCTCCAATCAATTTGACCAGTCGGCCCGCTCGGAGTTTACCAGGAGTTTGGATGGTACATCCCCGATTACGTTTGGAATGTCAGCAACGTGCTGGATACATACACTGGCTTTTTGTAAGCGAGCAACGCGCAGCGTGTGTAACGCTTTTGTGCGTGCTTGTCTCACCGCGTTGGCCGCACTGTCATTGTTCATGTCATTAGCAGCGACGAGAGTGTCATTGCTTTGTTCCATCTGGATTCCGTGCCGGTCGACTTTCAACTGGAGAACATCACTTTGATCTCGGCGTTCAAGTCCATCGACGACGTCATGGCTAGCGCCGCATGCAATTCAACCTTGAACGCGACCGTATCGGTGACCGACTGCAAAGCGGCTATCGAGGGTGTCATCACCTTCATGCGCAACGAGGCGCACTTGAACTTTGCCGACGACCTCGTCCCTTTGTGGACCATGCCCGATTCTTATGAGACCCTGGACGCCACCATCATCCGCAATCTTGGCTTGTCCATGGAAATCGTCGTCCCGATTCCCTCAAACCTCGACAAGACTCAGACGGAAGAGGCCCTCGTTGAATTGCTTCGCGATTCGTACGCTGCCAGGAAGCCGTTCATTTCGTACTTTTGGGAGCCTCAATACCTCTTTTCACACGAGTCACCTGTCAAGCTTCGTCGCGTACAGCTACCAGACTATGATGCTGACTATTGCAACATTTGTAAGTGATCCAAAGGCCCCAATGATAGGAAGGAGGGAGCACTTGCGAAGATTACTCACTGTTCATCACAACAACCCTCCACGACAACAGCCAGCAGCAATTATCGGTGCGAGTATCAACCGAATGTAATGCGCAAGATGGTCTCGTCCAAGCTTCCTGCAAAGAATGAGATTGCGTTTGATCTGGCCAAAGTCCTGCACTACGATGAAAATGAGCTGGAGGACATGCTCGGTCGCATGGAGTATGATGGCATGTCTGTCGACCAAGCGGCTTGCAATTGGGTGCTCAACAACTTTGAGTCGATGGAGACACTGCTGCCCGATCCGTCTCGCCTTGTTACGCCCTCGGAGGTCAACGGCAGCTTGCGCATCGCCTTTGTCATTCTCGCCGCTCTGCTCATCGCCTTCTTCTGCGTTCTGGCTGCTGGTACCTTCCACTACCGCCGCGTTCGTGTGGTGCTGTCTGCAAGCCCCGTGTTCCTGATGCTGATGCTGCTTGGCGCTGCTTGGTCCATGTTCTGGGTCATTCTGCTCTACGACGACGCGCCGACCGACGCGATCTGCATTGCTCGCATCTGGGCCCGCCATCTCGGCTTTAGCCTGGTGTTTGGCGCCCTTGCTCTCAAGACCTACCGCATTGCTGCCATCTTCAACGTGAAGGCCACCAAAAAGTCCCACCAGCTGACCAACGTTCGCCTTCTGGTCCGATTTGGTGAAATCAACCTCTACGTGTGCGCCTTCCTGCTGACGTGGACGGTGGCCGGCGCTCCCACAGCGACAACGCTGGTGTCTCACAACAACAGCTATGCCGTCTGCAGCATCACTTGGTGGGACAATGCCATGTACCTGCAAGAGCTTGCGGCCATGCTTGGCCTCGCGTTCCTGAGCTACCGCGTGCGCAAGGCACCCTCTGCGTTTAACGAGTGCAAGCACATGGCGCTCGCCGTGTACAACTGGATTATCATTGGCGTTATTCTTCAGCTCATCCTGAACTCGACCACTGGCACGGCCGACTTTTACTTTGCCATCCAGTCGCTCGAGGTGCTCGTGCCCGTTCCGATTGCCATTCTGCTTTTGTTTGTGCCCAAGTTCTACCTGACGCTGCGTGGCAAGGGCAGCGAGGTGACGACCTCCAGCTTCCGCGGATCGAATCCGAACGGCAGCCACCCCAAGACTCCTTCTGACCCGAGCAACTCGAATGCCAAGGCGGCGTCTGGCGACATGGAAATGTCGTCTGGCAATGGTGTGGATAGCGAGACTGGCAGGCCTGAGCTGAGTGGCAAGGCAGCAGCAGCTGAATACAAGAACATTCGTCGCGAGAACATTCGCCTGATGCGCGAGATGGAGGCAATGCGCACTCAGCTTCTGCGCTTGCACAATCCTCACTCTGGCACCGTAGAAGTCATGTAGGCTGACTTGAGTTTGTTGTCGTTGTGTTGGTGTTTTCCTTTTTGTTTGCTTTCATTTGGTTTTTGTTCGGTGCTTTTTGTGGTCGGTTGTGAAGGTGTAGTTCCGAAATTGTTTGTACATAGTGTCAGTTAAATACACTACATCAACATTTGTGGCCGTATTTCTCCCCTGACATAGCCTGAGCAGCACAGCAATAGTCGTGTTTTGGCTGCGGTGTTTCAGACATCTCGCAATCGTCCCAGCCCCTTTCCTCTCCTTCTTGACGTGGAGTCGTGTGAGATCTCGTCAAGCTGTTTGCATTAGCCAAACGGCATAAGTGCGGGGCAATGCTTTTCTCACGCGTGGAACTGTAGATCTAGATCCTCCAGCGGACTCACAGACACGCCTCCTCCGTCCCCCTGGCCTGGTACCGTGGCCGTTCTAGTATGTTTCCGTGGTCGCACTCGTGCGTTTCTATTGCCGCTTGACTGGAGGTTCAACCCATGGCAGTGTTGTGATTCTGCTGCTTTTGCGTTTCTGTTTTCGAGGTCGGGATGTTTTGATTGTGTTGTATCTTGTTCATCAAGTTTGTTGTTGGGTGTTTCTCGCACTCGAGAGTTGATGTCGACACTATTCAGGGTGTCTTTCACTCTTCTTTTGCCCCCCGGAAAAATACAAATACAAATGCTGCACCTTTCGAGCACTTGCATTTGGTTGTTGATGGTGCTCTTTTGCACCACCGCCACCACAAACGCTGTTGGATGTTTCCCGCCCTCTGAACGACGTAAGATGCCTGTGATGCATTACAGATGCAATTGTACCCCACGCACAGTCGACGTTGTTCGTGTCCGTGGGAAGAGCGCATCCGAGTTCCCATCAACGAGAAAAGCACCGCCACAATTCGAAAGAAAAAGTCAACAAAACCCTTCGCTTCGCGTCCTGCTATTTTCCCTCGCTTTCATTCCCTACTCCTTCCTTGACTGCCTGCTGTCCCACCCCACCACTCTGCCTATCGCTCTGGATTCACGATGCTCACACCACAGCACGAGACCCAAAAAGCGATCTTGAGTTGGACATGGGAATGTGGCGAACATCTGCAACACCTTTGTTCTCACACCAGAGAACAAACAATGCCAAACGGAATGCTGGCATCTTGTAACCAAGGGGGTGGAGGCCAACAAAAACAAATTAAGCGGTGGAAGGTGTTTTGTTTTGGTGTTGGATTTTGTTTATTCTGTTTTATTTTTGCCAATATTCCGCTTGGCGTGTTTCTTGCTGTTTATTTCTCGCACTCCAAATAGCTCGCGCGTTGTGAGACCACCAAAACAGACCCACCACAAATATCGCAATTTCGGAGCAGCGGCACTGCGTCGCGAAGCTTCAAAGCTCCCCCCCCCACACACACAAAGCGCAAGCAGGGAGGCACAGTTGAATAGACGAGTACAGGAGAGGGTGGGGGCGAGGTGAACATGTTTTTTTTTGTTGATTTTTCGTTGCGAATGAAGTCAAGCCTATTTTTGATTCGCTATTTTTTGATTCGCTATTTTGGCTGCGGCTTGTCTGTTGTTTGTCCTTGGCTAATTGTCTTCACGTTGTTTGCCACCTGCTGGCTGACGTAAATGTCAAACCAGGCGCCTTGCGCACAGATCTGGAGCCCATCAACATTGTGCACAACAACTGGACGACTTCTCGCGTGAGCGCTCAGATTGCGCGAATCATTCTGCAGGTACTGGTCTCTTTGGCGATTTTCAATTGCGAGAATGCACTAGCGCTCTCACTTGATGGTGTGATGGAAATTACGCGGGTGGCTATGTAGGAAAAGCTTGGCCTCCAAACTGTTGTGGAAGAGTTCACGACCGAAGTCGCCGCGTTCGAGCAGCTTCACCAAGGCACCGCCGACATGCTGCTGGAAGCAAACCCTGTTGACATCCAGGACCTGATTGAGAACTATGTCGAGCACGAAGGCACCATTTTGGATGGTACGGCGGATGCGCAAAATCAACGCAACAAAACACAAAAAGGCACAACTCTCAATGCTCAGTCTGCTCACCCCCTGATTTTTGGTTGGTATTGCGTCTGGTAGTGGGTCCGCTGGGAGTTTACAACGAATTTGGCTGGTACATTCCCGAGTATGTGTGGAACATTAGCAACAAGCTCGACACGTACACTGGCTTCATGTAGGTCGAGCTCCAACATTTGCACATTTGACGCTTGTGATTTCTTCCGCTCACTCGTTGTCGACGCGCCATGCGTGCTGCAGGGACGAGAATGTGATTGCCTTGTTCCACCTAGACAATGTCACGTCGGTGACACACATTGACAACACGACCCTGCACACGGCTTTCGCAGCAATCGAGCAGGTTCTGGCCAGCGCCTCGTGCAATCCCGACCTGAACGCGACTGTAACTCCCGGGGATTGCACGGCTGCTGTCGAGGCAATGATCGAGCACTTGCGCGACATCGCGCACCTCCATTACGCCGACAACACCATCACCCTTTGGACCATGCCAGAAGCGTTCGCAACTCTGGATAACACAATCATTGCGAATCTCGAGCTGCCCATGCATACGCTGGTTCCTATCCCGTCCAACCTGAATCGCGAGCACACCGAAGAGGCCCTCTCCGTGGTGATTCAAGAGGCGTATGCGCAACACAAGCCATTTATCACGTACTTTTGGGAACCGCACTACTTGTTCGCTCCCGACTCGTCCGTGAAGCTTCGCAGGGTTCAACTGCCGCACTTTAACGCGGATCACTGCAACATTTGTAAGTTGTACACTTTCGATGGAGCGCCTTCGTCGAGTCCAGTTGACTCACCGTTCTAACGCCAAATCACACAGCAAGCTCTGAATACCGCTGCGAGTACCAGACCAACACGATGCGCAAGATGGTTGCTGCTAGCCTCCAAACCAAAAACATTATCGCCTTTGATTTTGCCAAGGTTCTTCATTATGACGAGCAGGAACTCGAGGAGATGCTTTCGTTGATAGAACACGCAAACATGACTGTCGAAGAGGCTGCCTGTTCCTGGCTGCTTGAGCACTATGAGACAATGGAAGCACGCATGCCGGATCCTTCGCGCCTTGTTACGCCCTCGGAGGTCAACGGCAGCTTGCGCATCGCTTTTGTCATTCTCGCCGCTCTGCTCATCGCCTTCTTCTGCGTTTTGGCTGCTGGTACCTTCCACTACCGCCGCGTTCGTGTGGTGCTGTCTGCAAGCCCCGTGTTCCTGATGCTCATGCTGCTCGGCGCTGCTTGGTCCATGTTCTGGGTCATTCTGCTCTACGACGACGCGCCGACCGACGCGATTTGTATTGCGCGCATCTGGGCTCGTCATCTCGGCTTTAGCTTGGTGTTTGGCGCCCTTGCCCTCAAGACCTACCGCATTGCTGCCATCTTCAACGTGAAGGCCACCAAAAAGTCCCACCAGCTGACCAACGTTCGCCTTCTGGTCCGATTTGGTGAAATCAACCTCTACGTGTGCGCCTTCCTGCTGACGTGGACGGTGGCCGGCGCTCCCACAGCGACAACGCTGGTGTCTCACAACAACAGCTACGCCGTCTGCAGCATCACTTGGTGGGACAATGCCATGTACCTGCAAGAGCTTGCGGCCATGCTTGGCCTCGCGTTCCTGAGCTACCGCGTGCGCAAGGCACCCTCGGCATTCAACGAGTGCAAGCACATGGCGCTCGCCGTGTACAACTGGATTATCATTGGCGTTATTCTTCAGCTCATCCTGAACTCGACCACTGGCACGGCCGACTTTTACTTTGCCATCCAGTCGCTCGAGGTGCTCGTGCCCGTTCCGATTGCCATTCTGCTTTTGTTTGTGCCCAAGTTCTACCTGACACTGCGTGGCAAGGGCAGCGAGGTGACGACCTCCAGCTTCCGCGGATCGAATCCGAACGGCAGCCACCCGAAGACTCCCTCTGACCCGAGCAACTCGAATGCCAAGGCGGCGTCTGGCGACATGGAAATGTCGTCTGGCAATGGTGTGGATAGCGAGACTGGCAGGCCTGAGCTGAGTGGCAAGGCAGCAGCAGCTGAATACAAGAACATTCGTCGCGAGAATATTCGCCTGATGCGCGAGATGGAGGCAATGCGCACTCAGCTTCTGCGCTTGCACAATCCTCACTCTGGCACCGTAGAAGTCATGTAGGCTGCCTTGAGTTTGTTCCCATCCCATGATTATTAACGTCCCTTGCTGTACAGGTTGTTGTTCAATAAATTGCATGTGTAAACTTCGGTGCAAGTCTGAAACTTTCAATGCATATCTCCCTCAGTTGTGCATCAACAGTTTGCCAGGTTCCATCGTCATCGTCCGCCGTACCCATATCGTACCCATGACGAGACAGGCACATCTAGCTGTACCTTGAATTCGACTCTAAAGGTGACGGCCAAGCAAATGTTCACGATCAAAACAAAGCGAATCTGATGCGACCAATCAGCACGAACGCCGTCTATTTTCATTTTTTGTTTTCGTTTTTTTGTTTTTTTTCGTCCAGCTGTCCTTTTTTGGGGAGACTTCACTCTTTCATTTTTTTTCCATTGTTTCTATTTGAGACCATGGCTCCTTTTCGCCCCTCCCTTGTGCTTGCGGTTCTCACGCTCGCTCTTCCCAGTCTCACGACTGCCTATTCCGTTGGTTGCTTCCCTGCCTCCGAGCGACGTACGCTTTCTGCATATCCTCTTGCATATCGTTCTTTTTTGCACTGTACTTTTTACTATCTATTATCACCAAGTGGCACCCGGGCGGGTGTCGCCAGAGGGTGGATAAGGGTGCTTGGGTTTCGTGTGTTGATTTCGGGGTTTCGCGTTTTTGCGCGATTTCGCCCCCGTTCTTCGTCTTGCATACTGCAACACACAACTTGTGTGCCGTTGATGGTCGCCCAACACTTTCTTGTGCAACGAGCTCAGGGTGGTCGAACTCGTCAACACGCATGTGAGCATGATGGGATTTTCTATCCCACCGCTGGATCTAGATCCCATGGGTTAGATCGCATCCGCACTCCCCTGCACTTGTTTATTTTTTTCATGTTTGTTGGCGACACTCTCAAGCCAATCAACACCATTCCTCCAGATCGAGTGCGAGAATTGGCACACCCAGGCAACAAGAAAAAAATACTAAAAAAACCAAAACAAAAAAAAAAAAAAAAAACCCAAACAAAAACGAAACAAAAACAAACAAAAAAAATCGAACTGGTTGCTAGATGCATTTGGAGAACAAAACAAGATCTGTTGCGACGAAAACCCACAACGCCCATCCAGCCCGAGATTGGACGACCCAAGCAGCAAAGGAGCAAGTGGCACACTTCGGGTGTGCACGGGTGTACTTGGGTGGTATGGCATTTTAGGACGCGTGTGTGTGCATTCCAACACCTCCAAAACACCACGGCGAAACAAATCACAAATTAGAAAACAACGGAGCCGACACTTATGCGAAATACCAGTCTCACACAAGCCAACACAATGCGAATGGCGCCATCCTTGATTCGCCGAACCGAAGGGGCGCGGCCCAACGAAGAACAAAATATCAAACGGAGCAAAACACAAACAACCAAGCGCTTATGCCAATGACTCACTTTGCGCATGAACCGCCTTTGAAATACTCACAGGTGCGACGCGAACTGACTTGGAGTCGATTCGCATTTCCCACGCCAACTGGAATTCGTCCCGTCTCAGTGCGCTTGTGGCACAGATCGTTCTCGAGGTGAGCCGATTTTTTTTTTCAAAAGTCTCAATCATAACTAACACAGTCATGAACTCGTTTGTTTTGCTTGTTTCTCGTGTTGCATGCGTTTAGGAAAAACTTGGATTTGGCACGATTCGCGAGGAATTTGGCGACGATCGCAACGCCTTCGACCAAGTCGACCAAGGCACTGCAGATTTGTTTCTTGATGCCAACCCCGAGGCTGTCCAGGACCTGATTGATCTTTACGTTACTCAAATGAACACGGTTACCGACGGTAGGTTGCTTGCCGGATGGTTGGAGCCTCTGTAATGTTGCCTCGCTGACATGATTGTGGTCTGAAACACTTGCCAATAGCCGGACCGCTTGGAGTCTTCACCGAGTATGGATGGTACCTTCCGGAATACGTTTGGAATATTAGCAACAAGCTTGACAGTTATCCTGGCTTCATGTAAGTCGAGGCCAAGAGCCCGAAAAACCGAAAACAGACGAATTGATGTTGGTGACGGTCTCGTCTGACGTTTTGAATGAATGATGCCTTTTGTTGATACGCAGGGACGAGAACGTGATTGCGCTCTTCCACTTGGAGAATATTCCAGTGGACACGCACCTTGACAACACCACGCTGCATTCGGCGTTTGACATGATTGAGGCGACCATGCAAGGCTCTCAGTGCAATGTTGCTCTCAATGCTTCCGCCACGGCCACGGACTGTGCCGCTGCCGTCGAAGCCACCATCGAGCACTTGCGTGACGTTGCGCATCTGCATTACGCGGAGAACACGATCGACTTGTGGACTTTGCCTGACAGCTGGAATTTGTTGGACCATGTTCTCATCCAAAATCTTGAGCTCCCGTTCAATACCGTCGTGCCAGTTCCCACCAACCTCGATCAAGCAGCTACCGAACATGCGTTGGCCGACCTTATTGAAGAGCATTACCTCGCGCGCAAGCCCTTCCTCACCTACTTTTGGCAACCCCATTTCTTGTTCGCTCCGGATTCGCCCGTCAAGCTTCACCGCGTCCAGCTTCCTCATTTCAACGCCGATCACTGCAATGTTTGTAAGAAAGGATCTCAATAGTATTGATGCCGAGAGCACGTTGCATGAACTGCCAGGCTGACTTTTTGTTGCTTTTGTTTTTGCCAAACGGCTCTCGGTCTCTCTCTCCTTCAGCGAGCTCGGACTATCGCTGCGAGTACCAATCCCACATCTTGCGCAAGATGGTGGCAACGTCTCTGAAAGCAAGAAACGAGGTGGCTTATGACTTTGTCAAGGTCCTTCACATCGATGAGATCGAGATGGAGGAAATGCTGGCGTCTGTCGAGTACAGCAACATGACCGTCGACCAAGCCGCGTGCAGCTGGTTGCTTGCACATTATAGCACAATGGAGCCGCACATGCCCGATCCTTCGCGCCTTGTTACGCCCACGGAGGTCAACGGCAGCTTGCGCATCGCCTTTGTCATTCTCGCCGCTCTGCTCATCGCCTTCTTCTGCGTTTTGGCGGCTGGTACCTTCCACTACCGCCGCGTTCGTGTGGTGCTGTCTGCAAGCCCCGTGTTCCTGATGCTGATGCTGCTTGGCGCTGCTTGGTCCATGTTCTGGGTCATTCTGCTCTACGACGACGCGCCGACCGACGCGATTTGCATTGCGCGCATCTGGGCTCGTCATCTCGGCTTTAGCTTGGTGTTTGGCGCCCTTGCTCTCAAGACCTACCGCATTGCTGCCATCTTCAACGTGAAGGCCACCAAAAAGTCCCACCAGCTGACCAACGTTCGCCTTTTGGTCCGATTTGGTGAAATCAACCTCTATGTCTGCGCCTTCCTGCTGACGTGGACGGTGGCCGGCGCTCCCACAGCGACAACGCTGGTGTCTCACAACAACAGCTACGCCGTCTGCAGCATCACTTGGTGGGACAATGCCATGTACCTGCAAGAGCTTGCGGCCATGCTTGGCCTCGCGTTCCTGAGCTACCGCGTGCGCAAGGCACCCTCTGCGTTTAACGAGTGCAAGCACATGGCGCTTGCCGTGTACAATTGGATTATCATTGGCGTTATTCTTCAGCTCATCCTGAATTCGACCACTGGCACGGCCGACTTTTACTTTGCCATCCAGTCGCTCGAGGTGCTCGTGCCCGTTCCGATTGCCATCCTGCTTTTGTTTGTGCCCAAGTTCTACCTGACGCTGCGTGGCAAGGGCAGCGAGGTGACGACCTCCAGCTTCCGCGGATCGAATCCGAACGGCAGCCACCCGAAGACTCCTTCTGACCCGAGCAACTCGAATGCCAAGGCGGCGTCTGGCGACATGGAAATGTCGTCTGGCAATGGTGTGGATAGCGAGACTGGCAGGCCTGAGCTGAGTGGCAAGGCCGCAGCCGCCGAGTACAAGAACATTCGTCGCGAGAACATCCGCCTGATGCGTGAAATTGAGGGAATGCGAACTCAGCTCCTCCGCTTGCACAATCCTCACTCTGGCACCGTCGAGGTCTTGTAATCCACCACGATGTCTGCTTGCTTAACGTTTCGCTATCGCTCGTATGATGTAGCCAATCGACATGTAAATACTGTGGCCCAATAAAAATTTGGATGATTTTACGAAAACGCCCCTCCTGCGGTGCTGTGTTGTCTCCAGTTGCTGCCCTCCCTTCACCAAGCATGTATCATTTTGTTGATTCAGGTGGGATTCGGGTTGAGTCAGATCTTGGCCAGGCGATTGTCTACGTCGGATATAAAAACTGCAGGTTTGTGATGCGTTATCATCCGCAAAAAGCGTTGACAACCGGCGCTTCCTGTGCATCGGTGGCAAAACACGTTTCCTGAAATCGCAAGGCACCACAGAAAAAGCAGACTTTTGGCAACAACACCTTGTGGAACCAGGGGAACGATCTATTTACAACTCATTAACGACAGAGAAATCCTGCACGCCCACCGCCTGTTCCTGTCTTGTGATCCAAACGACCATCCAGGCAAGTTACACTCGTCAGCCCATCACAATCTTTTTGAGCTATTCGCCTCAACCGTGAGCATGTCTGAGCATGTATGGCGGGAGGGGGCTCTAGAGGAATTTGCTGCTTGATCTGATTGAAAAACCATGTTCTGTTTATTTTTGATTTTTGTATTTTTAGTCGAACGGCTCAACCAATCCGTCCTTGCGGGTTCCCTGGTGTTACCCCATGTATTGCTAAAAGTGCATCCATGCATGTGAACTGCGGTTGCATCGGTGTATTCTTGGAAGCACGCTTTGCGGACAGCGAGTCTCATCAGTGGAAACCTGTGGCACTTCTTTGGATTTCACGATTTTGATTTGTTTTTGTTTTTCAATCGAAATAGATCCTGCCAGTCTTTGTTTCACGTTTTTTTTTTTTTCTTTCAGGCTCTGCTCTTGTACTACAATGCTTCATCGACGCATCACTCACGCGTCAATCGCGGAACACTTGCTGTTCGTTGTCCTCTTGATCGTTGCTGCGGCCAGCAGCACCACAGCGGCGGCCCACTCGGTCGGCTGTTTCCCTGCATCCGAACGCCGTAAGATTCTCTCTCTTTTTGTTGGAAACCGCGCCACTCCTCAGCGAGAAAAATGGAATGTGCTTGACTCTCGCTCTCTCCCTCTCTCTCGCGTTGCCCTCTTCCGCCTCAAAGAGCAACGTGGACGCTGTCGAGTGTCTAACAATGAAGAGGTGGGGTGGATCTGGGTGTCGCGGGTGACATTCGACACCAATTACAACAACAACAACGACACCCAACAACAAACCGACAAAAATTTCGCACTCTTGCCAGAAGGTGTTTTGTTTGGATCTTGGCCAAGAAAAACAAAAATCCCAAAAAACAAAAATCCAAAGAAAAAAAAAAAAAAACAACAAAAAACAAAAAAACAAACCAAAACAACAAAATGGCGAAACATCCAAATACAAAACACCAACAAATGCAAAAAAAGCACCTTCCTAAAGTGTTGGAGTTTCGCTGTTGTTGCCAACACCAAAACCCATTGGGTGTGGCGCCATTGCGAATCCAAATTGCACAGCTAATCATGTCTGCAACACGTCCGTCTCCATCACAACAACGAGCAAACCGATCCTCCTTCAAATTGCTTTGTTTTCAAATCTGCCATTTTCCATTGAAAACAATCATGACTCAACACAAACATGAATGTTGCTGTTTCACGTAGGTCCCATTCGAACCGACTTGGACCCCATTGGCATCGTGCACAACAGCTGGGATTCCTCGCGTTTGAACGCTGCTGTCGCCCGAATCTTGTTGGAGGTTTGTTCACTGCGTTCATCAGACTGTTGCTGTCGTGCAATTCGCGTCAAATCTGTAATTCGCTGACTTTCCTTTGCATCTGTTTAGGAAAAGCTCGGCTTTGGCACTCTGATGGAGGAGTTTGCAGGTTTGGAAGACGCCTTCCATCAGCTCGACCAAGGCACGGGAGACATTTACCTCGACGCCAACGAAGACGACTTGGCTCCTCTGATCGACGAGCATGTCAATCTGCTCCATGACGTTTTGGATGGTATGGCATTCCCCCCACCCCCACTGCGCGCTAGAATTGATACAACGATACAACAATGGCTTCTTGCCAAAACCTCTTTACTTACTTTCTGCGCAATCACATTTGTCAGCTGGCCCGCTTGGCATTTACAACGAATACGGCTGGTACATCCCCGAGTACATCTGGAACATTAGCAACAAGCTGGATAGCTACACCAGCTACATGTAAGTCGACTAGCTCACCAAAGGTTTGACTCCCACAGTTGCGTCTTTTTGGTCTCATCTTGTTACTCTGCATCAACACGACTTGTGTGAATAGGGACGAGAACGTCATTTCGCTGTTTCACCTGAGCGAAATTGTGCCCGGTACAGTGCTTGACAACACCACCTTGCACAGCACTTTTGACGAGCTTGAGGCCATGATGGCGAGCAGCCGCTGCAATCCCGCACTCAACGCGACCGTCACCACGTCTGACTGCGTGGCGGCCATTGCCGAAGTGATCTTGCACATTAAAGACCGCGCTCATCTCCATTACGCCGACAACACCATCACACTGTGGACCATGCCCGACGGCTGGCCCCATGTTGTTGATCGCGTTCTGATTGAAAATCTCGAGCTTCCTTTTAACGCCACCGTTCCAATGTCCCCCCATGGTGACAAGGCCACAATCGAGCATGCCCTCTCCGATATCATTGAAGACCACTACGCCCTGCTGAAGCCGTTCTTGACCTACTTCTGGGAGCCCCACTACCTGTTCTCTCATCAGTCAACGGTCCATCTCCACCGCGTCCAACTGCCAAAGTTTGACAGCGACAATTGCAGCATTAGTAAGGACACTTAGTGGGGCTGATGAGTTCCTCCGTTTGTGTGGTTGATGTTGTGGAAGGCGTGGTCTGACGACATGTTGTACTATCAACCCTATCAGCAGCGAGCGCCAACTACCGATGCGAGTACAAGAGGCATTCGATGCGCAAAATGACAAGTCTTGCTCTTCAAGAGAAAAACGAGGTTGCCTTCGACTTTGTCAAGATGATCCACTACGAGGAGGTTGATCTGGAAGACATGCTCGCATTCATGGAGTACGACAACATGACTGTCGACCAAGCCGCGTGCAGCTGGTTGCTTGGACATTACAGCGCTCTTGAACCGCACATGCCGGATCCTTCTCGCCTTGTGACACCCTCGGAAGTTGACAGTGGCCTGCGCGTCGCCTTTGTCATTCTGGCCGCTCTGCTCATCGCCTTCTTCTGTCTCTTGGCTGCTGGCACCTTCCACTACCGCCGTGTCCGTGTGGTGCTGTCTGCAAGCCCCGTGTTCCTGATGCTGATGCTGCTCGGCGCTGCTTGGTCCATGTTCTGGGTCATTCTGCTCTACGACGACGCGCCGACCGACACAATTTGTATTGCGCGCATCTGGGCTCGTCATCTCGGCTTCAGCCTGGTGTTTGGCGCCCTTGCTCTCAAGACCTACCGCATTGCTGCCATCTTCAACGTGAAGGCCACCAAAAAGTCCCACCAGCTGACCAACGTTCGCCTTCTGGTCCGATTTGGTGAAATCAACCTCTATGTCTGCGCCTTCCTGCTGACATGGACGGTGGCCGGCGCTCCCACAGCAACAACGATGGTGTCTCACAACAACAGCTACGCCGTCTGCAGCATCACTTGGTGGGACAATGCCATGTACCTGCAAGAGCTTGCGGCCATGCTTGGCCTCGCGTTCCTGAGCTACCGCGTGCGCAAGGCACCCTCTGCGTTTAACGAGTGCAAGCACATGGCGCTCGCCGTGTACAACTGGATTATCATTGGCGTTATTCTTCAGCTCATCCTGAATTCGACCACTGGCACGGCCGACTTTTACTTTGCCATCCAGTCGCTCGAGGTGCTCGTGCCCGTTCCGATTGCCATCCTGCTTTTGTTTGTGCCCAAGTTCTACCTGACGCTGCGTGGCAAGGGCAGCGAGGTGACGACCTCCAGCTTCCGCGGATCGAATCCGAACGGCAGCCACCCGAAGACTCCCTCTGACCCGAGCAACTCGAATGCCAAGGCGGCGTCTGGCGACATGGAAATGTCGTCTGGCAATGGTGTGGATAGCGAGACTGGCAGGCCTGAGCTGAGCGGCAAGGCAGCAGCAGCCGAGTACAAGAACATTCGTCGCGAGAACATCCGCCTGATGCGTGAAATTGAGGGAATGCGAACTCAGCTCCTTCGTCTGCACAATCCTCACTCTGGCATTGTCGAGGTCATGTCTTAGACGGCGATTGTGACGATTCCGGTGTTTTTGTTCGTTTTTTCGCTTTTTGCATCGTTTCGTTGTTGTGTGAACAGTTACGTCTAGCTTGTTTTGTGCACTCGTTCGTTGTTGTTTCCCTTTCCCCCACCCCCTCCTCGACACTCGCATAGACTCTATGCGATTCTCTGCCTGTCAATAATACAGTTGTACGCATGCACTGAGCTCACATTATCTTCCAAATTCGTTCGGATTTGGGTTTCAATTCAGTCTATCATTCTTTTTTTTTTTTCAAAATGCGTTTCGCAGCTCTTTTTGCGCTGCTCGCGCTCTGCGCCGTGGCCAGCGCGTCTGACGTGCTTGTCCTGACGACCGACAACTTCCGCTCGACTGTCGATGCTCACGATGCCCTCCTCGTCGAGTTCTACGCTCCCTGGTAAGCCCCCCCCCATCAAGCAACAAGCGAACATCAGCAATGGCAATTTGCCGCGCTCTCTTCTCCGGAGCAGTCTCTAGACGAAACCGCGGACACGACCACCTTTCACGTCCCGTCACGACATCACCACGAAGAAGTGTACTCTCGACTTTGACCAAGCTCTTTCAACAACGACAAACAGTGAATGACAGATACAAGAAAAAAAAAAAAAAAAAAGGATCGCGCGATCTCGCGTTTCGCCGCTTCACAACGCGCGCGCCCCCTCCCTTTCGAGCGGGTTTGTGTTGTTCCACATTGCTGTCATGTCGAACTGCACCGCCGTTGCGATGGGATTACGCGGGTTGGCGTGCACCAGAAACGCACCCACCAAAATCTGTATGATCTTGAATTGAAGACAAAAAAGCAAAAAAAAAAAAAAAAAAAAAAAAGTTGGTAGAAAATTCTGAAACGAATCTATGTTTGCCACGTCAAGAAAGGAACACCGTTTGGCCAAAAAATTCGCCGTTCCTGACGTCTTCCTGATTTGATTGTTGCCTGGCGACCTTGACTGATTCGAACTCTGTGTATTGGCACCATCGCGCTTCTTGTCTCACAACGTCGCGATTCACAACGTCGCGATTTTCACTTGGTTGTTGTTTTGACAACTCAACCACTTCTCTTTGTCGCTTTGCTCGCATGTGTGTGCAGGTGCGGCCATTGCAAGCGCCTCGAGCCCGAGTACGACAAGGCTGCAGCGATTCTTGCCAAGGACGACCCCCCGATTTACATTGCCAAGGTGGACGCCACCGAGGAGCCCTCGCTCGCTTCCGATTTCGGCGTTTCCGGCTACCCCACCATCAAGCTCTTCCGCAAGGGCGCCGTTTCTGGCGACTACGACAGCGGCCGCGACGCCAACTCGATTGTCGCATACATGCGCAAGCAGTCTGGCCCCAGCGCCCGCACCCTGTCCACCGTCGAGGAGGCCAAGAACTTTGTTGCCAAGAACGACATTTCCGTCATTGGCTTCTTCCCCGCTGTCGGCTCGATGCAGGAGGTCTTCCTCAAGACTGCCGACCAGAAGCGCGACGCGTTCCGCTTTGCTGTGACCTCCTCCAAGGAGGTTGCCGCTGCTTTCAACATTGAGGGCAACAAGGTCGTTCTCTTCCACGCTCCTCACTACGAGTCCAAGCTCGAGGGCGCTGTTGTCGTTCCGTACGAAGGTGCCTCGTCGCAGACCGCTTTCGAGAGCTTCCTCGCCGAGAACGCCACCCCGCTTGTTGGTGTCTACTCTGATCTGAGCAAGGCTCGCTTTGACCTGCGCAAGGCCCGCGGCGACCTTCCCCTGATCGTCACCCACTTCAAGGTCGACTATGCCAACAACGCCAAGAACACCAACTACTGGCGCAACCGCGTCCTGGCCGTTGCCAAGAAGTTTATCGGCAAGGCGCACTTTGCCATCGCCAGCAAGGAGGAGTTTGCTGCCCGCCTGTCCGAGTTTGGCCTCCAGAACCAGGAGCTCGCTGTCGCCTTTGAGCACAAGGGCAAGAAGTACGCCATGAACGAGGACTTTTCGGTCGCCAACCTCGAAAAGTTTGTTGAGGACTTCCTCGGCGGCAACATCAAGCCCCACGTCAAGTCCGAGCCCGTGCCCAAGGTCGCCACGGACGTCAAGGTGCTCGTCGGCTCCAACTTTGACGACGAGGTCTTTGGCAACGACAAGGACATGCTCATCGAGTTCTACGCTCCTTGGTGCGGCCACTGCAAGTCCCTCGAGCCCGTCTTCAACGAGCTCGCCCAGAAGGTCAAGGGTGAGGAGAACCTCATCATTGCCAAGCTCGATGCCACCAGCAACGACTTTGCTCGCGACCTCTTCCCCGTCTCTGGCTACCCCACTCTCTACTGGGTTCCCGGCAACAACAAGCACAGCCCCAAGAAGTACGAGGGCGGCCGCGACGTTAAGAGCTTCATTGATTACATCAAGAAGGAGTCTACTTACCCTCTCAAGCTCAAGAAGTCCAAGGGCGAGTTGTAAGCGTGTCCTAGCGTTGTAGTTCAGATTGGCTGGACTGCCCTTTTTTTGTTTTTTAATATCCGTCCTCGTCATTGTGGTATCTTGTTACTGCTGTATGTCGCACTTGACAAAATAACACTCTTCTAACTACGATACACTGCCTTAGTGGGGGAGGGGGTGGTCTGAGAGTCATCCATTGCAAAACAATATAGAAAAGAAAAATCGCATTTACACAAACTGGACCTCAAGATGAAGATAGGTACAAGGGATGCATGCTTCTTGCGGACAGCTTTGTCCGACAAATTGGGCACCTGTGGAAGGCGGTCACCGCCTGCGAGATGCACTCGTAGCAGAAAACATGGCCGCACGTTGTGGCTGTTGTTTTGACTGGAACGTCGAGACAAATGGCACAGGTAAGCGCGCCGCTACTCGGAGCATCCTCGGACAGATTGTTTCGCGAGTTGGCTTCCTGGACTGCTTTTTTCGTGGGAGGCGGAGGCGCGACAGGCGGCAAATTCGATGCTTGATCAACGGGTGGTGGTTGCGGCGGTCGGATCATTGGCATATGGAACATTGGCACGACAGCATTGAAAATTAAGTGGGGATGCTGTTGCCTGTGGTCTTCGTCAGTCGAGTCGCCCATCTGGTCACTCGATTCCAATCTGGCAAGCACCGATTCGAAAGCAGAAACTATGGATGGACAGAAGTGCTAGTTAAGCTGCGGAATCCAACATCGCCAACGACAGCAGCAGCAGCAGCAGCAGCAGCAGCAGCATCGTCTTACCATCAGTCCCAGTATTCGATCCAAAGAGCGATTGCAAGCGTGGCAGCCATGCACGGTGTCTTGATGAACCCAGAATGGCGCGCGTCGGTGGCGCGGCGGCGATTGAGCTCGAGCTGATGATGATATCGTCGTCTGCATCGTGTGCACTCGCTGTTGAGGCTTGCGTCCGCCGACTGCGACTGGTACCACCACCGCTAGCAGCAGCAGCTGAAGGAGCACTGGAAGCACCCAGGACTACAATGTCATCAGTATCGTCCGTCAAGTCCACGGAACTCGGCGCCAGCGATGCCCCAGGGGTAGCAGACGGCGCAGAAGCCGACGATGATGATGATGCTGCTGCTTGATTCTGATCTGCTTGAGGCTGACCTGCTTGAGGCTGAGGTTGAGGCTGAGGCTGAGCTTCGGCTGGTGCGTGTGGGGCGGCAGGTTCGCTTCCAGAGCCACTGGCACTACTACTACTACTGCTACTACTACCACTATTTTGACTACTACTAATGCTGCTGCTGCTGCTGCTTGCATGAGCACTCTCATTCAACGACGGCTGGGCTTCACGCTGTTGCTGTGGCTTGTCTGCCGCTTCCAGTCTCGCGTGCTTTGCTGCGTTGAGTTGTCTGCTGTCGTCGTCCTCGTCCAGCCGTCGCTTGGCTCGTCGTCGCGCAGACGGCGGCCGTCCTGATGATGCTATTGTTACTATTGTCGATGATGAAGCAGCCGCAGTGGTGGCGCTGTCCTGCTGTTGTTGCGGCTGTTCTTGCTGTTCCGACGCTGCTGCTGGCGTTTGCTGCGCTTCCATGGCTTGCGTGTTGAAGGTAAAGGACTGCCACTCTAACGTAACGTAAAATCCAATAAATAACTAGAATTAAGCACTTTGTCACTGTGCTTTGGAACTGCTGCTGGCTCAGGTCCAACGAGCAGCTCCATCAAAAGTCAAGAGAATGGCGGGGAAACAGCACATTTGCGACAATACAGTCAAAAAAGAGCTGCTGGTTCGGCCACTGAAGGATGCATGACAGCAGCTGAATGAAAAAGCATTGACTTGAATGCAATGACTAGAATGTACAATCTCAGTCACTCAGCCCTTCTGAGAGTTCAGTCTTTCGCATTCTCACACGCAACTCACACCTACAAAACCAACCCCTACACACACACACATACACACACATACACACAGCTCAATGGCAGATCAACCAGCAGAGCGTCCTCGTCTGAAGCTGCTTCCCAAGGGTGCCACAGCACAGCAGCAGGGCGAACCAGATGGCTCGACCACGCCGACGTCGGCGGGCGCGGCGCCCAAGTCGGATCCGTTCGGTGGCGCACGACCCCGCGAGCAGAACGTGTCGCAGGAACGCGAGGCGCGCTACCGTGAGAAGGAGGCCGAGATTGACTATGAGCGCAACGCATCGATCGACAAGGTCGCTGCGGCCAAGCAGCAGATGCTCGCCCAGCAGCAGGATCAGCCGCAGGATCAGCCGCAGGGTCAACCAGCCCAGCAGCAGCAGCAGCGTGGTCTGGTGGGCGCTGCAGGCGTTCCGATCGGCGCTGCCGCAGCAGGCTCAATGCACTCCACACGTGGCGAGCAGCAGCAGCAGCAGCGGTACCAGGGCCAGCATGCCGCGTCGCCTCGCCGGGGAGGCGCGTCTGGACTGTCTGACTTTTCGCAGCTGCGCATCGCGGCGGAGGAGGCCGAGGAAGGCTTCCAGCGCGTCGAGCACGGTCGCCGTTCCCAGCACCAAGGCCAGGGCCAGACCAGTCACGGGGCCTTCCAAAAGCACCAAAGACCCCACCACCAGCAGCAGCAACAGCAGCACCATTACGACCAGCAGTCCTCCTTCTCGCGCGACGGTGCTGCCGGGTCCCACCAGCAGCAGCACCATCAGCAGCACCATCAGCAGCAACAGCACCCGCGCAACCCGCCGCCAGAGACGTACGTCTGCAACCTCTGCCACGTCCCTGGTCATTGGATTCAAGACTGCGAGCAGGCCGTCAAGCGCAGCGCTCCTGTGGCCGCGGGAGATGCTTCGTCAGTGCCCGCAGGTGCGTCGCGAGCATCCCACAACCACCAACAACAACAGGCGCAGCCCCGTTCCCACTCTGCCGGCCGCCAGGCTTCGTCTCAGCAGCAGCCGCAGCAGCAGGCAGACCGTCCCCGACGGACCGCCTTCCCAGCAAGCTTTGCCGACGATGAAGAGGCCGATCCCTCGCTCAAGACCGCCCAGGCCGCCCCGCAACAATCGGGCCGCAAGCCTCCGGAAACGTATGTCTGCCACGTTTGCGAGACCCCCGGGCACTGGATTCAAGAGTGCCCCAACCGCAGCCACAACAACCCCGCCAACCCGAACGGCACAAGCAGCTCTGGACCGCGTCCCGCACGCAGCAGCGGCACCGCCCATAGTGGCGCGACCAACCGCGACGGCATTCCTCCTCCCGGCTACCTGTGCAAGGTCTGCAACATTCCTGGCCACTATGTCGAGAGCCACCGCACCCAGCGCTCCGAAGTCTCCAACTAAGGCCCGCCCGAGTTTTGATGTTTGAATGTTCAGTTTGTCGTTGTTCAAGTGCTTTTTTTTGCGGCTTTTTTTCATTGGTGCTGCTGCTGCTGTTTGTTGTTGTTTGTTGCATTGTTTTTTTCTCCACACTTTTGCTTTTTTGTTTTTTATTTGTGATTCAAACTATTTGTTTATTCCCTTTTTTTTTTTTTGTAAGTTTTTCTATTATGAATGAGCTTTGATTCCCTGTCCAATACCCTTCCCCCTTCCCTCCCTTCCCTCCCTTCGCGCTCTCCCCACCGACATCCACATCCACATCCACATATCCAACTTCATCAACATGCATTCACAAGCAAAGACCAAAGAAAGTCCAATCGAAAGTCCATTCAAACAAACCCAACAATCTGCCGCTCTTTCAATCCGGTTTTCTTGAACAGCTCAACCTTCTTCCGTCTTTGTCGCTTGTCTCTCCTCGCTTTGTTCTGTATTCAGGTACAATGCGCCAGTCTGGTCTCAACGTATCAGTCGCGGCGTTGTTGCTGCTGCAGCTGGTGCTGCTGCTGACAGTGGGCGCGTTGGCCCAACAGCACGACTTTCCGCCGGAACAAGTGATTGTCAACCTCGACCTGCCGCCCAAGCAGCGGTGGACCCAGGTCGCAACAAAGTACAGTGCGCAAATCCAAGCCACTGTCAACTTCCTCAAGCAGCTGATTCCGATGCACGACCTCGTGCTGCCCGTCGCGAACGTCATTGGCGCCGACATTGACAACTACCTGCCAATGCCGTACTCGGACGAGATCCGCGGCGTTGCTGAGGCTGCGCGCATCACGCTGGGCGAGGCTGTCCTGTGCAACATTATCTACGACATTACCAGCTTTTGCACGTCCATTGTCGCGCAGATGGGCAACGGCACCATCATCCACGCCCGCAACCTCGACTACGGCCCGCTGCAGGGCGTGCTTCGCAACATGACCATCGAGGTCTTCTTCCAGACGAACGGCAGCACCCTCTTCTACGGCACCACCTTTGCCGGCTACACTGGCATTCTGACGGGTGTCCGCCCCAACGTCTTTGGTGTCACCATCAACGAGCGCGACATGGGCAACATTCTGGAGAACGCCCTGCAGGCGCTCCTCAAGAAGGAGGCTGTGCCCTTGTCCTTCATGTTGCGCGATGCGCTTGCCAACGACACTGTGACCTTTGAGTCTGCCGTGCGCTTTTATTCGCGCACCCAGCTGATTGCGCCCGTGTGAGTTTTGCTTTGTCTTTTTGACTGTTTCGCAGATACTCGTGCTGGGGCGCTTTTTCTTTTTTCGTACTATCCGCGCTGAGGCTGCAGGAGACACTTGCGGTTGTTTGTTCTCACCTTGCCTTCTTCTTCTCCTTCTTCTTCTTCTTCTTTCTGAAATCCCACAACAGGTACGTCATTGTGAGCGGCACTCAACCTGGTGAGGGCGTCGTCATCACCCGCGACCGCCAGTACATTCTTGACATTTGGCGTCTGGATCCCGCTGCACAGAGCTGGTACGTTGTTGAGACCAACTCGGACAACTGGAATCCTGGCCAGGACATTCGTCTCGAGACGGCGCACAAGTCGCTCGATGCGCTGGGCCCGAACGGCATCAACCCGTATTCCATTTACCAAGTCTTGTCCACCGCGCCAGTGCTGAACAATGGCACTGTCTACACCACCGTGATGAGCGCGTCCCACCCCGAGTGGTTTTCGACGATGGTTCGCCTGGACATTCCTCCGTACCCGTAGAACAAAAGCAGGCATGTTCATTCCTGTGCTCCTTGTCTCTTGATGTGTTTCCCCCAAGAAGCGGGGGTACATCATCCCAATTGTTAGTTGTGAGCAAAGTAGTAGATAGAGAAGATGAAATCGCTGGCGCGATTTGACGTCCGCGCTTCGCGCGGGTGAGAGTGACCGAGGGTAACCTCGATTTTAGATCCCAATCAATATAGACTATATTATATTATTATTTTTTTTAGGTGAAGAAGTGAGAGAGTGATAAAGAATAATTGCTTTCGTATGGAAGAAAAAAAAGGCCTTAGCGAAAAAAAGAAGATTTTTGGAGGACCACCCACTTTTTCACCTCTTTTTTATTGAGGTACTGTATGGTTCAGTCCAGTCTCGATCCTTCCACCAGAGAAGGAAGGGATGGCGATGGTCCTTTATTTTTTTTTGTGGAGGGGGAGGGGGTGCGGGGGGAAGATGGCGATGCGAATCAGATGATGGAGAATAAGGGTTTGTCTCTGGAATTTGCTCAAAGACTTTGGAGGAAAAATGCATTTTTATTTAAAAAATAAAAATGCCGAAGCTCGGCTCGGCTCGGCCGGCCAGAAATGTCCTCGGACATTGAAAACCGAAAAACAAAAAACCGCGGATCTCATTAATGCAATCCGAATGTCGTCGCTGAGGTTCGAACCCTTGACCTTTGTCCCGTTATATTCGAAATTTACAAGAGTTCTAACAAGACTTGTAAATGTTTTTGAAAATTTGTAATATTTTTGGATATTTAGATTGAACTAATCTCCTTGACTCCCGGTGCCAGTTTCAAGAGATAATGGACGTAACCTTGAGGCCTTTTGACTGGTAGGTCACTGATAAGTGGATGTCCCCAAAAATTCTTGAGATCGCCAACGGAATGATTATTAAACGCACAGAATTTTTTGTACTGCTCCAAAAAGTCTTTTTGCAAAATCCCTTCTTTCGCTGGCATTTTTCTGCTTTGATCGATAATATATCGGCTGATAAATTGCTGGACTTGATCACTGTCTGATGTTTTCGTTTTCAATTCTAATGAATCTTCAACAACTTTGTCAGGAATTTTCATTTCATTGCGTGACAATACGACCTTTTGCAACGCATCGATAAACAAATGAAACCAGCACGACAGATATTTCTCTCCATGGATTTTATCTCCGAAATTTTTATCGCGTTTGAACGTACGGTCGCGTGGTTTGATGATCAACTTGGGTTTGTCGTCGTCGTCTGTCGCGGATGGCGGAGGGGGGTTTTGTTCCTCATCTTCAATATTTTTCAGCACATCATTGTAAGCACTCTCCTCGTAGAATTTCGCATCGAATCGACTACACAATCGACGCCAAATTGCATCATCAAATGTCACATTGGGGACGAATTAGTGGCAGATTGGGAGGAAGTCCACTTTACGATCGACTTCTTTCTCGTAGAGTGACGGTCTCTAAATCCGGATGGCGCCTCCTACGGCCTGTGTGCAAGCTTCCTCTCGCGCCTTGCCCCCCTTGTGTCAAACAATGCATCAATACCACTTGCCCATCAATTTATTTAACGATTCGGTGTGGGCATCTTTTGATTTTCGAATGATGAGATCTTTGTTTCCCTTGGCGCAAAAGCGATTACTGAGCATTTTTTCCAATAATTCGATATATGCACTTTTACCGCCAGCACCTTTGCCGACAATAATCCAAAACCGTTGTTCATCACGATAGCCGAACAGTGCCATTCCTCCCAAAGCCAACAGAAAGTCGGTCATGGCTTCGTTTTTGCACATCCATTGAGAAGTAAATTTTCTCAACTCCGTGCAACGGTCGAAATCATCATCGGGAAGATCGATATTGGCAAAGTGTGACATGTAGTCGGTGCGCACCCGTTTTCGATGGGTCCAACCGGTGCCATTGACCAAAACCAATTCGCCACCTTTGATGGGCAACATAAACCACAGAGCCCCGTTCTCGTCGATTATCTTGTTTGAATTCAGACGGTCGTAAAATGGTTTGTCACCAGGATCATCGGTGACTTTAGGGTCTCCCATCAAGATATTCACGGTATCGGTGACAAATCTGGCGCCACCCACCGTCGCGACATACTCTTGCAATTTCTTGGACTCGGCATTGACCGATTTTCGCTGGAGTTCAGTCATATTCTGATCAACGTTCGACATAAAATCATTGTAATGAGCCGTGTAGTAATCGACCAGCAGTCTCATCACAGCGTTCGTCAGTTGAGGCTTTGTGTATTCGGTCCATAGCAACTCTCTCTCGTACCACCAATACAATTGGCCATTGGAAAACTTCAGCCCCAGATTCAATTCTTCGAATAGTTCCAGGAGCAATTTACTGGCAGAGTTGTTGGTCAATTGACCCATTGGGGTGCTTTCGGCGAGTGAGATGGAAGTGAAAACCTCGGTGTTCATTTTTTTATCCAATTGAAATTTATTTAAACTATTTTCAATTTTCTTAGAAGTCGGAATTTTTGTGTTTGACAGAAATTGAAATTAGTTTAAACAAATTACGCATCTTTTAAAAAAATACAAATGGCGGACAATCGTGGCGACGAATCACCCAAATCTACTTCTGTCGAGAAAATTTCACCCAAGCCGAAACCGACTCAAAAGGAGTACAACGCGCAGTACTACCAATTGTGCAAAAAATATAAGAACTTGCACATGCTTCGTCATTATCCCGACGTGTGTCGCGCAGAGCTGGAAAAACTCTTGGTCGAAGCGTCGAAAGAGTTTCTAAATAAGTAACGCACAAAATTGAAATTTGTTTAAACAAATTTCAATCACTATAAAAAAAAGTCATGGCGGACAGAGGTCGAGGTAATACGAGAAACAATGGTGGCAATCGCAATCGAGGTCAAGGTAATACGAGAAACAATGGTGGCAATCGCAATCGAGGTCAAGGTAATACGAGAAACAATCCCATTCTTAATGATCCGATCTCTGCTCGAGTGCTTGAAATTTTAGAGCAACGCCGGGCGGATGAGATCCAAATGGCTCAGCTTGATTCGATGACGAACGAACAACTGGAGGCGCTTTTTGTTCGACGCAATGGACGCCCAGTTCCAGCTCCACCGCGTCCAGCCCAACGCCCGGCACCAGTTCCCCAACCAGCGCCACCGCGTCCAGCTCAAAGACCGGCGCCAGTTCCTCAACCGGTCGTTCCGCCACCAGTTGTTCGTCAGCATCGATCCAGGGCTCCCGCTCCAGCTCCGGCTCCGACCGCGGAAGCGTGGCGAACTCCAGTGGCCGTCACTCCGATGCGAGAGGCAACTCGGTACATGTATCGTGGCGTTCCTCGAACTGTGGATGGGGTTACCGCGGTGTTGCAAAGTCTCGTCCGACAATTCCCGGCCAACCATCCGCACAAAATCAACCCGCGCGGTGATATTGAAACCTTTTCCGGCGAGATGAGTTCGATGTTCAACACACTGAATGGGTTTGCCCGCAATTTCCGCCAAAATTCCAGCCCCGAATCGATCCGAGCGTTTGTTCAAGAATGGTTTGCTGACATTGAGCGCCAAATCCTCAACGTGGGTCGCAATTCGGACGCGGAAGTCATTTTCGCGGAAGAGCTGACTATCAATTTCGAAGTCGTCCCACTGCGCCCCGATCGTGCGTCCGGCACGCTGAAGTCGAACAACAAATTCGTGTGGTCCCCGCAAGATCCCGGATGGTGCGTGTATTGGTGTCTGAATGAGTTTGCAAAGAAAAATGGTTTGTCCCCGTTGCCATCGAAAGAAGTGTTCGCCACCAACTGGCTCGGTCGAGATATCAATTCCGACGGTATTACTATTGAGGAATTGGAAACCAAGATTAAACCGAAACTCGATTGGGGTCAGGTGCAACTGTGCATCCATCGCTTTGACGAAAACGGCAATCTGTCCAAAGACAATAAAGATTACGTGACGCGCATTCCGCTAATAGCCGGGAAGGGTGGCAAATATTGCCACTTGATCCATCACGAGGAGCATATGATGTTGATCACCGGCAAAACCAACAGCAAGTATTACTTTGAGCAGATCAAGGCGTCGGAGTTTGTCCCCATCGAACCACGACCATTCAAAACCGTCGCCACTGATATGTGGGATCGTTTGTACTTGATGTGCAACGGCCAAATTCAACCGCTGGCGGATTTGTTGCAAATTCACGGCCCCCGCGCCAATCGCAAGCTGGATGGCCGAAAACTGAAGGGGGTGGTGTCAAAGTCGATCACCGACAAATTACCGCCACGACCCGCCGACGCTGAAACGATCCAACAATTGATCGATACGGTCACCGAGGAAACGACCAATTTTCAGTATTCGCCAGCATGTTCGGTTCAAACGGAATTGGCGAACAAATTGGATCGAAACGAAATCGACGAGGATCAGTTCGAAATCGAAAAGACCAAATTGTTTCATGCGCTGAAAAAGTCCAATCGTCGAGTGATTTTAACCCCGCAAATCGATCCGACTTGGTTGGAATCGCTCGGTATCCAGCACAAACGATTCGCCTCCGGTCATGTCATCATAAACGCCAATTTGGCCGACGATTCGGTGCGCATCGAATCGCTGGTCAAATTCGAAATCAAATCTCAACCCGATTTGTACTCATTCGCCACCGCTTTGTATCTACAGTATCAACGATTCCAAGATCATTTCCAAGTCGATTTATTCGAGGAACTGTTGATCAAATCGAACAAGGCGATTTCCGGCATCATGTTCAATAAACTCGTCAAAACCATTCCGGTCGTCCGCCAAACCGTGTCCAAAGAATCGTACGCCATGTTCGAAGGGGCGAGTTATGGTGGCCGTCAGGATGTGCAACGGTGTCAGTTCCAGTCGATGGGTCCCGAGGATTATCTGCTACAAATCGATGCAGTTTCGTGTTATCCGTCGGTGATGGCGATCAATCTGTTTCCGACGACGGCGGGCACCCGATTGACTGAGATAAATGACGAGGCTCGAGTTTGGATGAATACTAACCGACAGG